TCTACTATATCATCTATCTACCCTCTTACTCTCAATGCATCCGCCACGCGTATCTGATCAACATTATAAGTGTCTTGAGTATCTAGAGCAAACCCGCAGCCCCTTCCTTATCTCACCCTCCCGCCTCCCCGTTCCTCAGAGCCAAACGAAAGCCAACGAAAGCCAAACCAAAATCCACATCAAGCCGGCCATTCTCCGCCGCCATCCGTACCCAGCGCACCGTGTTCCAGCAACAGGGCGGTACATCTCAACGGGAGCTTTTCGAGCCGCGAGCCGGATCGATCTTCCCGGCCCCTCGTCCGGCCCGCAGATAGCATTTGCGTAAGCTGCCGTGTCCGAGTGGGTAGGCCGAGAGGTGGGGATGATCTTCGATGAGCGGCTGCATGAGGGGGTGGCCGGCGTGGCCCGAATCAAGCATGGTTTACGACATCGGGCCACGTCTTGACGGAGTCTTTGAAAATCGCGTCGTCGCCGCTCTTGAGGGCGGGAGAGACTTCCCAGCGCGTGGGGGGTGTGTTGTCGGGTAGGTTGTGCTCGCGGCCGAAGTTCTGGAGGGCTTGGACACGGGGGAGATGGGCTGACGGTAGGCTTATAGTCTCTCGCCTTGGGCGAGCGCTGTTGTGGGGCTGTTCTTCCGGATCGAGCGCGGTTTCGGTGGAGGTTGGATCTGACAGAAGGGTCTCGAGCCGGTGGGAATCACCCGTGGAACAAGCTTCCTGTAAGTTTTCGATGGCGGTGTCGGTCGGCGGGGGTGCTGTCAGATTCTGACGCTGATGTTAATAGATTGGTGACTGATAAAGGTATTGAAGATGAGGAGGATTTCCAGTGCAGCAAGCGAGTAGGTAGCAACGGGACACAAAGCTATCCCATTACGGTGGTCTCGGCACTCATATTCGCCGTGCTTCAGTATTTTAAACATTATGAAGTTGTCCCTGACTGTTTCTTCTTCGGGCGCCAAGTGATAGGGCTGAAGTTCAAGGTAGTAGAGACCGTCGTTCCGCGCCGTCCCTAGCGCTGAAGATACAATATAATGTTGGAGGGGAGGAGGGGGACGACAGAAGAGCATACTGTGGACCCCGTCGCAATTTGCAGAACCGCTGCGATCAAGCACGATTGGTTGGCTCATTATTTCCATCATGACAAGGCCTATCATGTTGAAGCCATTGGCTATACTTACTATCATATCATCTTGCACTGCAGCTGCATTTCATTTACAAGAACCAAAAGTCCTTCCAAGCCTCGACAGTTCCACCGGCGTTGGGGTCACATACATCCCCATGACTGACCCTAATCGCCTGGACCCTTTCACCAATTACACCCAGCAAAGACGAGTCATGATATCGCTGTACTACCCCGCTCAACCAAGTCCCCCTACGAACTTCCTCGAACAGCGACCGAAAGCCGACGACTGGCACCACATAACCCCTTACATGCCTCCAACGACCGCCGCTCTATACGACGAACTCGTCACTCCATTCGGTTTCCCCACCAACACATTCGAGCAGCTCTCGACCCTTTGCCAGCAAAATGCTCCGCTTCAAGATGACTCCATGGCCCACCCGCTCCTAATCTTCTCCCCAGGCGGCGGGGCGCCGCGTTTCTTCTACTCCACATTCCTAGAAGATCTAGCACGCAGAGGCTACGTAGTCGCCGCCATCGACCACCCACATGATGCCCTGGTCGTCGAATTCCCTGATGGACAGGCCGTCATAGGGCTCAACAAGTCCCTTACCCGAGACGAGGTAGAATTGCTCATCACGGTACGAGCGCAGGACATATCCTTCGTACTTGATGAACTGAGCCGTCAATCTCCATCATCCGCCAAAATCCAAATCAACACGACGGATGTCGTAGCGTTCGGCCACTCACTCGGCGGCGGTACAATTGCAGAGGCAGCGCTGAATGACACCCGCATCAAAGGCGGTATCAACGTCGATGGCCGCATGTTCGGTTCGATGGAGAAGCCAAACACCACCATTTCCAAGCCGATCCTCCAATTCGTATCCGAAGCCTCCAGTGCGGATCCGTACTGGCGCTGGGATGAGGAATGGGCGCGTCTGTCAGGCTGGAAGCTGGAGCTCGTATTGAACGGTGCCGCGCACTCGACTTTCAGCGATATGCCTCTCGTCGCCGAGGTCTTGGATGTTCGGAAAAAGCTGGGCGAGGACGGGAAGGAGCTTCTGGGCAAGCTGGATGGGATCAGGGGGTTGGAAATTGTGGTGGAGTATGTGAGCGCTTTTGCCGAGTTTGTGCTGACGGGGAAGAAGGGAAGTCTGCTGGGAAACAATGGTGATGAGAGGTTCCCGGAAGTCAGGGTGAGGAGACATACATGAATGATATTCAACGTATTCTTATGTTTGAGAGTTGGTAAATACTAGGGTATGCAATTACTGCTATAATGAGACTTATCACTAGATATGATATTCTTAATGATGTCTAAGGAAGAAGGATATCTATGTATAGGGAAGGCCTTCATATACTAATGACTAGGCCGAATGAGTACTAGCGTAAGCGAGTGTTGAGTTATCGATACTAGCAAAAACCGAAAAAGATGAGGCTATTCGCATACTATCAAAATATTACTTCTTCGAATCCTTCTCCGCAATGCTCTCTATAGCTGCAATTACTTCTCTTACTGTAGTGGGCGTAGATCCGGTTATGATAAGCGTATTTCTAGTAGCGATAAGAGAAAGATGATCCAATTCTTCTTCGCAATGCTCTCTATAGCTGCAATTACTTCTCTTACTGTAGTGGGCGTAGATCCGGTTATGATAAGCGTATTTCTAGTAGCAATGAGAGAAAGATGGACCCTTATGACCAAATTCCTGGATAGCTACATCAAGAATATATCGTTTATATACTCTATACACCTATCCTTGACCTATAACCTTCCGCTTCTCTATATTACGAATATAGCCGAGCGGAGAGGCGAGCTAAGAGGCGAGCCAAGAGGCGAGAAAATGAGCATGCTGGGAGGCGAAAAGTGGAGCGAGATTTAAAGTATGCTGAGTTCGAGCGGTGCTAAGTAAGAAAGTAGGCTCTCTAAGAGTCGATATAGTGCGCGGACGTAAAACCGCAGAGAGTTGGCTCGTGTTGATAGGGCTGCTACTGGTAATACTCTTCTTCGTAGTGCTCTTCAAAGAATCCTCTGCAACGGCCTGTTCCTTGATCTCGAAGTCTTGAATAACTTGGTAGAGTGAGGGTAGTAGGTGTGGGACTCGGTAATCTGGGCCGTAGTTTGTGGTGAAAGGGGGAAGAAGCGTAGTGGTATCCTCAGGCTGTTGTTGCTGAATTGACTGCATTGGCTGTTGTTGAGGCTGACGTGGAGGGCCGTCGCTTGAAGTGGGGGGAGGGTGGACTGGAGTGGTATCCTCGATAATTGATTGGTAGGGCTGCTGTGATTGAACTGGCTGTTGCTGAGGATAGTAATAAGATGATTTTAATAAGGGACGGTCTTCGTCGTCTGGTGGCCATAGGATCTCTTTCTTAATTACGTTCGCTAATTCTTTGGCTATCGAGAGTCCTCTTTCTTTCTTAATATAGGCTCTATTAACCCGTAGATAATCTCGTAGACTAATAATAACGTTCTTATTAAGAACCTCGAAGTTCTCTCTAACGTATTGAATAAAGTCGTTAGTAAAGACGTTAGAGAGTATTCTAAATTTATATATTATATATTATTATACCCTTTAATAAACGAATTTCTCGAGTTTCTCTTAGATATCTGATAATTTAGCTTCTTATAATTCCTCTAACTTACGCTTAATTATAATGCCCGGCGATATCTTTAAAGAATTAGATTTCTTATCCTTAAAGTTTATTTTAGATATATATTATGTATTAATGTAATATAAAGCTTAGTAATATTTTCTAAGTATTTTCTCTGCTAAATAGAAGTTATAGAAATTATAGAAGTAGAAATTATAATTCTATTCGATCGAATCGTTATAATAAACGGAATCGATTAAGTAACATAGAACCGTGTGAAGTATCACGGCGATATTAGAATGGACTTCCTTCAGAGTATAACCTAGCTAATCTGTATACTATTATTAAAGTATATTAATCAGTATTGATAAATATCTAGATATATAGTTACTACTATAATAAGACTTATCACTAGATATAATATTCTTAATGATATCTAAGAAAGAAGGATATCTATGTATAGGGAAGGCCTTCATATACCAATGACTAGGCCGAATGAGTACTAGCGTAAGCGAGTGTTGAGTTACCGACTTTGAGAAATATATGTAAAGCACGACGGAGCATGTGAATGAAAGGTTCAAGCCTCGGAGATAGTCTATTGCGCAATTCAGAATGATGTAGTCGCGAAGACATGAGTAAACCTCACAGGACTACTTGTGATGAGAGGCAATGAGAGTTGCAAGAGGAGCCGGAGCGACTCATGTTCGCAGAAGCTTCTCTGGAAAACATATTCTACAGCGCAAGCGCTGCTCAAAAGACCCATCAAGACGGTAGCAGGACACGATATCTTGCCTCTAAATTGAATTCCCTCCTAGCCGGCATCGATCAATATGGCAAGGCTATGGACGTGTTGTCTCAAGCATCAACAATCTCAAGTCTGTTATGGGGTTCTTTGCGAGTTATCATTCATGTGAGTTCCCTGGCACCGGTATACGAGGATGATTCTCTCTAATCCTTGATCGATGGAGCTATCATTCCAATTCCAGGCATACTTCACAGTCATGATCGCTTTGTTTCTAGCAGATTGGAGATGTCATACCCAGATTCCAAGCATACGAAAAATTCTTCTCATCCAACCCGAGATTAACACAGTCCCTGTCCAATGCTTACTTGGACATAACCAGATTCTGCACAACTGCCAAGGCCGCTTTTCAAAAGGCTAGGAAGTCTGGTTCGATCTCTTAAACTATCTCACAAGAACACTCTTTGCTGATTAGCTGTTGGTAGTTGTGAACGCGAAGATAATCTTCAAGATTTCTTGGAGGTCTGTCGAGCAGCAATTTGGAACGCTGATGACAGACTTTAGACGGCACAGAAAGTCAGTTGAGAAAGAAGCTGAGCTGGCACATCTTGTCGAGGCAGAGAAAGCGAGAGCAGTAAGCCGAGCGAACCTACAGCAGCAAGAGATCCAGAAGTCTGGTAGGTAGTGCTGCTTCCGCATTAGCCATGTTTCATTAATCCTCCTGGCAGAGGTTGAACGAATTAGGCTTCTGTCATTGCTCTCTTCAGTCCATTGGGAACAGCAACATTCTAGAATACTTGACTTGAGACATCCAGGTACTGGAATCTGGATTGTAACTCAAGAGGTATTTGGACTGTGGAGATCGGCTACAGGAACACCTCAGCAACGATGTCTCTGGTGCTACGGTATTCGTGAGAGCACCTAGCCCGAGTCCCTATAACTACGTTTTGCTGGATCTGTACTGACAAAGCACCTACCAACAGCCGGCTCTGGAAAAACCATTCTCACGTAAGCTTTTGATCTGTGGGCACTGAATCCTGATCTGATCGATAGTCCAGAGCTGGCGTGATCAATGCTCTGTCGCAAGAAGTGGACTGCCAACATACTGCTGTGGCTTATTTCTATTGCGATTATGCTGATCACGAGACTCTTGACGCTTCCGCTATACTGGGCACAATCATCCAGCAATTGCTGGTCGTCAGGTCTAGTATAGATGAAGTAACAGCGGTAAAGATTCGAGAAGCGTATGGTGATGGAATGCGAAAACCTCTACCTTGTGACCTGACCAAAATCCTGGAAGGTATCATTCACAATTACCACCATTGTGTTTATATCATCCTTGATGGTGTGGATGAAGCTAGTCCAGACACGCAAGAGAAGCTGTTCGGCAGTTTTGCGAAGCTTTTGACATCCTGCGGTACGCTTCTGAGGCTGTACTTTTCGACTCGTGAGATCACTCTGATGTCAGACCACTTCCCATCGTGCCTGAGCTTCGATGTTTCGGAAAGCCGCGTCGCTGAGGACATCGACCATTATGTCAAAGTGTCTGTTCAACAGAGGCTTCACAGTCTTCCGGTCATGCTCAATCACCCCTATCTAGAAGAAAACGCGGTTCTTGAGCTTACAGCAAAAGCGCATGGACTGTGAGTCCCTCCTTTCCGTTCTTCTTGCTTAGTTCCACCGCTGAATTTGCAGGTTTCTTTGGGTCTCTCTTCAAATGGAGGAACTTTGCGAACCGTCTCATTCTGAGCGAAGCTTCAAGTCTGCCTTACAAGACCTACCGGAAGGGCTGACAGCAACCTACGAGAGAATTTCTCAAAAGATTGCCTGCCGTTCCGTACGTCAGAAAGCTCTCGCTGAAAGGATCCTTAATTGGGTTGTCTGTGCCAGGCGCCCGCTGAGGTTTGACGAGCTCAAAGATGCCGTTGCCGTTGACTTTGATGACGTCTCGTGGGACAGAAGAAAGTTTTCGGCAGAGACTGAGGGGAAACGTTTCCTTCATGTGTGTGGAAATCTGGTCGTATTCCACGAAAGAGACAGTACAGTCCGCCTTGCTCATCACACGGTTGGGCAGTTCCTTGACGAACAGAAGAGTCACCATTCACAGACCGACGTCAGAATCGGCAAGATTTGCTTGACATACTTGGGCTTCTCTGATTTCGAGACCCAAGTGATTCCTTTTAGAAAGAACCAAGACCTCTTTGGTGCACAATCTTCAAGACAGGCGGGCTTTCCCCTTATCCCCCAGGTTCTGGGTTTCAGCAATGGTGTATACGATTTCATACTTGGGCTATATAACTGGAACAACAGGCGGTCAATTCCAGATGTCAAATATGCTGAGATCATGAGAAGATATGGAAAAAGGCCTTTGCCGGAATCATTGACCCGAAAATACTGCCTTTTGGACTACGTCATAGAGAATTGGATTTGGCATGCCAAATAATTTGATGCATACACCCTGGAGTCTTGGAGCAAATTTGAAGAAATGGTGTTCTACAAAGCCTTACCATTTGACTTCAAGCCATGGCACAGTCGAGAAGGACCGTCTAATCTGCCCCACTTGACAATGTATCTTTGGGCCCTCGAGAACAACCACCTTCCTCTCCTGCTTCTTCTCAGGGATCTTTCTGGTCACCGGTCTCTGAGACCCTACCTACAATACAGGACCTTGTGCTGGGATCAAGTGCCACCGCACCTACTGACACGTAGTGCCAGGGTAACCGCAGTTGACTTTCATCGATATCCTGATGCCTACGATTGGCCGGCGATGAACATATTTCTAGATGGGCGAACAGAGAAACAGATCCTCCAACTCTGTCTGCAGGAAGATCCATCGGTTTTCTCAACCCCACATATCAGGGCCCGCGCTTTGGAAGATGCCAACTCAGGAGTTATTCAAAGTCTATTGCGAAGTGGGGCGAACTTGCAAAAGACCGAAATTGATGCAACCAATGCCCTGCACATTGCTAGTCAAAGAGGAAATCAAGATCTTGTCAAGATACTCTTGGATCTCGGTGCAGACGCCAATTCACGATCTTCTAAAGATGAGCGCGGAAGGACTCCTTTATACGAGGCGCTCGTGAACAATGGGTCGGGCAATCCTGACCATCGCAGGACTTGTGTAGATCATGCACGTTCAAGTTCGTCTCTTGACATGATAGAGCTTCTCCTGGACCATGGCGCAGATCCTAATGCCATGCAAGAGGGCAAGGAAACGGTCTTACATAAGGCATTAGTGTTCGCAAACAGTGAGGCCATACAGAAATCACGCATGCACAAGTAGATCTGTAGATATATGATTGGGCATATCCAACACTGGGGCAGCTGAGACCTTTTTAGATATTTAGATATGCAAATAGCCCCGAAAAAGGCCCCCCAGCGCTAGAAAAACTCCCAAACCCAAGACGTCTTCCAAGAGGGCGAAGGTCTCGAGAAGGACTTTTAACGGTATTTATGGCAGCAAGCAGTAGGGACCGGCAGCACTAGCGCGGACGGGCTGGAAGGTGCTGGTGTTGTAGTGAATGATAGGTAGGCTAGGTGAGTGACGAAAAGGCGGTAGGAATCTGACTCCCTCAACACCAAGTTGCAGCCCCTCTGCGGAAGGACTGGTACCAATGACTGACATCAGGTGGGGCTTCCCACCTGATGTACCAATGGATACCGATGACTGACATCAGGTGGGGCTTCCCACCTGATGTACCAATGGCTACCAATGACTGACATCAGGTGGGGCTTCCCACCTGATGTACCAATGGCTACCAATGGCTACCGATGACTGACATCAGGTGGGGCTTCCCACCTGATGTACCAATGACTGACATCATGTACCAATGACTGACATCAGGTGGGGCTTCCCACCTGATGTACCAATGGCTGGCATCAGATGGGGCTTCCCACCTGATGTACCAATGACTGACATCATGTACCAATGACTGACATCAGGTGGGGCTTCCCACCTGATGTACCAATGGCTGGCATCATGTACCAATGACTGACATTAGGTGGGGCTTCCCACCTGATGTATCAATGGCCGGCATTAGATGGGGCTTCCCACCTGATGTAAGGCTTTGACACGTCATCGCCCGATGCAATAGCCCAAATGGCTGGAATAGCTAGGATATCCCAATGGCTGCGGTAGCCTGGAATATGGCTGTGATAGTTAGACTAAGATATCCCTATAGCTACGGTAGCCTAAATAGCTGGGATAGTTGAAATATCCCCATGGCTGCGGTAGCCCAAATGTCTGAAATAACTGAGACGTCCCATGGCTGCGATAGCTCAATTAGTTGGAATAGTTGAGATATCCCCATGGCTGCGGTAGCCCAAGTAGCTGAAATAACTGGGACATCCCCATGTCTGCGGTAGCCCGATTAGCTGAAATAGCTGGGACATCTCCATGGTTGCGATAGCCCGAATAGCTGAAATCACTGAGACATCTCCATGGCTGCGGTAGCCCGAATAGCTGAAATAGCTGGGATATCTCTAAGGCTGCGATAGCTCGAATAGTTAAAATAGCTGAGATATCTCTATAGTTGCGGTAGCCCGAATAGCTGAAATAATTAGAACATCTCTATGATTGTGGTAGCCCGAATAGCTAAAATAGCTGGAATATTTCTATGGTTATAGTAGCCCGAATAGCTGAAATAACTGAGACATCTCTATGGTTGCGATAGCCCGAATAGCTGGAATTGCTGAGACATCTCCAAGGCTGCGGTAGCCCAAATAGCTGGAATAGCTGAGACATCTCCACGGCTGCAGTAGCCCAAATAGCTGAATTATCCGCATGGCTGCAATAGCTCAAATAGCTGAAATAGCTGAAATAGCCACATGGCTGCAATAGCTCAAATAGCTGAAATAGCTGAAATATCCACATGGCTGCAATAGCCCAAATAGCTGAAATAGCCACATGGCTGCAATAGCTCAAATAGCTGAAATAGCTGCAATGATTGAAAACATCCACATGGCTGCAATAGCCCAAATAGCTGAAATAGCCACATGGCTGCAATAGCTTAAACAGCTGAAATAGCAACATGACTGCAATAGCTCAAATAGCTGAAATAACTGAAATACTCAAATAGCTGCGATGCCTGAGATAGCCGACTTAGCTGAAATAACTACATACCATATAGCTATAATAGCTGACTATCCTTATAGCCGTATGGCTTCAGTGACTGAAATGGCTGAAATTTCTGTTGGAATCAGTCAATAGGAGGCTAGCATTTCTACACACTATTAAGTTTTAAATAAGTATTGTAACTACGCCTTATGATAGCAAATAGTCTTAGTGTAGCTTCACATCATAGATAGATAATCACCTCTATTTTTACTATATACTTCTTTATAGAATATAATAATAAATAATTATTCTATATAATTTAAGATTATTAAATATATATTATTTTTAATAGATTATAAGCTCGAAATTTCGCTATCGTAGTCTCTATATTATTAATTAGAAATATCTATTTATTTAATAATTTAGTATTATAGAAGTTAAACGAATATTCTTATATTCTTATTATATATTTTTCTATTTACTCTTTTATCTTTTCTTTAATAGATAACTATATAAGATAATTATATAGGCGTTTAATATATACGTAGCTATATTAACTTAGATCTAAAAAAAATTAAAGTTTAAAGAGTAGAAAAATTATTAGTTTTAATTAAAGAAGATAAAGAGTATTTTAAAGTATTACGATTTATAGAACGTAGTAAAATAAGAATTAATACTATTTTTAAATAATTTATTAGAGAAAGTTATTATTATAAATATATTAACTAATAAAATCTATTATATAAAAACTATTATATTAAGATCTATTAATTAGTAAATTTTAATTTATAATATTAAGATAAAGGTCTAAAAGAATCTTAATAATTAAATATCGAAATTTATCTACTCGATATATAAGAATAAACTAATCGAAGTAATAGAAGATAAGAAGATAGTTATAATTAGATAAAGTAAATCTAAATAAATTATATAAACTTCGAATTTATTCTTCGCTTTACTAAGTTATAGAAATTATAAAATACTATTATAACTAATAGTAATAACTCGATTAAGATCTATATTATTAATATATATATAAAATCTAAAAACCTTAAGCGTATAAGAGCTTTAATCGATAGATAGATTCTTATTATTCTATTATTAAATAATTTAAATAAAAAGTATAAGAACTTTATATATCGTCTTATTATATAACTTAATAACATATTAGACTTTAATAAAATTATTATACTTTTTTATAAAGAAGATCGTCTCCTTAAGCGAGATAATAAGAAATAAGCTATAGTTGTTATTATAAAGAAATATTATAAGAAATAGAAAGATAAGAAGATCTTTAGAGATAATAATAATTTAGAATATAGAGATAATACTTTAGAATAAGATTAAGGTAGAAATAATAATAAAAATAATAATTACAACTTTAATCCCCTATTAAATAACTCGAATAGTATCTACTATAAGAAATTAGATAACGTATCTAAGTATCTAAAGTATTTACTACTATTAAATAAGAGTAAGAAGAGATATTAGTTATTTAGCTACTAAATTCTTTATAACGAAAAGATATCTAATTAATTTCGAAATAATAATAATAATAATAATAATTTGAATTTTAAGTCTAAAGCGAATATAGCTAATATAATTAATAAGTCGAACGATTTTATAAATTAAAATTATACTTATATTTTAGTAATAGCTTATATTATAATCGATAATAAGAATACTATAAGAGATAAAGAGTATTAAAGTTATCTAGTTAATAGCTTAATATCTAAATTAGATAAAGAAATAATAAATAAAGAGCTCGAAATTAAGTCTCTTAATTATCTCTTAATTAAAATAGCTAAATCGTAAGAATTATAAAAGAGTATAGAGAATTAATTAATATCTTAGCTTAACGTTAGCTTAAAATTAAGTAATAAGATAAATTAAGAAATTAAAAATATTCTTAACTCTTTATCTAATTCTCTAGATTCTCTAGAGAATAAAATAATTAACGAATTATTATATAAATTCTTAATTTACTTTCTCTTCTATATAGTATATATAAATAGTTAATCTACTATTATATACGAATAAATAATAAACTTAGACTATACTAATTATATATTCTTTAATAAAAACGAGTTTATCGACTATTAATTATATTATATAGATACGAGTAAAGATATATAAATTAAATTCATAATCATTTTTTTAATTAGGCCTATCGAGTAAAAATAATAAGCGATCTTTAGAAAGCGATCTTTGATGAGCGATCTTTGATGAGCGATATTTGAGTGCCTTGCCTTTTAATAATTATAAGACTAAATTTTAAAATTTTTAAAGTATTTAAAAGCGTAATCTACGCTTTACAATTTAAAAAAAAAACCTTAAAAATTTAATAGAAAATAAAAAAGTTATTTTATATGTTAATAACGTATATCTATTTTATTAATAATTGCGAATATTTGATAATTGCGAACGCTAATTTATTTACCCGCGATAACTCAGTCGATTTAATTAAAGAGCGTAGTGACTCTAAATTTATAATTGGCTGTATATATAAATTTAAGATTTTTAAGCTTAGCTCTATCTTATTCTATTATATATACTAATTATAATAATTAATAAGACTATTATTTAGACGTAGGGCTGCGATATAATTAAAATAAAATAGCTATTATAAGATAAATCTAGTAATATTATAAAAGTTAGTAAAGTCTTATATATTTCGAATCTTATATATAAACTATTTTCGATTAATTAGATTATATAAAAAGAATTTAAAATTATCTTTCTTAATAATAACTATTATATTTTTTAAGATAGTAAGCTTATTAATAGCGCTTCGAAGATAAATAATATCTATATTCTTAATATCTTATAATTTATAACTAAGATTTTAATATTTATTTAAAAGAATATAAGAGTCTTAATAATAAGTCTAATATTTAATAAGAAAGCTATCGAGCTATAATATTATTAAATAAGATATTTAAATAAGATAGATTTTAAGAGACTAATTAATATAAGTAAGAATATTATATTAATTTAGAAACCTCGAATTAGATTAATATATAAGATCTATTTTAAAATTAAATTTATATGAAAGGTTTTAAGAAGAGTATAATATAAGATACTCGAAAAACTTAATAAGATTTATATAAACTTGGAAGAATTTTTTAATATATTATTTATTAATAGAGTTAAGTACTATATACTTCTAATTAATTAAGTAATTCTTCGAATTTAATACTTTACGTATAAGTATAAAAATAAGATCTTTAAGTTATTTCGTAATTAGAAAACTTAGATAAAAAACGAATTCGATTATAAGATTAAGATAGTTTATTTAAATAATAATATTAAATTTATTAATAATAAGTTTAAAGAATATTTTAAAGACTTTAAAATTATATAAAAGTTTATTATATTCTATACGTCTAAGTAAAATAAACTTAGTAAGATATAAAATTAAATTATTATAAATAAGATAAAAGCTATACTTTTTAACTCGAAGTTATCTCGCTATTTATAAGTTAAAACTACTTTATATTAAAGTATATTAAAAGAATAGAAGTTTTACTATTTATCTTTAAAATATAATATTATATAAGATATAGATAGATAAATAATTATATCTCGATTATATAAAGATTATCGATTACGTTATCTAGATATATATATTTAAGAAAAAGTATAAGAAGCTCGATAAACGTAGTAAGAAGTACTATCTAATTAATTACGAAGGTATAAATATCTTTTAAATATAAAATCTAGCTACTCGATAAATAAAATAATTCTTTTATATCGATTTTAATAAATTATAAATATTAATTATTATAATCTTAGATATAGATTATTAGCTAGTTAAGACTATTAATAATAATATAATAAATATATTTAATATAGAAGATAACTTTATAATATATTAATATATATTTAAGATTATTATTAATATCGATATAGGTCTTATTAATATAAATAAAATTAGAAATATTCTTTTTAATAAAAATATTAAAGAAATTAGAGAAATTGAAGATATAGAAGATAGTAATATAGGCTTAGAAGAATTTAATAATAATAATATTAAAGAGATATCTCGAGATAGCTTTATTACTTATTTAAATCTATATTCTAATATAATATATAGTTCTTAATTAAAACGAACTTCTATATCTTTTTAGAAAGTTCTTTTTAATAATAATTAAAGTAATATTAAGATACGAGTAAAGGCCAATGAATTAAATTCATAACCGTTTTTTTTGATCAGGGCTGTCCGAGTGGTCGAGTAAATTTGGTGAGCGGTCTTTGATAAGCGATCTTTAGTAAGCGATATTTGAATTCCTTACCTTTGAAGAACTATAAGATCAAAGTTTAAGATTCTTTTTTTATCTGAAAGCCCACATTACGTTCTATAATTTAAAAGAAAAATCTCGAAATTTAAATAGAAAATAAAAATGTTATTCTAAAATTAAATAATGTGTACCTGTTTTTTGATTAGGGCTGTCGAACTTTGATAAGCGATATTTGAGGTCCTTACCCTTTAATAACTATAAGATTAAATTTTAAAAATTTTACGTTATTGAAAAGCGCAATATTCGCTCTATAATTGAAAAAAATAATATTAAAATTTTAATAGAAAATAGTAAAGTTATTAAAGGGTTAAAAGTAGAGTAAGAGATTTTAATGATTGCGAACGCTAATTTGTTTACCCGCGGTGACTCAGCCGGTCTAGCCAAAAGGCGTAATAACCCCGAATTTATGATTGGCTATATATATAAATTCAAGGTTTTCTAATTTAGCCCTACCTTATTCTTTTATATATACTAATAGATTTAGAGAATTATTACTTATATTAAATATAATAAGACTCTTAAATTAAAATATCTATATTATAGATAAGTTATATTAAGTTATAAGAATCTAGATTATTATAACTTCGATTTTATTTTTAATCTCGCTATTATTATTTAGTAAATAATTAATATAAGATATTAATAAGTTATTATAAAGATTAACGATTTTAAGTTATTAATCTATAATTAAATAATAATTAATCTCTATATTAAATAATAAAAGAAGATTATAAATAAGTAAATAAATTTCTTTACTATAATAAATATTTAAAAGTTTATTCTAAGAATCATCTGCAAATCTGAAAAGTTTCTATAAAATTTGAAATTGCTGATCGCGCGTTTATCGCGGAAATTATAAAATTCGTCGAATTAGTAAATCTAATTAGAATCCGTCTAAATTCTATTAATTTAGTAAATCTAATTAGAATTCGTCTAAATTCCGTCGATTTAATAACTATCTTAATCTTTTTCGCTAGTTCTATTAGTTTAATAGTAATATATATAAAAAAAGAAAAGTTCTAATAATCGACGTTATGATAATAAGGTTCTACGATAACGAGTATTAACGCTAACTTAAATTTAGCTATAGAATTAAACGATTTAATAAAATTAATCGCGTAGATAATACTCTAATATAGCGTATAATAATATATATATTAATAATAATATATATTAATACTATATATATATAGAATAGTACTTAGAGTATATTAGAGTATATTACGCAAAATTTTTAAAGTTATTAAAAATTTTTGAAGTTGTTAAACTAATAGAACTGGCGGAAAGAATTGAAATAGTTATTGAATTGGCGGAAAGGGTTAGATATAGATAAAGTCTACTAAATAGACTAAATCGTGCTTATAATACAAACTCGGCGGAAATCGTACGGAAAGGAACTTTTTAGATTTATAGATGATAAAAGATATATTAATTCTTATTAATAGATAAGTTTATAAGATAAAGAAGAAATTTAATAATTTTATTCTCTATAAAGTACGCTAAATAATTCGAGGTTTTAAATAAATCTACGGCGTTAATTACGATTAAACCTTCGTCTTAATTATTAAGTTTATATTATTTAAGATACTATTTATAATTATAATATATTACGATCTAGACTATAAGTAAATAAATATTATTATTATATTTCTTAATATACCATTAAAGAAAATTATTTATATAAAATAATTTAAAGAGTATAAAAAGAAAGATAATAAGATATATCTACTACTTAGAGTACTATATAATTTAAAGTAATTACTATAAAAATAATACTTTACTCTATAAAACTTTCTTATATTTAAAGAATTTAAATCAATCGAATTCGATTACTTACTCTTTATTAATAAAAAAATATAACTTATTATTAGCGTATATATAAATAATATTTAAATTTATAATTTAAAAGAATTAAAATAAATATCGAAATTTAAATGAGATTTATATAAATAATTTATTATAACTAATCTCGAGCTATACTTATACTATTCAAATATAGAAATCTAGAGAAATCGTAAGAAGAGAATCGTTTAAGTTACTTAAATAATATATCTAAGAAAGATATTATTACGATTTAATATAATTAATTATATATCTATCTCTATATTAATAATAATAGATATTTAACTATAAGAGAAACTAGTTAATAAGATTAAATTAGAAGTTATTTAGAAGTATTAATTAATAATAAAATTAATAATATACTTTATAATTTAAACTTACTCGAATATCTATTTTATTATTATAATTCTTTTACGATATAATTATAACTTAAATTCGAAATATATTATAGTTATTAAATAAGTTATTCGTTATTTAAAGAAAATATTAATTTATAATATTATATATAAAATAACTAATATATTAAAAGATTATATAAATACTAATTAAATCTTAAATTAAGAGACTTATCGATTTCTTAAAGTCTATATATTCTTATTCTATAATAAAATTATTAATTAAATATTTAAACGATAATAGTTTATTATATTATTATCTTATAAAGTTAAATATATAGTTTAGATCTAGATAGTAAAGAAAGCTATTTAATTAATTAAATAAATTAGATATTAATTTTAAATTATTTAATAGATTAATACTAATTAAAGTAAATAATTAAAGAACTATTATATTAATTAAGAACTCTCGCTTTCACTTATATATTAAGTATATTAATATCTAATAATATTTTATATAAAATTAAGTAGAAATAGAAGTAATTATATTTAAATAGATATCTATTAACGATATAACTATAAATAAACTTATTAAAGCTCTTATTAATAATAAATTCGCTATATTTATATATTAAATTAAATTTAAAAAGAGCGAATAAAAGAAATAGTCTAAATTCGAATTATATGAAAGTGTTGAAACTAATAGTATTTCTAGTTACTATTTAAATTATATAAAAGTATTAGAATCAGCTAATAGGAGGCTAGTATTTCTATATATTACTAAGTTCTAAATAGATATTATAATTACGTCTTATGGTGGTAAATAGCCTTAGTGTGACTTCACACCATAGATAGATAATTAGCTCCATCCTTACTATATACTTCTTTATAGAACATGACAATGAACAACTATGCTTCATGATATGAGACCATTGAGTGCATACCATTTTCAATAATTTCAATGTAGCTGCGATAGCTGAGGTGAATAGTTATAGGTGGAATGGCTGAAGTGTGTATCCAAATGGTAGTGGCATGGTCGCATGGCCGTACGGCTGCAAATGGCTGGAATGGCTCCAATGGCTGGAATGGCTCCAATGGCTGGCATGGCTCCAATCGGTGAATAGCTGCAGATATCTATGTGACTGCAATAGCCTCAAATAGCTGGTATGCTGGACAATTCCATATGGCTGGAAATGGCTGAGTAGCCTCATGGCCGCATGGCTGCAATAGGGCTGAAATAGGGCTGAAATATCCATGTGACTGCAGTGGCCTCAAATAGCTGGAATGGCTGAAATAGCCGAAATATCCTTTCGCAATGACTGATAAAAGAACAATGATATGGCTCTGAAAGAGAACAATTCGAATGAAGAGCCCACTACTGGTGCAGTGGCCATACAAATAGTACTCGCCATGTCCACCTGTCTCCGTACTATCGCATATCGCATATCGCATGCATATCGCATAATGATGGAACGGCTGATCAAACAGCCACTACCGCTATGGCCTCATAATGGACCCACTAACCCACAGTCCCACTGTTGCGAGTAGGCTTAGGAGAGGCTTATGTACGACTCCTGCTATCACATGGAGCCGATGTGGAAGCTAGGAACGATCGACAACAGAGCATTCTGGACCTGACTGTTGACGCATTGGACAGCAGTGTTGACGCTCTAGTCGAATACGGCGTCAATTTAGAAGCTAGAGACGCAAATGGTCAAACTGCGTTTTTGAAAGTCGTCGGAAAAAGACGTGACACTCGAGCTGGAGTGGAGATGCTCATTGGACTTGGGGTTGACGTCCACGCAAAAGACAATAGGGAACAAACTGTTCTCCATCTTTATCTTCGCCCGCATGGATATTATCGTCGCTCGCATAAATATTATCGTGGCTCGAGTGATGGAACACTACGGCGTTTGCTAGAGCTTGGAGTGGATGTAAACGCTAGAGATCAGAGTGGAAAAACAGCCTTGGTGCTTGCTGTGGAAAACACCGATAACCCACAATTCAAGTTGCTGCTTGAGTTCGGGGCCGTCTTCGGAGCAGAGAGGAAACCATCATCAACTAAGGCTGCCGCTCATAGGAACATAGAGTTGGTGAATTCACTGCTTCGCATGGGGCAAGATCCAAACCTGTTGAAAAAAGCGAACCGAGTGCCATATTTTTAGCCGTGAAAAATCAAAGCAAGGAAGTCGTAATGAGGCTGCTCGAGGCAGGAGCTGAACCCAAATTTGATGGGAAAAAGTTTTGTGCCTCCGTTAGGCCGAGCTGTCAGGGCTAGAGACAAGGAGGTTGGAGAAACTCTGATCCAGGCGGGAGCAGCCATCCAATTGTCGGATCCTCTCCTATTCAGTCCAGTATACATTGCAATCACGTCGAATGACGTCCACATGCTCGAGTTTCTTAGCCGACGAGGAGCAGATGTATCCACCTTTCAACCCGAGGATTGGGGGACCTGGGGGCGGACCAGGTACATATGTGCGAGTTCCTGTCCGAGCTCAGTGTCCCTTTCAAGCTATACAACAATGTAGATTTTGATTGATCTATAATTAAGATGTTTTATGAAAACGAACGGGGCTCATTTGTGACGTTAGCTACTCCTCGATAGATTTGGATCCTAGCTGCTCCTCTTTCTCCTTTAGCACCGGCGCAGTATATACTCAAGCTAAACTCTGTCATGATAGTCAATCATTATTTGCGTGCAGGTTACCAAACGCACATATAAACATGATTCAAGGGCCAGCACTTGACTTTCCGAATTCGACTGCACAGCGAGCATGTAACGCGCAAGGTCTGAGAAGAAGATGCAAGCTTCTAAGCCTTACATGGTTGTCCTACGCGGAAGATTGGGCGCTGGAGTATGCTGCATGCATGCCCCGTGCTTCGCCCACTGTTGGCCCCCCTCAGCCCTGGGGGGAGATGTTCGTCCTAGCGATCGGGGGGGGGGAGGATCTGTCTTTGGTTGTACCTGTTTGATCTCACTGCATTTCTGTGTCCGCAAACGCAGTCTGATCATGACAGGTACATCGACGCATTCGGTCACAGAGGAAGTTTAAACCAATATGTCTCGGTCTTTGGACATAAATGCTCGCCGCGGTGCCGTTTGACGGCGTCCGCAATGTCGGAAATTTGGATCGTGGCCAATCAACTTCAACCATTTGTCCTTCGTGGTTTCGGTAGACTAGACGGATCTTTCAATGCCATCATGTCATCCTTTCTCGGCTTGAAGACAAGAATGAGAGCGCTAGTCGTGAGTTCTAATCAGATCCGCAATAAGATATGTAGATCGAGAATGAGAATATTGAAGCAGAAGAGTGTCGAGCGTGAGTGACAGAGGGAGAACGTCTGCCCCATACTTGAGTACTTGCCCCTTAGAGAAGAAATCCTGGTTTTTGCTCGGCTTCGACAGGGTCAGAAGAGTCTTTAGAGTCTTGAAGTTCTCGGAACAGCGAGATGGGTCGCAGTTTGAACTTTGGCATGGGAAAAACAAGCACGCTGCATTGTCGACCTTGTCAGGTAGAGTACAATTGGTGTGAATGGGTTGAATGGAACTACAAGATGTGGATGGCTATGCTTTCTACCGCGCATTTCACTGGAAACGGAGTCGTCGAATTCTTTGTGGTACAAGTGGCTAACGCTCATGTCTCCAAGTCTATGAGATTGTGTGCGGGACTTCAACGGCTCCGATGCCTTAGGATAACCGCTTTTCCAGCGGAAACAGAGTTTTGGAGGAATTTAGGAGCGAATGAACTTGGTCGGGCATGTGTCTTATACAAAACTTGGGGGGGCAGACGAATTCGGGCTAGAATCTATTGGAAAGGAGATCTTGGTAAACATGGTGTCTTCCGTCAACGACCTTGGTCCCAAGTCCCACCGCGCAAAGTCAGACAACTCCCACTTCTGAGAACCGAATGTCTGGCTCTGGGTCTCAGTACACAGGCCACGCCCCCGGGACGGGTTCGTCTTCCACAACGCGCGCGCAGTATTCACCCAGAGGTGGATAGCGGTCTGCTTCCGGAACGCCTTGGACCTCTTGGATGTGACGCAGCAATTCTTCAAGAGCAGAGATGGTTTCCAGCTCAAATTCCAGCTCATCTTCGTAGTATTCCATCAACCGAACATTAAGGCCCTTGCTTTGGCAGTATGCCTCCCAGTTGGGTCCATTTTTCATCCGTAAAAGGTCGAAAGCCGTATTTCCATCTTTATCTTGTGCTTCTAAGTCTAGCTTCGTGATATCTGCATGGCGCATTACCTCGCAGAGCCGATGAAAGTTGCGCCTATCATCGGATGTATGGGTGACGGCAAGATGTAAAATCGTGCTACCTGTGACGGTCTTCACATCAAGGCGTGCGCCAGCGCGTGCGAGAATATCAAAGGTCTCAGGGAACGCAGCACAAGCAGCATACATTATTGCAGTATTGCCTCTCTTGTCAGCAATCTCAATGTCAGCGCCGAATTTGATCAACTGTCTCAGACGGGGTGCTGCGTCGCTAAGCAGATAGTCGCAAGTCAAGCGCATTAGTATAGTCACACCCTGGACACCATCAAATTCCGCACGGTGATCGAGGTCAATGCCGTGTCTAACGAGCAGCTCGTCCACCGCCAAAGTGTCACTTCTCCAACCGGAATAAGGCCATGGCAGCCAGCCAGTATCGCCAGAGGGACTGAGGGTTGCACCTGAATCGAGAAGCAATTCTACAATTGCGTAATCTGAGTATCCCTCTACAGCGGCCCAAATAGGCGGGTCACCAGTATTCGGATCGGCTCCCCGCTCTAGTAGTCTTCTAACATAGTCGAGTTTTCGATGGTTTACTGCATACCATAATGCACTCCGACCATGTCTGTCCAACTCGTTAATAGCAGCTGAGCGTCGCAGCTCAGCATTCAAGGAAAGGTTGCTCAGTCCACACACGATCTGATGCAACATAGTAAACTTTTGGCTCTCCACGTTGCATTCCCATTCCACCGCAGGCAGAATTTCAGTCAGCAACCTGTACGGCCCATCACCATAATTCCGCGTCGGATAACGGGCGACAAGAACGAAGAGTCGCCATACAAGGCTCTCGGCCTCGGCCGTAACAGACCATGGATCGTGGCAGAAGTCGCTGTAATTTGAAATACAGAACATTGTCTCAGCATCAAACTGAAGCGCGGCCCACTGAAAGATTTAAATCAGAAAATATCTCCTAAAACTGAATTCTCTATGGCTATTCTTACAGTAAGAAGATTATTCCCGTATTGGTCAACATCATATGATGTACAGTCTCCATTTGTAAGAGCAAGCTTCAATGATTCGAAGTCAAGGTTTACTACGGCCTCAAAGGCTGCGTTGCTATCGCTTACTACTCGGGGGACTCTAAGTAGAAGCTCCGGACCGCAAGGTGGAGATGATGTAAGCCATACGAAAATCATACGAGATGCCAACCATTGCGGTAACAAATATTGGACTGATATGCGTGGCGCAGTAAGAGCTCCGCATGACTCGGTGTCGCACTGAATTCCGAGTATGAAAGAACCAGCTGTCTGGATATAGCCACGGCCAAAGATCTTCGAGAGAGTCCCGGAGGCGCCGAATCGTCTGGAAACATGGCACTTGCAGGCGCAACCTATGGCACAGATGCTGACTCTCTGGACTTTTCTGACACGAAGAATTCTTTGAGGATGGAGCTTGGACACAGTCTGGTCCGCTTGAAGCGTTTCGGTCTCGGTAGCTTTCGCTACGGTATCGTTTGCTTGAGGGTCTGATTCGAGAGTAAGCTGTCGGACCGTACCCAGCGAGCCAGCCAAAGCCGATTGAGTAGAAGGCGATTCTTCCAAAAGCTGTACCAGGTGGGCAAGAGCAGGTAGTATAGGGAGTATCTGATTGCTGAGTTGTCGATGCTCGGAGAGCGTTTGATTTGTGACCCGGGATACCTGATCCAGGGTTATACTTTCGAGGGAACTTAGCGATTTATGACATTTCCTCACGAAGGTGCAGAAAAATGGTGACCGAACATACCTGGTGTTGACGCCGACAAGTGCTACTAGGTTAGCTGTGACATCACGCAGTTGTCCCCGCAGTCGCTCCACATCCTTTGAGCTGCGTGTCCACTGCCAGCGGTCGACTTTATTACTAGTTCCCGCCTCTGTCAATTTATATTCAATCAACGACTCAAAGTCGACTAGGATTCTGCGGGCCATCTCGAGCAGCCTTCCCAGCTCAACCCCAGGATTCTCATGAGCTCTCTGGACAGCTTGCAAAACAAGCTCAAGTTGAGATATCTCGGCGAGTAGGTCGTCCAGTTCCCGTGGCGCGTCTTGTAATGCTTTGAGGCGGCGGATTCCTTTGATGACCTTTGCAGTAGCGCCAACCACGGCAATAACACTCGCGCCCACCGAGAGAGGCTCCATTGAGGACGCGGCAAAGATCTCGCTGCCTGAAATCACAAGGCTAGGACCCTAAAATATAATTCTTTGCGCCGCTAGAAGATACGGGCTTTGGTCTTGTTTCTTCTGATTGTCACCACAGATATTCAGTATCGGGATCAGATACTGCAAGAAGTGAAACGGATATTCATCATGGTCAAGAGAGAAAGAAGAAAGCAAGAAAGAGGTGCGAAGGGAAGGCAGACATTAAAATCCCCCGCACTTCGCCCAGCTCAGCCTCGCGCTAATGTATGCACGATGATGAGTGTGTCCAGAGGTCAATACATTCGGTGTGGGCTGTGTCCCAAGTTCTCTCTCGCCAACGTTGCCAATCGGGCACGAATTACTGCGGATACGATGCCTTCTCTAATTACCGCATTTCCGGAGAGTTCTTACGCAGCCGTTTGTGCTACTAGGTGTTTCGTAGCACTCAGATACGCACGTAGCTAGACTGACTGTCTTAGCTTCGATCTCTGCCTTTTCTGCTTGAGCGGCGGAAACATACAATACATACATCATTTCGGATATTCTTGGAAGCAGAAAATGGAGGCACCGGGAGGTATTGGAACCTTACCGCCAGGAGGAAACTATGGCCTAAGATGTCTCTGGGAGAGCGCTTTCCTTTTACATTTTCTGTCGTTACCTACACGTCTGGAAAAGTATCGCCGGGATCCAATGATTGCGAAGGAACCAAGGTCCCCCAATGGGATAGCAGCGATCCTACATGCACGTTACCGTCAAAATCAGCCAATAGGGGCAAAGAGATGTCAACAACCTAAAATTAGCGCTTCGATTTCGATTGCCATTACTATTTCTACGATACCTTTTTCCTTCTCACCATTCTCATACGACGAGCATTATTCCAAACTTTGAGCCAGGATTTCAAATCATCATACAGAGAAATCATCAACTAAAGATCCCCTTAGGCAGACTAACACAGACTAAGAAGAAACCTACCTTTGTGTCACCTCCTCCAACCATGCCAACCACCCTCTTCACCCTCCCCCGCGAACTCCGGGACGAAGTTTACATCTATCTTGCCCATTCCCCCAGCTTCACCTTCCTACTCGCCTGCCGCCAACTCAACGAAGAGGGCACACCCCTCCTCTACAAACACGGCACCTACCGCCTCCGCGCCCTGACCCTCCGCAAAGAACACCTACCCGCGCCCCCCAAACCATCTCCGACCTCTCTGATCCAAAACCTCCACATCGCCATGCCGCCCATACATTTCGGGCACCACAAAAGCCCCAACTACGAAATCTCGCGCCGCACTGCGGAGTCGCTGAGCCAATTCGGTGGCACCGACATTCGGCGTCGGATCTGTCATTTCGATCTGCAGGGGTGGACTCTCTCCGCAGGGATGGCGAAAGTGTCGGGCGGTTTCCGCGGGTTCGACGTCGTGCGCGTGGAGGTACGGTTGAAGCCTTATAGTGATCACTATAACGGAGGGATCAGGCCGCACGATGAGGATCGCGCGGATGAGGAGAGGGTTGACTGTGTGCGATTGATCGAGGAGAGACTTGGGACGGCGCTTGGGGAAGCCAAGTGGGAGAAGAAAGACTCCGGGACCTGTTTTGAAGAGGTTCTGGTTGCGGAGTTCCGGCCTTGTGGATCAAGGCAATGAATGGGTCTAGGGACGTCGAGAGGGGGAGTGGAGTTGCTGTCGTTTACTATGGTGAAGTTAAAGGTGCAAAGTACTGCCAGGGCATATGACTTTCTAAGACCACGCATATTCATGACTACCGCGGGCGCCACAAGCGAGGAGAGTCTCTAAGATATTCCAAACTCCCATCGATCCCAACATGCTAAACCACAAAAGCCTGAACCCACATCCCTCATTCACATCTCATTGCCCTCATCATTTCCGCCGTTCCTACCTACTCTCTCCATCCTTTCTCTCCTGGCGCTCTCTCTCCAGATCCTCTCTCTCCTTTGCCTTTCCCAGTTCCTCCCGTTGCTCATCCCGCAAATTCACCATCTTCCCATCCCTCACCACCAATTCACCCAGTCCGCCAGGGTCAGCCATGATGTGCCCAGTTTCGCGCTGATAGACACTATTATACACACCACCGCTGGCCCACAACGTACCAGTCCCGGCGGCATAATCAGGCTTACTGGGCAGTCCGACCGCTTGAATATCCGACTTCGGGTCTCCGACCTGGTGTCCTGCCGCAGTATCCCTATCGCTATCTTCCGGAACCGAAATCTCAGACTGCAGCTCCTGAACCCCACCCCGTGCGCTTTCATCAGCTGGACGGCCCGGCATGCGTTTCAGGATCTGGAGTAGCTCGTCGGGTGTCTGGTTCGAAACCCAGAGGTTGAGGGTGGGCGGGGCTGGTGCTTCTCCGATGCGACGCAATTCCGCTTCGAAGTCGGCGCTCATGCGTGCTGAGAGCTGAAGGGCGGTGCCGTTGTGGTCGAGGATGCGGATGCTCATGGTGAGGGAAATTGGGGTTGGTGAGGGGGAGTTGGTTGTGAGGGATCAATTGCTCACAGGGAGTGGATGTATGGGTAGATATAGGATTGAAGGATAAAGGATTGAGGGAGCTGCACGGAAAGTACTGGAAAGCACTGGACATATCTCATGGGGTGGAGGGCAGTAAGTAGTAGGCCTGATTGTGTTTGTTCTTGTGGGAAACGCGGCGCTCTGCATACTTGATAGAAACTTGTGCTTTTTTTCTAATTCCACCCGATCCTTTAACTTGCGAACGACGACCGTGTTTTAAAAAAAGGGTATTTGTCCGGTTTGTGAACGTGTAAGTGCTAGACATATACCTCTTCCGATAGCATCCCATCATTTTCGTGAATGGCCATAGACTCTATATTCCCCTTTCCATACGCATTATAACAGATGTCCACGTAGGTCGGGTTGCAACTCGGACCGCGCTGAGTTACATAGTGTCTTCATCTTTACGTCGTTCTTCTGAAGAGAAAGCAACCCGACTATTGTCCTGACAGAGGCTTAGGTGTCTAGAAAGCGGTATCAGCGTGTTTGATGCTTTTGCCTTTGTCTGAAAAGCTATGTCAATAAAGAGCAAACGTACTCCTCCTCTTGCAGCGATCGAATTTTCTGCGCCAATATCGTCTGGGAAGGAAATCATGTCCACAGCTTTGTTGTATGAGATCTCTGTACGTGAATAAATGACATAATGTCTTCTTCCCAGACATCCTGTGACGCTGAAACTTCGAACAACCGACTGACAAGGCTCGGCGTTCTGACAAAACCATTGGTCGAGTAGATTCTGCCGCTGAATACTCAGCTTACTGCTGATTGACACACTTCCTTTTATGACCCAAATACAAAAACTCAGTTGTCATACATGAACCCAAGAAAAAAGGCTATCCTGACCGCGATACTGCGTCTGGGCATGCGACCGCGGTGAAATGGATTCCTTTGGATTTCCTCTCTTCGTTTCCAATCTATGACGTTGTTGTATAGTTCAAGACAGAACCACATGTAGGCAGTTACCAACAAAGCTGCGATTGCAATTACAAGAAAAGCCCAAACATTTTGACCACTCTGGCTCAGCTGTTGAAGATTCATTCCAAATATGGAAGTGGCAAGATTGATCGGGACGTAAACAAAAGCCAAGATCGTGGCTTAGACCTGTTAGCGGGTGTGATAAGATCACACTTATCGGGTTTCAACATACCTTGACTTTAATCTGATCAGCAAACCATCTTACAACTCGGTAGCTCAGACTTCTTACCTCGTTTCGCTTCGTCAATCTGCCGTCCTCAGAGCTGGATGGATTTCCTCGACTCTAAGATCGACAAGTTCCCAATGTGAAGTTGCATGTGATCTCGAGCTTCCGCTTCTTTAGGTGGAGCACCTTCCTGTAATTGATAGTTTCGTGCCACGATAGCAACGCTGTTACCGATTTTGACATACTCCGATCTATTAGGCCTCAAGGAGTCATTGTAACATGGGGTCCTGGCGTAGCTAGTTGCGCCCATCGAAAGCAGAGTCTCAAAGAAAGAACGATGTATCTGTAAGCTTAGGCCAGGGCGCGTCGATGATGCCAGGGTAAGGGCAACACCTCGAAGGGATCGACCACAATACGACTCTCGCCGGGACATTCTCAAGTCGCGACCGCAGATTTTGAAGTATCTGAGTGCACCATCTAGAACCACCGCCCAACCTCGTCTGCACTTCCACGTTGACCGACGTGTGCGCATCCTTCAGTATATTGAGTACGAAGATATTGCCAAAACTACCCTGGTCGCCACAATGAAGATTGTTTCTATACAGTTGATTCAGGCCTCCCAATAAGTCTTTGAAGCGCGGCTCTGTTTCGGGCGAAGCTTCCAAAAAGGACGTGTAAGACTGGTAGCCTGTCTCAGCCTGGACATCTTTCCAGCATTGGGGACGCTGGTCCTCATAGCTTCTAGTATGAGATGCAAGAGTAGATGGCTGCATCTAGTATACCTCAGAAAAAATCCTCAACAATAGTTTGTGGAGTTTGTAGAAGACGGCTCAGGATGACAGAAACGACTTGTTGATTGACGATGGCCTTGCTTCACGGTGAGATCCTGGTGGGGCGTCAGCCGCAAGATACCTAGTGCCGGAGCAGCTAGCTTCGATTGAGGAGCATCAAGTAGGAAGTTGCCATTCGTCAAGTCTGTTCCTTGCCATCTCAGGCAAGATGGGCCCACACATCGAATGATGGCGATACCATATCTTCAGGCATCAATGTTCTATTACCCTAAGTCTCCAAATCTCCTGTCACTATACTGCATATAAGCCTGCTATTCGCCCCTTTGAGCGCAGCATCCCCAACTGTCTCGTGCGCCATCTCAGGTCTCTCGCAAAACTATTCCCAGCAGTTCCTAGAAACTTGAGTGGAGCAAGTCCATACAGCCTAGCACATGCTCTGATTCCCAAGGACATTGTGAGGCGTGATCCCTTGAGCGTGAACAGACAAGGAACCGAAGAAGATTGAGCATCAAGAACTACGGAAAGATTCGACAAAGAAATCCGGTCGCGTAGAGCCAGGAGTTCGTTTTCGTATGTTCCCAAGGCACCAAACAACACGCAGACTTCCTCGCTCGAAAGCACAAAACAGTCTACCGTGCGGTGACACCATGCCATCGTTGACCTTTGTAACTGCCTGGGTAGCAGAAAATGCTAAAAAAACACAACGGGGAATTGCAATAAATAAGTTTTACCAAATCCAGCAACGAGGCCTGGCCAAGAAATGACGCAGTGAAAGAACACCCAGAAGAACACATCTGCCGAAAGCAAGAGTCTCGAACAACGACCTAAATCGCCGAAACCCCAATTCCAAGCGCACGAAACGCCGGCGCCCGCAAATAGCTAGCGCGAGTACCGTGATCTCAGTGTGACAAACGAGATGGACAGACCTTTGCCCAAAGAAGACCCCGGACGTACGAATCCGGGGTCAAAAGCCCGCGTACATGGTGGCCTCTGAGTATGCCACTTGGCCGAGTCATGGTATCAAGGTACACAGATGGCGCGATCTGGGCTCTGATTCCAGAGGTGTTTGAGGATCTTACTGTTGCTGTTTAGATGAGAGATGGTGGAGAGGACCGCAGTCCAGCAAGTGAAAAGGCGGGATAGTGGCTTACTCCCCATGCCGAGAACGAGCTGGATGAGAAGCACAATCAAGACTACCATTTTCAAGCGATAGTTCAGTGGTGGAAGAAAGCTAGAGCGGGGGCTCAGAGTTGTAGTCTGGAGAAGATATGACATTGATTGAGTGCCTGTCGAAAGTAACCACTGCTGATGAAGGTTCTCAAAGACTTGTCAACTTGTGATCTCCCTTTGTGTAAAGAAAGTGGAAATCTTGGGACCATCCAGCGTGTTTGAATCGTTCCCGCCATGGTTTTAATGCAATGTGAACACGTAGCACACGGACGCAGCACAGCGTTATAAGCACCACCTGGCGAACGGAGTGATCTCCCGCCTCTCACGTTCACTCGACACCTCCTCGAGCACCATCCCAAAATCATAACGTCTCCTCGTCCATTCGCAAAGAGACCCACCCCTCCTGCTTACGCGTAAGCTTCCGAGCCGGGTCATCCAAGAAGATCCGCCTCTTCGTCGTCATCTCGTTCCTTATGTCTCAGCTAAACACCAGCAATATCTTCAAAGGACACAATCTGCAGAGCCGCCGCGAACTCTCCGCCCTACTATATCCAACCATGACCCCCGCGCCAAACTCCACGCTGTCGTCACCGTATCCATCAGATCATTTCAACCGTATCGCTTTCCAGATCCGACTCCGTCCCACCAACCTCTTTACCAACGGCCCTCGATCGGCCCCCGCAACAAAACGAGATCTTACACATATACCAGATGCCGTGGAAAATATCCCGTACGTCCAACACATCCACCAGCGCGCCGCCCAGACTCCTAGTCCGCGGCAACTCTCTCGACAACTCCAAATACTCTTCCGCGGAGAAGCTCCAGAGAAAAACAACCGAGGCGATAAACATCTCCACGCAAGTCATAAACGCGGGCGTGCCGACCGCGAAGTCCAGAACCGACACATACTGCGTGCGCTTGAACCATTGGTACTGGGCGAAGAGCTGGAAGACGGGACCCTGGGTGAGAGTGACGCCGACGATGCCCTTGAAGGAGAAGAGTTTGTAAACGACCTTGTACTGTTTCAGCTCGGGGGCCATGCGGCGGGCGAACCAGACGATGCCGAGGACGCAGATGGAGGTGGCGATGGACTCGATGACGCTGAGGGCGGTGCCGGTGCTGGAGAGTTTGTATTTGACGGGACAGGTGACGCCGCTGAGGACCCAGACGAGAATGTTCAGGACGAGTTTGACGGGGAGGATTTGGAAGACCATGACCCAGATCATCTTTGCGCAGAGTTAGCGACGCGGTGGGAGAGGAAGCTCGTAGTAATTTAAGAAAAGCTTACTTTGAACCAGCGCAAGCTGCCTCTGTCGTGCTTGAGCTTGGGCTTGTTTTTGACGACGCCGAAGCGTTGGAGGTTCATGAAGAAGTGGTCCCGGTGGGATTCATGTGGGGCGACGTAGAGGACGAGGAGATAGAACATTGCGACGAGAGCGAAGCATTCGTAGAGCTCGGGGAAGGGTTCCAAGACCCATGAAGCGTCGTAGAACCAGAGCGCAAACAGACTGAATATGCCGGATATTGGAGGGAAGATGATTATTCGGACAAGCCTGTCGAAGATACACAATTAGACGGGATCGCTTGGAGGCTTCTGGAGGTATTTACTGTTTCTGCTCCCTTGGTTTGACCCAGTTGGATAGATGTACGCTCGCTAGTGAAACGGAGAATATGAGACACAGGGTCGTGGTTACAGCAGAGACGATGAGGAGAATCCCATGGTAGGTGTACCCGCTTGCATAGGGTTCAGTCTTATCTAGTCTCCCCATGAGTAATCACACATTTTCGATCTCATGCTGGAACATACTGAAAAAGGCCGATAGTGTACAAGTGTCTTCGGCTTGGTCCACTGTTGCCGTGACGTTTATTCCGGTGAAGTTTAACGACATTGTAAATGAATGATGTAGTAACACAAATGCGCTACAGAGATGCGACTCCAATATATTCTACTGCAACGCAAGCAGATTCGAATATGCTTGAGGTAGCAAGGGAGCAGAAGTTGAAAAGGTAGAAATTGGGAAAGGGAACTGGCGTGGGCATACCGTCTTAAGGATCCGGGATCCCACGGCCGGGGCTGTCATTGAGATCTATTCATAGGCAAATGAAGCTTATTACCTGCGGTCCTATCCGCAATACTAAAGGAACGGAGGCACATAAAGTAAGCCTGTTCATTTGTTTTCGAGTTAGCGAAGGATTGTGAAACGTATTCAGGAGGGCGCAGTAATAGTAGGATGCTGTTGGAATATTTCTCTACTACGAGGGCCGTCGGAAGCTTCGGATAAGATTCGCGGGCACCAAAAGAGTCAAAGACCGACGAATCGCGAATTGATGCGACTCACCAACTTCAAAGTTGTACTCGTATTATGTTTCGCTTGGTAAGTGGTATCCAGTCGCAAAATCCCAAGCCTTGTCTCGATAAAGCCACTTGGGCCAGTAGAACACGTTTCGGCAAGACCTTAAGCTATATGTGCAGATGGCATTGCCCATGTTGCACAGTCGGCGTTGACTGTGCTTGGTTGTTCATCTCACTAGAGCGTCTGTAAATCCCTGCTTAGCGCATCCTTCGTCAGCCCACACACAGCCAAGCCTGCGCCTCCCAGCAGACAAATCTTCTCTGCGTCCTCTTTTCTTCTTACAGAACCCCTCATTCTTCACGGACTGGTGCGGGTAAGAAATGATCTCTCTCCTATCCGATGCCGCTTTCTTATAGGCAACCCTGAGGTCTAATACAGTCAGTGCATACCAGAAAGGCCGGCAGAGGCGTTGGAGCGAGGTACTCCAGCTCCGGCTGAGGGGACCCTTGATAGGCCCCGGTAATTAAGAGACACTGGGGGCCAAAGTTCTAGTCCTAGCATTGATGATGGCGCAACCGTTCATCATAACTGGAAAACGGCCAAGCCTCCAGGGATCGTCCGGGGACCGGAGGAGTGTCTGCCAATTGAGGGATAATGTTCGAAATTTGAATAGTATGGCTAGCGAACAGTCCCGATCTGAACCCATGTCTCGGATCTCATATACCACTACCTGTACGGTGTGTAGAGTCTTTGATAAACAGTTCGAATCGAATGGTTCGCTTCAAACATGCGCTCTCGACACGACTAAGTTTTCAGAACAACTCACAAAGCCATTACGTGGGCACGCCCAAAATCGATTGACAACCGTTTTTAGAGTTAAGGAGAAGAAACAAAGTACATTCGAGCGGATCGAATCAAACTTCTATCCCGCAGGTCTCCATGCCACGCACTTGTGTGTCTGTCCAGGTTGGGTTCATCACCGAACGCCGCTTTTCCACTCCAAACCCGCCAAACGCGTTGGATGTGAGCTCACTGTGACGCTTCCACAGCACAAGCGATTCTGTGCGGCCTCCGCTCACTTTGTAGGCCGAAGATAGGGGCGGCGGTGGTTTGAAAGTAGCAGCGCTGGAGTTGGGGGAAAAGGTTGCACCCTGAACGTATCACAGGCAAGGCATGGGAAATTACCAAATATTGCAACTCAAGTAAAATTGAAGCAATGCTTGTTGAATGTGTTGCTATTCTGGAAGCCAGAGCTAGTAACTTATGCACGGTCGAGGTGGCCGAAGTTTTGGCTTGGTGCCGACCCAGCCTTCCCCAAGACGACATCGTTGACTTAACGATTTCGATACTCAGAAGATAAATCTCCACCTTTTATTCACCTTTACCACCACTTGTGCGTTCCTCTTGGTCTTCAAGGCCGCTTGGATGACAGATCGCTTCTGGAATCTGGAAGCGCAGAATCTTGAGTCTGCAAATGTCAATAGAGATATAGTCTGTATCGAGCGGACCTCTGTCGAGTAGACTCCTGGAAGGGCTCCCAGAAAATGCCAACGAAAAACGCGGTCTGTCGACTTGAACATGATATGATAGATGATAATTTGTGTTGGATCGTGAGAGAGTGTTGACATGAGCTTGGGCGCGGCAAATTTGCCGCTACCCTTTCTCAATCGGAAAGACCACAACTGAAATTCCGAGCTCGCGATCACAACACGTTATCATCAAAAGGTGTTTGTGGACAGACGATCTAACATCAGTCTATTACCCAGAGATTGACGACATATAGACGACTCCGACATAAGAGCCGACCCGGATGTAAGTGTAAGTGAATACTCACAGCGCTTTCAACTTCTGATCTTGAATTGAAAAGCCTTCGTGCCCCCCGAACAGCATTTGCTGCTAGAGCAACATATGCTTACGAATCTCGAAACACCATCACAATGACCCAAAGTGTCGAGCAACGCTTCCTCTGTGACACTTGCCACCTCCGCCACCGCCGAGATCAGATCTGTTTTCCATTATGCTCGCGATGCCAAGGAAGACACCATACACATGCTGCTTGCAACGGTCCTAGGGTATTGATATGGTCACTGCAGCAACTGCGGTATCGATCGGTTCAGGCTATGCCGCCAATGGTGCCGCCATCAGGTTATGGGAACGCTTATCTACCAGCACAGCATCAAATTTATCAGCAGGGCTTTACTTCCTATGGCGCTGCACCTTATGACGCTGTACCTTATACCGCTCTCCCATACGGTGTTGCCCCTTACGGCGTCTACTCCTACGCGTATCCAATGCAGCCTCCACCGCATCAGAACCATTACCAATACAATTATTATCCGGTGCAGCCTCCTCCTTACCAGCACCCCCCGCCTCTCTCCGCACCACTTCCACCTCCTCAAAATGCCTACGCATTCCAGTACCCACCTCCTCCACAACAGCCCTTCTCGTACCTCGCGGGGCCTCTGCCACCTCACCACTCTCACACCTTCCAGGCGCCATCTCTACTCATTCAGCCGGCATACAATCTTCATCCTCAGCCAGAGCAGTGGACTTCGCCATACGGAATGCAGCCCAGTCTAGTTCAGGCTGACAGGCTTAGAGATCGTGTTACGCGTGGCCGTGGCAAGAATAGAAAGAGGAAGAGGGGAACGGTGGAAGAAGAGGATGAGGAGCTTAATGCGATCGTGCACGAGGAGCCTGCGAAGATGAGGTTAGAAGTTGGCGTCAAAGATGAGCATGAAGATGATGAGAACGGTTCCAAGATGCCCGTAGTCAAAACGGAGCCAGCACCTAGCCCCGTTGGTGATGGTTCTACGTCTCCAAAGATTGGGAAGCTGAGCAAGAGGCAGAGGAAACGTGCTCGGCTGTCTAAGAAGAAGACCGAAGCCGCTGTTCCGCAGAGCAACAATGCGAACGTCCGCCCCGAGCCAAGAGTGAAGACGGAAGATGGGGGGGAAATAGAGAGGCCGGAGGCGACAAAGACGAAGAGAGATGAGGAGATCAACGAAGGAGGCATCAAGCAAGAGGATGCCGAGGCGGAAGAGGAATGAGTGGCGTGAGGGGTCCGGGGTCAGTCTAGGGCTTCTACGAGGGTGAAGCCAATAGACTTGATTCTGCCTCCCATTAGCTAGTCAATAAATACTTCCCATCACATTGCGCTATCATCTCCCTTCTTTACACTCCTCTTGTACTTCTTCCAAAACCTTCACTAAACAAGCTTACCCAGCTTTCACTCATCACCCTCTACCGTCTACACGCTCTCAACCCCAGCACTATCGAAATATCGATAATACACAGTCACTTCTTTTAGCACTCAGCATGTCAACGTATTCGAGTGGTAGTGCAGCCCAGACAGCGACTCCGCAACCTCTCCACCAAGCCCTCGATGTCTTCTACGCTCCAGAATCGCTTGATTCGGAGTTATACACCGCTTCCTAGACCTACCAAAACTCAAGACCGACCAGCCGTATCGTTCCATTCCACCGGCTTATCCTACTATGCGTAAGAGTCAAGGCCGCTTACGTATCCATGTATAACGGTGTTTCGACTCGCAGCTCAGCCTTTCAGCAGTCCCTGTTCATTCACCGCGTGGCTGCGAGGGCGGAAAGTATCATTAGCGGCAGTACTGTCTTCAATTACTCCGATGCTTAATACAAGTAAAAGATATAATTCCTTCCCACCCCGTCCTTTCCGGATTGTGAGATAGATCGACTATATGTGACGGTGCGGTAAAAGGTGAACGCAACTCAGTGCTTTCCAAAAATCAATATACAGGAAATGTTTAAGTCTTTTCTCCCCTTTATTCCTGCCTCCCTCATTCTTCGAGCTGACAACGCACCGATGCGACGGCAGTAGCGAAAGCGTTCTCTATCGTGTTTCGAATATTAGGGTTTCGTTATGGAGTGGAGACTTAGTGTTCTTTTTCTAAAGCGATGGACGAAGTATAAGATATCTATCAGACGGGGTTTTTGAAAGAGTCTCCCGACGCTGCTGGTTCTGTCAGGCTGCTGTCATGCGATAAGCACTGAAGACTAATGTGATAGTTCAAGAGAGCACACAGTTTCCATCGTGCGAGTACTTTCGTTTCAGATCCAATGCCCTGACAGACCGCTCTCGATTGATCAGTTGCGAATCGCCCGTCAGAGACTTTCCAATCTTCGCCGAGAAGATCTCGACTCTAGCCGCGAGAATTTTCGGACCTGCTTAGCAGATTACTTTGCATGTAGTGGAGTGTTGAACTCACTAGATGCTGAGAAAGAGTAATACTTCATCAGTAGAGAATAGAAGTTATCGAAATTCGAATCTCACTCAATGTACCGAGACCAAGGATGTCAGAAACTCGCTCTCTTAATTTTTACTTCCAACGATTATAATCCATCGTATCAACGCTTGAAGGAGTCAAGCTCAACCAACATAGCAAACTAGTCCTATCGCTCACTGAAGATTCCGACGCATCTACCTGCCGTGGCAAGCCGCTTGACTCCCGAGGCGAAGTGCACGACGGAGGAAAGGAGATTGGCCATTTTGACTTGTCGAAGAACACACGCGGGCCAGAAATACTCTTTCTAAGCCTCTACGAGCCATTACCATTCATTGACATACCCAAGCCAGGATCCACCTTTCTGGGCCTCTCCGAGCCCATCGATCTGGCGCGTATCCCCTCAGATATGGGCTCTGGAAGGGTGGCACGGGCATCGATGTCCAGCATGTCATGGAGTGCTTAGGCAAGGCCAACATTCGTCTTGGGCCGCGACTCCGAGCTACATACGCAGAATCATATCCCAAAGGGCACTTCACAAACCTCCGGGAGATGTTCCAGAAGTAGTCGACAGATAAAATGTCGTTCTGGGTGCAAATGTCACATACAATTCATGATTATCGCAAGCATCTTCGATCTTTGACTCCAGACTGATTCATTACAGGCGCTTTGTTGTTGTGCTAGCAGACTATCTGGCATTGGCAGAGAGTAGACTTGGAATTCTATGTCGATTCCGTGCGAGCCTAGTCCATGAAATTTTGTCTCCAGTCCTTCAAACACTCGTTGATACAGCCCCGCCAGTCATGCTCAGCGAATGTCAGATATGCGACCAATCTTAGCAGATTCAGCAATGGAGGGCCAGCAGTCACCAGGACCTTGGACATCAACGCTGGAGATGCAAATTTTGTTCTGCGGGATTGTTCTTGCAATGTGCTCACAGCTGGCGAAAGGGACTACGTAGGTCGTGGCGGTCGTAAAGCAGAAGGTACGATTGTACGCAAAGACACAGTGTCTCCAGCAAAGATGCTCTGTCTCTTGTGGATATTTTGGGGGAAGAGTCATTGTTTTCCACCTCCTGCCATCGCCACTTACACATCTCCCACGCCGAAAAACCTCTTTTCACCGCCCTCTCCATCACCCACACGCCTCCCACACCGAAAGACATTAAAAGACGTGCCTTCCATACCTTGCCGGCGACATCCTACGGCATCAAAGGTCGAGAAACAGCCACTTACTCTCAGAGGGTGGTGATAAACGCAGGTGATGTATATACTCTATTATTGTAACGAGAAGAATTCGCGCGTTTGAGCTTTGTTGTATGGAAGGATAATGGATATAATAAAAATAGCAAAATGATAGCCCGTTCCTTGGCGATCTTTTCCCCAATAGGTTAAAGCGAATGCACGTGCCATCATGACAAAGATCTATTCGTACAATAATATCTTGGCACTGCCTCAATTTTTGAACCACAAGCTACCTCAAGAATCATAACCATCTCCGCCACTCACACACCAAACCTATCATTCCACCCGTCACAGCCTCCTCATACCGTCTGATCTGCTCCGCACTGAATTACTTCAAAGATGCTTCAGCCGCAGCGACGCGGCCATATTGAGAATAAATACCGGCTCCGCTCCCCTTCCTGAATCCTTACCCCAGACATTAGATTTCGCATCATACCACCCACCCCAGTATCATCATGTCCGACTACACCCAATCCCCCGACACCAATGCTCCCCGCCACGGCGAAGACAGCAAAATCAACCCGCCTTCATCTCACCAGGCCCTCCCCAACCACCGTGCCCAAGCGCTCCAATCCGCATCGCCCGACCTCCGCGCCTGGGCCGAAGCAAAACAAATGCACAACCCCGGCCAAGACGGGTCCTTCGCCATGGGCCAGATATCCATGGGCGCCGGCGCCGTGTCCGGGGGTCCCGTGTTTCTGCCTCGCCGGGATGACACACCGTTGCCGCCCGATGAGCTGTTGGGCTTGAAAGGAACCGCGTTCCATGTGGGAAGTGACGCGGAGAAAGCGAAGAAGGAGCAGAAGGAGAGGGAGAAGACGGAGCGTAGGGGGATCTTTGGTCAACGTGGGAAGGAGGAGGGGGAGCATGCTGGGGGTGATGGGAAGAGGGGGAGTTTGGCGGGGTTGTTCCATCATCGTCAGCATGAAAAGGATGCCGGGGGAAAAGAGGCTGGGAAGGGTGCAGATAGCGATACCGTTCGGTAGATCTCCGTGGTTTCTGCTGGTGTCGAGCGGACGAATCACACGGGTACTTTTCTGCGGTATAGAATATACCGGGCATTCACTCTATCTGCAAACAATTATTTCAAGCAGTCTAAGTAACGCGCTCTGAAACCCCCATGATAGCAGACGGGCGTATACACCGGTAACAACCAGTCAGACGCCCCAAGCCCCACTAAGAATCCAACTACTCTCCTCACTCCAACTCTTCTCTCTCACCCTCTTCTAGACACCAACGTCCGATCTCCTAATCAAACTTTCCGGTACGAAGGTTGCTCACGATAAAGCGAACACCTTGAGAATCCTGGTATACGGTACGTCAAACTCCGCGTCGGATTAATCAATACGACTTTCAAGCAAAAGTGGGCTGCAGGTCATTTCTAGCCCCTTTTGACGGCCTCCTTGTACATGAATTCAACGCCCGAGTCTCATCTCTATGAAAACAATATCGGTGTTTTGAAACCTTGTCTTCTCTCAGTTCTACTCGCAAACCACCGCCTACAACAGGTGTCCAGGGATGCCACGGCAGTACAAGATCATCAAAGCAGCATGGGACCATTCCTCTCTTTTGCTGTAGAGTCGTGCCTAATCAAGGAGTCTATCTGAAAGATAGATCCGTCCCTAGAATCAAGTGGGGACTACTAGACAGGCGTCTTGGAAAGAAAGTGTCGTTCGGCGTTTAAAATATAACAGGTTGGTAGACAGGTGTTCAAGCTCGAGGTTCTTCCACCTCCTATCGTGGCACCAATCAACCATAATGGGCCAACGGCACTCCATCCCCCACTCCAAGGACTCCAACCCCAACCCCTCGTTCACCAGGAAAGGGGACGATGCATCTACACCACGCCCTCCTGGCTACGGTCAACTCTCACTACCACCTGAATACTCTCCTCGCCTCTCTCCCCAAAATCTCCCCATCGATCTCGTCCCGAGAGTAGCACGATATCTCGACCCTGTTAGCAGGCTATGTCTACGTTACACCAATCTCAAGTCGTTCAAAGGCCTCCCATTCCATATAGATCCAAATCTTGGCAAACTATCCAGGAAACCCTCGCGGCTCGTAAGTCAGGCCCAGGACACAAGACCACGCATGAACGAAAGCAGAAGGGAACCTCGGTACGACCTCAAGCGCGAAGATGGACCGCAGCTGCCGAGACACTTCCTCCCAGACGGTTTCTTCGGCATTGGGAAAAGCCGTTCGCGGCGCCCGTCTCGACGTTCACAAAAATGTCCCTGCCTCATCTATCGAGCTCGAAAAAAGCCAGACGGCGAACGCAGCTCTCTGGGTCAGACGGGGGGAAAAGTTGGTAAGTCCCCATCGTTCGCTTACCTCCGAGCACATCGCTCTCCCATAACGCGCCCAGCACGGATCGGGCGTGCTTCTCCCGCGCCTCCATCCACGTTATCATACAATCCCATCATCCTCTCGAGTCTGCTTCTTTATAGCACATATCTTTACGAAAAGGTGAAGTGGTCGTAGCGCCATCAGCTCCGGTCGCGCATTCGCACGTCCTCATCTCGCGCTCTCAGACATCTTTCCGACCGGCACGTCTCACTCCGATGACCCGATTGGGAGAGAACCGCACCGTTGTTCGCGATGCCGTGCATAGTTCCGATTTCGAATGCGGGCTCACTAATAGGAAGGGTCGCGCACGTCTGCTGAGATTGGCTGTGTGGAGGTATTTTGAGTGGGTCAAAGGGGGTGGGGGGGGTGACGGATCCGAAAAGGTTGGCGCAGTTGAAGCAGAAGAATGTGACGGTAGAGGAGAGCAGGGCGAAGAAAATATTCGATGCAGAACCTATAGCGCGGTGGGAGTGGAGGTATGGATGTGCTGCACGCGGCTTGGAGAGGGGCGCTGGGACAGTGTGAGCGGTTTATGCACGTGGGAGATATGAAGGATCATGAGGGTGTAATGGCTGTCTTGGAAAGAGGTTGTCTGAAAGACCCAGATGCTTTCTATCGATCTGAGTTGAAATCATCTCATTATAGTACGCTAGAGCTTGCGATCTAAGTTCGGACGTCGGGTTATCTATACTGTAACCTGCAATATCAATCCGGACTTCAGACGCGTCTCCCGCGCCAGCGTGACGGGATGCGCTCTGTTGTTTCTTCGCCTGCAAAGGTAGACTTGATCGAGGCTACGTTCTGATGAATCGTCCGGCAGTTTCAAACAGCACATGGCGCTCTTCCAGCTGACTCGGTAGAACTTTCCGCTTGACGTTCCCTTCGTTCGTGCACATTCTGTCTTCAGTTTCGTTATCGATCTTTCGTTTGAATAACACCCACACATAAAGACACTCAGTTCATTCCTTGTATGCGAGAGGATGTGGAAGTTTCGTGGCCTAAGTGGCGACCCTAGGTAGATAACCGCATAATCCTATAGCCTCACTTTGGCCAGATCAAAAATCGTGTCCCAAGCTCGTGACGGTGCTACTGCCGGTCGTCAGCTCGGGCGATCTGATTACTGCTTAATCCTGATCTCAACAAGAGCGACCCCATGCCGCCTTGACAAACCTCACGGATTGACAGAAAAGCCTGCATACGCGCAAAATCCGTAAATCTACTACAACTCGCCAACGAAAGATCTCGTCCCGAATCCCTCGCTCCGTGAGATAGGAAAACAAGCAGAAGGGGTAATTTTTACCGCAACTGTTGAAACTTGAGAAAGGGTATTGATAGAATTATTCCAAATGATAAGGCGGGAGGATTGCTTCGTGTGAGGCTCTTCTGTTACCCGCGAGGACAGCGTAGATTGGAAGCAGAACCTTTGAATCCAGCCTTGCGAAAATGGCCATGGACACGCGGTCTTAGTCAAATCCCTCAACAAATGCCTTACAGACTTATTTCGGAATTGTGAACAGAAGCTCCTGTCTTTGCGACCAGCCCAAAAGACCGATGACCAGTAGCGAGCGGACCTTTCTGCCGGACCTGGCCACCGAATTCCAAAACACAATACTCACGTTCTCGATGCTTCTTATGATCGAAGCTCGCTTTTTCGAAAGGGATTCCTTCCCTTCCGTTGTTGGCACACGAATCGTTGACCTTGACAGCGCTTTCCTCAGATGAATGTGTGGTTCAAAAGCCATACTTTACATTTCAACCAATCAACAACGATGACGGCAACAGGATGGTCGACGAGCCATCCCCGGAAGAGATCCCACTCGATAAGTGAGATGGAAGTTCGAGGATCCAAGGGTTCCCGAACTCCTGGGACGTAGTTCACGGTCCCGTGGCGTTGTCCTTGCTCCCCAGTCAGATAGCATTTTCGATCGGGTTGAATCGGTAAAACCGAACGTCAAGAGGCTTTGAACTTTGTACTTTCGATCCATCTCGTACTTCTTCCAATGATTTTACTAAGTATAATCGAACAAATGGGATCGCCATGCCCTCGCCTACATCGGCGGTGTCATTCGGGGTAAGGAAGTGCATTCGACATTAATCCAGAACAGGAAGGAGAAGCAAATGCCAGGCATAGATTTTCCTCTGTGGCTTTGTCTTAGCTTAGTCAATCAGGGCTAGATTCTAGCCTTCTCGCTATCCCTATTTCTTTCACCTCCACTTGACCGCTTCCCATGGAAGAAGCACCCAATGTCGAACATGTACGGAGCAGAGTGAGACACGCTTTTTCCGGCTATGGAAAGGATCGCTGCTTTCCTCTCGAGCTTATGACACGTCGTTTGCGTTGTTCGTAGCGTAGAGCATAGAGCACAGATTTGCTCTAGGACTGCCGCAGCCCGAACAGCCCTCCGGTGCTTGGTTGAGAGCTCATGGTGCCACCTCCTAAGGTCCAAGTCTCGTATGGACGACGTTTCTAAGGGGAGTATAGTAGGCTAATAGCTTAGGCTTTTAGACCGTTCCAATGCCGTCCTTCTCTGCTCCGAGCGCTGGTGAAAGACACCAATCAGATGACTCTTTCCCTAGGCTATCAATCCGTTATGTCACAGTGCAAGGACGAATATGTATTTTAGGGGCTTTGCCACCAAAATTAGTAACACTTCGGTAAGAGTATGTAGCAGAAGTCATGCATACAGGGTATTCAAAATTTCTAAGTCCCACTGAGGCAAGCTTGCCGGTGCACTGTGGGAATTAGAAATCCTAAGGTTTTCGCCCGCAAAATTTTCCCTATATGCATAACTTCTGCTACATACTCTTACCTTCTATTTAAAGCTTGTTGTATGCTGTCGCTCTTGCCCGCCAAAATTGCTTCTTCGAATGGTATCAGACCCTTCGACCTAGGGGTCTGGCGAATTGATTCCCAGTCAATACTCGAGATCAAACCTCACCTGAGCTTACCAACGCGGAATTTCTTGGTTCGTTAGCGGCCTCCAGATCGCGTTTCTTGGTCATAGCTCCATTTCCATCTGTGTATCCTTGGGGACCCACGCCTATCCCCCAAGCTCTCGACACGCTTCTAGGCCCCCAACTCCAGCCAGCGCCTCGTCTGATAGGCAAATGATACATCCTGAAGCCAATGTAAGAGATGACAGTGCCCATCAACGAGCCGAAAATAATGTCAAATCCATGATGCCTGAAATCCGAAAAACGCGTTGATGCAACATAAGCGGGGATCGAGATACAGATGAGTGGTAGGATTAAAAGATAAGTCGGAGGAGCCGCCGCTTGCTTGCGCAGAGGTACTGATCTGCTCTTGGTGGATGCGGGAGCATCATTTTTGAAGTTGTCGGAGTCACCGTCGATTAGGCCTTGATCATATCTTTTGGCATCTTGCGTTGAAGATTCGAAGGTGTATGGGAGTAAATATGGAATGGTGACGGAGAATTTGGAGCAGAGGAAGAGAGTCAGGTAGAACATGCCAGCCCAGGAGACTAGACAGAGCACTGTTAGCCAGCCTAGGGACAAAAGGCAGAGTACGGACTTACAAGAAGAATGGCCGCTAGGAAAGCTTGCGAATCCATCATTCAGCTTCGAAGCATTGGGCTGTCGGCAAGCCGTAGAAGAGACCAAGAGGTTCCATAGCGGTAGCTGGCTCCCTTCGCCACCTAGAGCGTATTGCTGCACAGTCGCAGGATCTAGATTACATCTTGATAGTAGGTCTGGCCTTGGTCTGCCAATTACGTTTTTAAGCCCTTCCGTGAAAAAGAACGTCGTGGCTAGAGCAAGCGCAAGTCCCATCCAAGCAGTATTCCACTCCCATAGTTTCATCCTCCACATGAGTGACTTTGGTGTTCCCCGTGACACGCCAGGTCCTGGCGTGAACACCAGCGTCACAAAAGCCGTGACGAGAGCGGGTATGACCAATGCGATGGTGACAAGGAGGCCTGTTGATATCTTTTCATGCTCGACGTATGGGAAGGATATGTCAGGGTCGACTGGGGAGAAGGGTCTGTGGTTCGGTGTTATCTTCCAGAAGCCTGCACCAACTGCTGCAATGCCACTGTAAAGGCTCGTCAGTAAGAAGCCGAGCGTTGAATTCCAGGAGAAACAAACATGATGACGATCCAGTCGACCACGTATGAAAGCGCCAGTCGCTTCGGTGTATGAGTGAGTGATGCCATAGCTGCGTTTTAGAATCGACAGAGACGGTGGGTATTGGTGAAAGTCCTAGGGACTAAATACAGGAGGGAAGGACATCACTGGCAAGACAAAGACTATCTTACAACAATGACGAATGCTATTTTTAATGGAGCACGCGACGATTTTGCCGCCGTCGCGCCAAGCCGGCGCCGCTTTAGCCTCGCACGACCCGCGGCCGAGGGTCCATGAGCTTCTACCTGGTCGTGGTAGTTTCTCTTATCAGAGCGACCCGACAGACAGTCAGAGAATAAATTCGCACGCCTCGGGTGCGCGTGGTAGGTGGGTACCGAAGTCCAGCGCCGCCTCTGTACAAATATTCGAGCATTGTCGTAAAAGTTCCGTACGAAGTTTCATTGGGATGCACCAGCTCACCATCTTATGCTATATAAGGAATGGCTTGAATGATGTAGGTAAGTGATACATGTACACCCACTTTTGATACATTGACACAACTCGTATGTCTTGGTCTTCTCAAACGTGGGTGCAGTATGACTTGGTGCAATGTCCAAGGGGTTTCGCCATTCCAAGCGTTCATCGGGCGCTGGTCGCGGGTCCAAGTTGACTCAAAAAGATATTTTCGTCTCTATTATGAGCGATGGAGTCATGAAGAAGTCAGCGTAGCCCCTGAGTTTGAAGGAATACGACCGCGAATCGGCATGACAATGCTCATACTCAAGCATACGAAGGCAGATACAAAAACCTTGGCCCGCCGGGACAGTGTGCATTCTCAAGGAGACGATCTACTGAGTCTGGCCTTGAGAACGGCGGATGAAGGGGGATCATCAAACAAGTTCTCGAGTATGATAGCGACATTGACAGAAGAAAGCCAATATCCAATATGGACCCCGTCCGCTGAATACGCCTCTCGAGGGGCTATGCTCTGGATTGATAGGGGACATAGACCTAAAGAGGACCCTGCTTGCACTCCTCTTCAACTGGGATCTGTAACCGAGTAGGGCCCCAGGAAAACTTCAACCGCAAAATTGAAACTCTATCCAGCGAAGAATTCTTCGATACAAAAACATGCCGTTCATCACCATTAATGTGACAACTTAGCCTCGGAGAAGACAATGAAGTTCTCTCGGAGCCAGATCAAGGCTGTCATCTCCCTGGTGCCGATAGGTCTGAGTTCCGAGCTGCAAGTAGAGCCCTCTAAAACAATCAAGATCCAAGAAACTGCCTGTATCAGTCCTCGATATTTTTGCCAGTTCCAGAAACAACATCTTGGTGAACACGTTCACCGTCTGTCCTCGAAACATATCAGATATTCTCTGTCATTTCGACTTAGCAACCCTTGCCATCCACTTCTTGCTGCGGACAATACTCTATTCAACCAGTACAAGAACGCCTGCCAGGAGACCCCGGACTGAAGTCTCATTCGGCGTCACGTGCGACCTAGCTCGTTCTGGTGAAGTGGCTTGGCACACAGATTCTCGAAGAGCAGAATAGAGTAGGATACTTCGGTTGAGTCATACCATTACCTTTTTCAAAGTACAAACTTGCACAACCATTCAGGCTTCACATCTCGACGCACTGAGGGTTCTAGAACGGCTCCCGACTCCTGAGAGGAACCTCCATTACACACAGAAAGTCCTGTAGCCCACGACGATTTGACACTCTTCCGTATCTTTGAGGTCCTTGACACACTAAAACTGCAAGGCTTGAACTTGGACACGATGTCGCGGAACCCTCCTTCAAAAGACAAGCTGGAAAGGTCACAATTTTCAGTCGACAAGCCACTGACTTCTGAAATAAAAACCAAAATTAGATCGGAGCTTACGAGATCTTATCACTCTTTCAGGAAAAGTGTATACGGCCTGGAAACCAAAACCCACTGGGCATCCAACCTCGGCCCAGATACCGGCATGACCATTCACAACAATCCAATAACGCCACTTGATGATTGGACGCTGCAGAAGTTCTGCAACAAACCAGCAGCATTGTACTGGGCGCGTCCGGCTCAAATCAATGAATGCTGTCCACGCTTAACATTCGCTTGTATCTACAAGCAATGGTTCCGTTCCCACAACCGCGATCCGAACATCGAATTCGGTCAATTATTTGCAAATCCCATCCGGATTTCCTCCACCGGTCCCGAAACAATAGCCGGTATCCTCGAAGCCCACAAGTCTCTCTGCGATTAGGCAGCCTCACTTTTGAATATCATCCGACGAGGAGAGGCCGGCGAAGTCCGTTTGGGTAGTTAGCCAGACCCTCGAAATTGCAGACTGCTTCCTCTTTATCGAGCGATACTTGTTGTCCTCGATAATTTTGATCCACCTAATGTGACCAAGCAGCACGAACGCATAAAGTTAGACGAGCCGGTTCAACGGCAGACTGTGGTTATGGTTTTGACTGGTGACGACAATGGTCTCAGCGCGCCAATAACTTTCGATACCATCAGGTCGCATTCACTCCCACTTGGAAAAGCTGACATCGCCGACGACGTAGATATATCCGTGTCTCTTTAAAAACAGCCGTACATTTCATTGCGGATTTACAGCGGCAAGAAGAAGAAGCTTTTCCGGATTTGGGACGGATTGCGACTGATCGATCCATTGGCCCAACAACCGATAATATATCATTCGGCCTGATCAGTGCAGATGAATGGGTTAATATGATTATGCACAAATTAGAAGAGGAGGGCGACAACATTGTTATTGAAATGAAGTCTGCGGCGTGGAAAATGAAAGCGAAGCAACAAGGGGATGACTTTCTTAAGCGAGAGTTCGATAATTCCTCTCCGATGTGGGAGTAGCTTGGCTTGGGGAACTTCTGGGGGAAGGAATGAGGATGGTGGGTGGATGAGGGTTCGGAACCGTCAAATACGTCGTCTCGGATCCCCTCCTTCTACCGCATCTGGTTCACAGTCGTCGATCCCTTCTTATCCATCATCGGCGTCTATGGTAACCTGTTCGCGCCCACCTCCATCCTGAATTCTTACTCCTCCTCCTACGTCTCCCCGACCACCACGGAAACAATCCCACTCCTCGATACAACGGCCGGCTTCCTCGCAGGCCTAGCCTTCCTGCAGTTGCCCTATTGCGCGCAAAACCTACGGATCTAACGGTCTGGCGCGCGCTAAAGGCTAGAACGGTGCTGGTGGATATTGCTATGTTGGGTGGATATACGAGGGTGTTGTGTGTCGAGGGGAGGACGGATTGGAGAGACTGGAAGGTTGAGGAATGGACGAGTTTGGGGAATCCAGCGGGTGTCGCGCTTATTAGGATGGCGTTCTTGTTAGACGTTGGGATGGGGGAGAGGCGAGGGGGGACGGGAAGGGGAAGAGGATTTGAGAGGGTACACGTGTAGGCTCCTAGGATATACGTGTTAGGTAGAGAAGAGTGTGGGATGGTGTTAGATAAATAACAGATAAGAGCTTCATGCATAAACAAAAAACCCATTAATACAATACTTTACCTCGTCTTATAAGGCGAGGGTAAGACAGGCTCGAAGAAGCTACATTGCGTATTCAGATCCCTGTTATCGTAACCGTTCCTGCGAGCGAGGGCTAAGGCCCGCTCTCTTTCATACCCGCGGTGGTAGCCTTATTCGGACTTCGGGTCACCCAAATTAGGCTGTACGAGAGACGGCGCTTTTGGATAATCTACATCTGGGGGTAAGTAAGTGGAAGAATGAGCGTGAGAATAAATGTTCATCACTGTTCAGCAAGGTCGAATGTCGCAGCTAATCTTAGCTCACTCGCTAAAGCGGCCACGCCCGGGTGAGTTCCGACTTCCGCCCGCCAAGCCACCCGATTTACTACTCCAGGGAACTCTAAGAAGTGTCGTTATGTTCAACTGAAAACCTCCCTCTCAGTAGCGGACTGCACTTCACACCGTGAATACCTGGCATTCAAGGGCTGTTGAAGCGTTGATACAGGGCGATGAGTTTCGGTGGACCTGGTGGAGGACAGAAAAGCGCCAAACCTATCCCGCCGGAGCGTGGGAGTTTCCCCCTCGACCATGACGGAGAGTGCAAGCCTATCATAGCAGACTACCTCCGATGCTTGCGCAGAGTCAAGGGAACGAATGACCAAGAATGTCGAATGATGGCAAAGGAGTACCTCAAATGTCGTATGGAGAACAATCTAATGGCGCCTGATGAAATGAAGAATCTTGGTTTTGCAGAGGACGACAAGACGGAACCTATACCAAATCACGCTGGTGGAGCCACGGCACATAAGGTTAGGGATGATGGGAAGAAGATATCTTGATCGTTGAGACCCCTGTAACGTCTACGTATCATTCTCCCTCGACACTACACTACAGGTGGAGCATTCGGCGTCTACAGATACTCCGTTAGCGAGATGGCATCCTATCCTCTACCTCCCAACCCTTGCCTCGTTGCGATACTCTTGCTAGTGAAAACCTCATCCGAGCCACGCATCATCTTTCATTACCCGCCAAAACCGGGTGAAGACAATACGCATTTCACAGACATGTTTAAAGAGAGCCCTGCGGACGACGATTCATCCAGCTCATCAAGCGATGACGAAAGCCAAGACTCTTCAGCAGAGATTCCCAAACCTATTGAGCCAAAGGGGGAGAATGGCACGGGGAAAAGTACTCCCGAAGTGGATGAATATGGCTCTGCGTCACCAGAGAAGAGCGATGGGTTGAAAGGGGTTAAGGCGAAGCTACAATGGAACGATCTATTCGGCTACCAGTCTAGTGTTCTGTCCAAGGTGCTACTACCTGCTGTGAGCTGTCACAAGAAGAGGTTCGAAGTTGGCCTGAACGACAAGGTATTTCTGGGCCGCCCGGTTTTTGCGAGGCCGGAGGGTACCTGGAAGAAACCAAGGAAACCGAGAAGGTCGTCTAGCAAAAGTGATGTGACTGCAGAGAAAGTCAAGGATGTTCGGGAGCAGGGCAAGGGCACCAAAGTAGAGACGTTTGATTATGCGAACAAGGACAGTGGGACATCAGGCGTCGACACTCACTTGGAGAGCCAGTCGGACTCCCATCGAGATGAAGACACACTGAAGAAGGAAGATGCGATCGAGGACGGAGAGCCTGTTGTACAGACACCAGACACGAAGAGTAATAGAACTAGCAAGTCAGATATGCTCCCATTAATCAAGGAAAAACAGAAGCCTCTGGCAATGTTTCACGTCGTCTTCGTGCTCCGGCCGCCACCGCTTGAATATCACCTACGGGTGAAAGAGATGTACGACAATGTCACCAAGAAACTTTCTAAGGCTTTGAAGTGGGAGCAAACTCGTTCAGGTTATGTGGCGAGGGAAACAGCTGTGATCACATCGTTGACAAAGCATATGGACAAATCAAACAGTAAGACGCGTTCAGCAACAGTCTTGACTATCGCTCATATGTACAGGCGAAAAGCAAAACCTGGCAACTTTGTATCACGACATAATCTCGCGGTCTAGTCTCGCGAAAGCCATATCAACCCTCTACAACAGCATCACCGCTTCTCAAATCGCCCATATCAGTTTGAGTCCAGCCTTGTCTCTATCTCTCCAGATCCCGTTCCCCACCTCCATCTCAATCCTCCCAACCGCACTCGCGCCCCAGCTGCCCGGCCTCTGGCTGACGACCGCCAATTCCATGCCAACGGACGACGACGTCCAGGGCAACGGGCCCCAACTAGGCGCACATTTCACCCTTTTGTTGCTATCAGACCTTCATTCAATCATGGCAGATATCAATGCCACCGCATCGCCCATCACTGGACCTTTGACCCATTACCTCCGGGTCACCACATCCAACGAATCCTTCCTGCAAATCTCCCAATCCTCAGGAATTCCCCTCACCGAGATCCAATTCCTCGCCTCCCACCTCATATACTGGCGGCGTGCCCGAGCAATCCCACCACTCCACCAACGCGACGTCTACATAGTATCACCGAATGCCGACATGCGGAATTTGGCAACCGCATCTCAGAACTTTGCCAAGCTCTTTCCTGCGCTTCCACCACTACCCAAGATTCTCTACATGCTCTCGCACACGCCGAGACCATACTCAGCTCTCATCCCCAGCAAAGACCACAAGCCAACCTACATGGATATCTTGGCCTGGCTGATGCGTGGAGGCTGGGTGACTCAGCTCCGAACATTTGCATGGGTGCGAGTACCAGCCGATATTAAGGAAGCTGTGGCCAAGGAGACAGTGATGAACGCATCACGCAAGAAGAAATTCTCAGAAACCGAGAGCACCGACGAGACCGACACCGACACCTCCAGCGCCAGCAGCACAAACCTAAGCGTGCCCCCTCCCCACACATCCTCTGCTTCCCCCTCCCCCACCTCAAGCACCCACACCACCCTCCCCATTCCCCAACCCACAACGCCCCACACCCCCTCCCTAATCCCAAACCCGCGTCTCGCATCCGCCCTCCCCTCTCGCTACCTCTCCGCCCTATCAGCGTACGTTCTAAACACTCAAGGCGTCGACGCGCAATCGGCCTGGGATATATGCGTCAATTATTTCGACGGACATCATGCCATCGAGACCATTCCGGTCCGAGAGGGGTGGAAACGGAAGAGGGTTGCGGAGCTGATGGGGGCATGGGAGGGGATGGGATTGGTGGTCAGGGGGAGGCATTGGTAGGGTTTGCGAATGAGAAGAGGGACAATCCTTGAATTTTGAAAAATTGATCAGGTGTTCCGGTTCCGACGCCGAGGAAGCTCGTCGCAGCTGGATCTACTGCAGTGGAATCTGGTGAAATCCGAGACTGGTTTCCCATTTGCGCGAGGTTTCAAGCACCGTTCATACTCGTTTTGGGAGGGACTGGGGTCAACATGATCGTTCTTGTGAATGTTAGACAGAGGCAGTCATATCCCCGCTCTATCAATAGCTTGATCGCAGGTCCTTCGTCCTTGCCCGATAGTCTACATCAGCAACGCTCTTGTGTGGAATGGATTCATAATCTTCTATAGTGACACATGTCCACCTGAAGACATCCACATGCATAGTTCATGATCCCCTACCAGCGCCTCGGCCTCCACCCATCATATTTCGTGCCCTGGATGATTGTCAATTCCCGTCTCATGCCACCAAAGAACGCAGAGGGTTTAAACTCACATCTCAGCGATATTCGGATCATTCATCATAGCGGCCAGATCCGGCATGCCCCCTCCCCCACTGGCACCTCCTCCTCTCCCAGCACCTGCTTCGCCTGCTCCTCCCCGTCCTCCGCCGCCCAGCATGCCCGCCAGCGCACTCAGATCAGGCATGCCTCCTCCTCCTCCTCCTCCTGTCCCAGCACCTCCCGCGCCCCCACCACCGAGGCCAAACCTCTCCGCCATGCCCCTCAACTGCGGGTTATTCATCAAGCCCTGCAGTGTCTCCGGATTGCTCATGAGGTTCTGCGCCATATTCGCGAACATGGGGTTGCTCATCAGGCCACCGAGATCCGGCATGCCTCCTCCACCCCTCCCACCGCCGCCGCCCATCATGCCCGCCAGGGCACTAAGATCCGGCATACCTCCCCCACCACTCGCGCCCCTCGCACTAGTCCCGTCATCGAGATCCTCCTCCAACCCACCAGCCACCCTCTCCCTCTCCAACTCGTCCACCTTCTCCTTCGCCGTCTTGAACCCCTTCTTCATCGCCTCGCTTCCCCCATTCCCTTCATACTCGATCCCCTGCCCATAAGCCTCCATGCTGCCCCTCGCGTCCCCGAGCACGAACCGCGCCAGCCCGAGCCGCGACCACGCCTTGGTGTACTTCGGGTCGGCCGCGACGGCCATTTCGGCGTCGGTGCAGGCCTCGGCGTGCTTGTGGCTGGCGCTGTAGGCGGCGGCGCGGTTGGAGAGGTAGATGGGGTTCATGGGGGCGATGGCGATGGCTTTGGAGTAGAGGTCGATGGCGGCCGGGTGGTCTTTGCGCGCCATGGCGGCGTTGCCCTGGGATTTGAAGCCTTCGGATTCCGGGGTCGGGGCGGAGACGGCTTCTGCAGGTTTGGGTGCGCTGGCTCCGGTCGTGTTGCCGCCGCTGCTGCTGCTACTGGCTCCGGTCGTGTCTTTGCCCTTGAGTTTCTCGTAAACGCCGTAGATGCTCAGGAGTGATTGCGAGCCGATGGCGTCTGTCATGTGCGATTTATTGGAGGGGTCGACGTGGAAGGTGTCGGCGATGCAGGAGGTGGCTATTTCTATGCTCTCGGTGTCTTCAGGCGTTATGGTGCCGTCTTTGAGGGAGGTGGAGAGGAAGTCGATTATGGCAAGGGCGAGACGCTTTTTGGTGTCGAGGGTGGACGCCTATGGGGGGGTTAGCATTGGTGGGACTGCGAAGCTTGGTGGAACTTACCATGATGGCGATGAGAGGATATAGGGGATTTAATAGGTCTGATGGATTTCTCAGAGTCTGAAGAGGTATTTAAGTAGGCTGGTAGATTGTTGGAGTCGTGGGTAAAGGTGTGGTGTTCACAGTGAGAGCGCTGCAAAAGCTGGTATAAACTTGGACCCTGCATTTTGACGATCCCGAGGTTTGGCCGACCGCATATGACGATGCTGCGCCGACAAGAAGACTTGAAGACCAACGTATAACAAGTGAAAAAGTCATGTCGGTATATTCGAAACATAGCTTCCTTGACCAGACTCTAATATTTTCAAGTCTCGATAGCCACAGGTTCGCAGGCTTGCTACCCAGAAGCCAGCCGCAGAGCCAGCAACTATTGACTCAATGCCACGATACTCATCACAGTGCAAGGCCACAAAGCCTGAACGGCCATCGAGGTACCGGTTTATCGCTCCTATCTTGTTATCCGAGTTTATGCATCTCCTAACCTTATGAAGCTACGACAATTTGGGTATCAAGTCGCCTCAAAATGTTGACTTTTATAGTTGCCATACTGGAAAGGTGATGAAGCTTGTATTCTTATCCTGTACATCCGACGGTGTACTTCTCAAGCTCTTCCACCTCAGTGCGTAAGAGTTGACCCCCAACTCCTCATTCTCACTCAACTCTGTCCTAGATCGACTATCTGCAAGGAAGTATTCTCCAAACTGATGGCAGAAGTACTTTCATCTGACAAGCTTGCTAGCCCATTTCTCACAGTTGTCAAGTCCACACCCGTCACACTCACGAAGATTCCTTTATCTGCATCAAGCGTGGAGATACCCCCAAATCCTTGCTCTCTCCCGCAGATGCACCTCAGCATAATCTCGGATGCCCAGTATACCATCTTAAGTAACGTGATGTAATCCGAGATCGACAGGTCTAAACTGGTATCCATCATCAAACGGCAGCTTTTACTATGCTGTACGAATGGCATTTCGATACCGCCCGTCGGTTCCGTTGTGAAGAGTTGAGGGACCAAGATCTTTGGATCGCTGAGAAGTACCATGACGGCATCGGTGCAATCTTGTGTATTTATCTTTTGAGCAGCGGGCATGCCGGACCCAAGGCACCTCACCAATGGAGCGAATCTACCGCTGGCTTCTGGATACTTGGTAGTGTTGCTCGAGCGCTTATCCAGGTCGGCGGACTCGGTGCCACTGTATTCGTAAGAAGGTGTTGATACCGTCCGGTTTCTCGGTGGCGATGCAGATATTGCACTGGACGGCGACGAGACTCCTGTACCGGATGGCACCTCGAGAATTGTGCCATTTCTAAGATGTGCTGAGACGAAGCCGCTGACACCTACGTAGAATTTATCTGCAGCTGTCCCAACATCGGCGATTCCACCTATTGCAAACTTGGACCCGTCCAAGCATCGGTCCAAGATCCTGTTGACCGTAGAAGCCACGTCAAGAAACCGGAACCGGTCCTGAATCGTGCTTTCATCATTGTTCTTGATGAAAACCACGCATTGCCCGTAGTGCCAATTGTTATATTCCGTTTTCATGATATTGATGTCCGCAGCGTCTGTGTAGCCAAAGGTCTGCTCCATCATCGGGTTTGGTAGCCTCAGGATTATTTCGTTTATGATAACATTACAATCCGAGGCAATAGCAGGCAGCAAGCGGTGGACTGAGGCGGGGTCGAAGCAGTGCACTGGATACCTTTTGCGGGCTTTCAACCCATCCGTAAGAGTCATTGACAACGAATTATGCTCTGGCACAATCGGGGATGATCTGCTTTCGAGGATGCGAGGCCCACCCGACGGAAGAGAAAGTGTGGTATCGCTCCCTAGGCTTTCTCCACTTCGCGTCTGTATGCCCGACACAACAACATAGAAACTCAGTGGAAATTTCAAACGACCAATATCAGCATTTCCACCCAATGGTTCTTTAGTGTCGGCGACACATTTCTGAACTATCCGCTGTGCCACTTCTGCAACGTCCACTGGGCGGAACCTATCGACCTGCTTTTCATCTATGTTTCGAACACGCATGAAGCAGTTTCCGAAAATCCATCGGTTTTCTGGCAGTGAAACATTGATTTCCACAGTATCCGTGTAACCCCAAGTCTGTGCCCGAAGCGGATCCTTCATGCCAAGAATGATTGTGTTGATAATGAACTTGCAGTCTTTTGCATTGGCACCAGGTAGGCGAGATCCCCTTGGATAGCAGTCGATTTCGTGGCCGATCTGTACCTTCGGATCTCCCGTAGAATTCGATTGAGATCGTGTCTCATTCAGAGATACTAACGCCCCGTTTGAACCCAACATTCGCGGTTGAAGTCCTGCCGGACCGCGATTTGCCAGGTTGGCATTCGGAGTTCGCTTGGAGACTTCCGAATTAGGAAGGGTCGAAATGTCAGCGTCATTGACAGCGTTGACGTTAACATCTGGTAGGTATCCTTGCAAACCAACATAATACGACATTACGCGCGACCCGATGGGCATTGATCCCCCTTGGGCCTTCCTGTGACTCGTCACGCAATCTGACAAGATTTTGTTTGCCGTCAGTGCAACCTCAAAAAGAGTAAACAGGTCAATCGAGGCGCTCGGTGCAGAGTTGACATAGACACTGCATTGACCAAAGATCCATCGCGCGGGGAGCCAGTCGCGATACGAGTCCATGTACATTTGCTCGGAGAAAGGTCGCCTCTCAAATGGTCCATCAAGGCGAAGAATGACATCATTGAGGACCGTGGTGCAATCTTGAGCTACTGCGGTAAGATCGAGACTTGCTCTGATATCGAAGCATAGAACTTGGTATGCTGGTGAATCCAGATTCGAGACCGGATTTGTCGAGTTGAACTGGGGTGAAGACACGTCTGCATTTGGTACGGCTGCCGGGTTAAGAACTCTAGAGGGCAATGGTATTGCCGAAATTGGGACCAGGAAGAGTAACGCTGTATTGAGAGGTTTGCCCAAGAGCAGCATCGCAGCTGCACCCTCACTTCAATCGACGCAGATTTGTACGCATTCAAGTCAAGGCTATAGATTTGAGACGAGAGATGAAGGGGATAGAAGAGCAGAGGCGTACAGCTCGATCCAAACAAGGTCCCCAGAGATGATGAAGGAAATAGGCGCCTTTAGCAGTCGCGAGTCCTACGCATGGCGGATGTTGACTGCGCTGGCGCACAAATCAATGAGCAAGCCAAGGTAAAGCATATCGCTCTTACGGAATCTTCATCCAGAGAAACTGCTCATGCAGGGCAATAGCGTGGAAGGCACAAAATAACAGATAGCTCTTTTCTCAGAAAGGCTGTTAGATCGAACTGCATGCTGGAGAGAAGAAACATGCGCTATTTGAGATTCCGATAACATGACCTGTAAGTATCCAAATGCTTATCAATGGTAAGGAGAAGCATATTCGATGCCAATCCAAGAAAGTTATGAGAATTGGAGGCAATCTGCTTGTGTAGGATGAGGATATTCTACAGGAGTCGATCGAATAGCTGTACAGAGATACATTGACGGACCGATATCTCCCATGAAGAAGAGCTGCGTATGGCGATGAAGAGATACAGCATAGAGACATACAGAAAGAAAAAAAGTAAAAAAAAAAAAAAAATTTTTTTTAAAAAAAAAAAAAAAAATAAAAAAAAAAAAATTTTTAAAAAAAAAAAAAAAACCCAAAAAAAAAAAAAAAAAAATACCAAAAAAAAAAAAAAAATCACACAAAAAAAAAAAAAAAAAAAAAAAAAAAAAAAAAAAAAAAAAAGTTTTTAGAATCTAAAAAAGTGAAGTAATAGAATTCACTGCCCTCCTGCTAAGAGAGGATGCCTCATGCCAGCGACACCGGAGCCGTCCGCGGCTTTAAGCAAAATCGGAGTTAAGCTATCGCCGTTCGGCTTACCAGACAGAGCTCCCTTGAACCTCACTCCATCCTTTCACTTTGACTCCAATGTATCTTCCCCTTACCGACAACAGATAATGACAATGGCCAACAATCTCCTTCATCTACCTCACGAGGTCTTGCATAGTATCATAGCCAATACAGACCCGCAAGACCTCGCAGCGTTATGCTGCTGCCGAGCTCTCAATGACTTCATCAAGAACAATCACCTGCTCCACAAGGAGATGTACCTCAAGACCTTTGTATGGCATTGGCATGATCCAATCTATCCGCCGTGTTCACACTGAGTGGTGTGCCTTGTGTAGGATTCATTATCCCAAAAGGACAACACTGTCTGGGGCCCCGAACTGCGAAAGCTGGTCAATGTCCAGAAGATCCTCGAGTCGAGTGACGATGCTCTTAAGGTAGCGTTCCCGCTCTCATCTCAAACGTGAAAGATACTGACGCTGTAGTAGTTATCCCAATTGCAGACAGTAGCTGTATCCATCCAAGATCTCTTGACGAACGCCCCCATGGACCCACGTACCTCCCTCAATCTTCCATTCCTTACGAACCTTTTCGAGCAACGACAAAACGTTAATACCTTCCTCTGCAGCTCATCACTCTTTGAATGGGCTAGAGCAGAGTTATGGGGTGATCTATCTACAACTAGGCAACGGAGAGACTTGGCAGCCATGCTCACAGAACAGAAGTTCCCTCGATCTCTGCGTAACCATTCCACCTTAAATTCTCTTGATTCGGAGACAGTTGCAGACCCGATACCGGAACAGCCAGAGTTGGGCGACCTGTTGGCTTACGTCTCCAGAACTGGAGATACAGGCTCTATCCCAGTACCAGTGCCCGCAGAAGCGCATGCCGCCAGCCCAACGAGCGCACTACAAAGACCACAATCATATGATAGGCAGCTCAGCGCAAAGCTCCATTGCTTATATGGTGTCTCAATTGGGACTGTCCGCAAGACTTGCGAGAGTTCCCCACCGCGTTACTCTCTGCGCAACGACACTGCGGAAATACATCCTTACGCTCGCTCCCGGGTTTACGACCTTAGGCAGCACACAGAGAACGGCACTTTCTGGGGTCCGTTTCTTGATGATGGCTTAGGAACTGTGGACTGGGAGAAGCTTGAAGCGATCATGATCATATTAGACTACAACCTGAGGCGCTCAACGGAGGTCCATCGCCAGTATGAGGGTATGCTGGAGCTGCAAGAGAATCCATGGGTTGGGGCAACACCTCATAGCTTCATCTCGCCTCCGCAGTCTGTGCCAATGGAGCCTCCTTTGCCACTTGAAGCGCAAGACCCTTACAGTGTCACGGGGACCTGGATGCGTGTTGTATGTTTCCTGGATTATACCGCACTGTATGACTTCAACTTTGGTGATGACCAGCCCGAACGTGACCATCTACGCGAGCCTATCGATACCGAGGAGGCTACTCGCTTGATCACCATGAAGATTCACGTGACTAAGATCCAAGCACCTGGTGAAGATGATGGCCAGCAACTTCCGGTTGTCCATTTTCAGGGCAAGTCCTCATCAATCCGGCCATCATGGGATCCCAACGCGAACTCCAAGATCAAAGGTAAGACATAACCTCATCACCTACCGAGATGATTAGGCTAATCACGACCAGGTACCGTGAGATTGACGCCTCAAGGCGAGGTCAGGTGGACAACCTTTTCTGTCTTTCAAGGGTAAGTGCTTCCCGCTCCCCAAGGAAGTGATCCAGAGGCTAATTGCTATTGTGCAGCGAGGAGAGATGGCGAAGCGAGGGCATTCAGATTGGAGGCGTCCGGTCAGCTCGTGGTGTCTTGGGCTTCTGGTTCGACAAAGACTTCGATGAGCATGGCCCGGCTGGGCCTACAGCCTTCTGGAAGTCGCATGATGGGATAGAGGCGAAGAAACCGTCAAACACTCACGGATGGAATCAATTTACTGTGCCTTCATACTGGTGATACTGACTTTGCTTCCGTATCGGAGTGCGGCACTGGGCACCCTCGGAGTTGGTGGCGTGTGCAGGGACTCCAACATGCGACAGCTGAAATAGTGTCAAGTTCAACAATTCATTGAAGTCAATAGGAGGCGAAAAAGAGGAGTAGGATGTAGAGAAGAGTTTTATTGATCTCCCGAACATGCATTACGAATCTGACTGAATTTCTCACGCGCCAATATGAGGTCAGAGCTACTCTCGTTGTGCAAGGAATAGAGTACAGCTATTCATGAATTGTTTGATGGCCTTCGAGATGATGAACACTCATCCTTTGTCTGGCACAATGTCCTGAGTCCCTCTATGGTCGCATTCCTTCACACTTGGCTTCACCGCCTAGCTCCAACCTCTTCTCTCGAAGCAAAAACCCCATCCACAAGATTTCCGTATCGTTCCCTCTCAATCCCCAACCTTCAACCCTTCCACCCCCTTCAAAGCATCCTCCTCCCCCTCCTCCTCCTCGTCCACCTTCCCCACCAGCCCCCTCTCCCACAACTCCCTCCCACTCATCTTCCCCTCCTCAATCTTCACCTTCCTCGACTTCCCCTCCTCCTCCACCTTCCTCCTCTCCTCCTCCTCCCTCTCCACCTCACCCCGGAATCCCGCCCTCCAGGCCAGAAAACTCTCCCTCGTCACAGCCTCCCCGTGAAACTTGGCATTCTCCGCCTCTTCGGCCTTGGCCGCCTCTTTATCCTTCTCCGCCTGCACTTCATTCAACCTCTCGCCAATCAGCAGCTCCGCACTCTCCTTCAGCGCGCTGATGAGCGTAAACACCATCGCCTGACCCATAGACTCGGTTATCGTCTCGTCGATGGACGATAGCAAGTGTGGTTTGTCCTCTGGTAGAGATAGCTGAGGCAATCGGGGAACATTTTGGGGGAAGGTGATGTCGAGGTTGGGGGCAACGTCGGGGTAGGATTCGGGATAGGCGACTGTGAGGACGAGGTTTGCTGGTGTGGAATGTGTCAGTCAGTCTCTTGCCCGAATATGTATGTGGGGAAAGACGGGATGTGGAGGGAAATGGAGGGGGGCACGTACGAACTTCTGCATCTTCATCTTGACCGGGTATATCTAATGCTATCGAGACGCGGTAGGATGTCTCTGAGATATCTGATGTAAAAAGGTGTGAGCACTCTTCCATCAGACCAAGAAAGCAGACCCACCAGCAATCTCATCCGGAAAGATAGAATCAAGGACTTCTCGTTCCTCAACCTGCTCCTCACGACCCATCTTTCCATCTCGTCAAAATCCTAACCCGCTCCCTCCCACCAACCCGCCATGCCCGCGGAAATCACATAAACCCATAGGGCTGAACACTCCCGCTTTAGCGCCCCAAAATTCCACTCCACCTTCCCAAAGATTCCACCGACAAACCAACCCCCACCATGCCCCCCCGCTGGCTCCGCCTCCTCTCGAAACCCTACGTCTTTCTCCCCGCCGGCTTCCTCATCATCAACGTCGCCGTCAGCATCTTCCCCGACCCGCCCGCCGTCCGAGAAGCGAACGAGCGGAAATGGGCGCAGGCGCAGCAGCGGCGCGAAGAAGCGTACGAGCGCGCCGTGATGGAGCAGATCGAGCGGGCGAACCCGGGCGCGTTCGACCGAAACTGGGACCCGGATCGGGACCGGGATTAGACCCGGCTTCTCCGACAGCAGCGGCAACGGACATGCTCGCGGAAGCGGAATCGTTGTTGAGAGAGGGGAGAGGAAGGGCGGAGGACGCACTACCGGTTGCGTTGCGAGCGCTGCGGCGAGCTGCGGGGCGGGATGATGCCGCTACGACGACGCTGCCCGCGCTCGGTCTGGTCGCGGAGATATACCTCGAGCTCGGCGACGCGACGGCCGCGCGTGAATACTTTCTGCAAGCCGTTTCGTTGGACCCGGAAGGGCGGGTTCCCGAGACGCTCGGCGGGGGCGCGGAGAAGTTCCTCTGGCTGGCGCAGCTGAGCGAGGAAGGCGGGCAGGATAGCGTGGAGTGGTTCGAGCGGGGCGCGGCGGTGTTGCGGCGGGAGATTGGAGCGCTGGGGGAGGGAGAGGGCGAGGGCGGGGAAGAGAAGCGGAAGAAGCTGGCGGGGGCGTTGTGTGGGATGGTGGAAGTGTACATGACGGATCTGTCCTGGGAGCCCTCGGCGGAGGCGAAATGCGAGAGTTTGATTTCGGAGGCGCTGCTCGTGGCGCCGCGCTGTGCGGAGCCGTTGCAGACGCTGGCTTCGGTACGGATATCGCAGACGCGGATACCGGAGGCTAGGAAGGCGTTGGGGGATAGTATGGGGATATGGCGGGATTTGGAGCCCGAAGATGCTGCGGTGCCGGATTTCCCCACGCGGATTTCTTTGGCGAGATTGTTGATGGAGGTGGAGATGGAAGAGGAAGCGTTGGGGGTTGTGGAGAGGTTGGTGCAGGAGGATGATGGGAGTGTGGAGGCGTGGTATTTGGGGGGTTGGTGTTTATATCTGCTCGGAATGAAGCAGAGGAAGAAGCATGATGAAAGGAATGGCGCAGCCGAGGGGGATGCTATGGAGGATGCGAATGGATGTGACGAGGACGAAGAAGATCTTCTTACCCAAACTATGGTCTCGAGTCGAGAATGGTTACGGCAAAGTTTAAAGCTTTATGAACTAGTTGAATATGAGGATGAAAGATTGAAGGACCATGCGATGGAGTTGGTTGAGGAACTCGATGCCATTATTGGGGAAAGGGGAGAGGATGAAGTAGACGAGGGCGAGGAGGAGTGGAACGGTTTTGGAGAGGAAAGTGAGAAGGAGCAAGAAGATGAGGAGATGGATGAAGGCTGAGATTGCTCCATTTCGGCTCTGGAGACCAACGTCAAGAACAACGACATGTATAACACGATCACGATAATGGACGGCGACATTTCGACCATAGATAATATCAATCGCAAACAAACCAGATCAAGGGTATCATCCCACCAACTCGTCACTCTCCCACCCGACCTCCCCACAAACCTCCTTCGTATACCTCTGCATTTCCTGCAAATTCTCCACGATATCCGTCAAAGCGCCCGAAAAGGCATACTGATACACATCCGCCCACCTCCTGCCTTTGCCTTCTTCATGCCCCATCCTCTCCCTTCCCCCGTCCTCAACTCCCTTCCCCTTTCCATCCACCTCCGACCGCCGGACTTGCTCCGCCTCCATGACAGCCATACAGTCCAACAATCTCCTCCTCGCAATCGCTGCGCTGGGCAGATACCGCGGCACGGGCTTATCTGCCCTGAGAGCGCAGGCGAGGACGTAAAGATTCATGAGGATGACGGCGACAGCGTCACGGCGGGGAACAGTCAGTGAAGCGATGGCTGCAGGGTCGGAAGCGGCCATGTTGGGTTGGAAATAAAGACTCGACTGGCGCACTTGGACAAGGTGCTCGAAGAAAGACTCGCAGGCTGCGATGAGGGCGCTGTAGGGGAGCGGGTTGAAGGGAGCTCTGAGGCGCATTTCGTGCCTTGTCAACTCCATGAGCTGCCGCATTCGCACAAAGCCTTCTCTTAACCGAGCTTCGAGCATTTCCGATCTCACTATGTCTTTTGGACCCGGTTCTTCACCTTTCGTGTAGTAGATGTATTTGGCTACGACACCACGGTAAAGGATGGCTGAATGGAGCATCGTGCTGGATAAAGATTTTCTGAGCTCGTGGCGGGCGATGAAAGGCCAGAGGATCCAGTTGACGGTCAAGGCGGCTACCAACCCCACGACAAAAGCAAGGCCTCTGGTCCAGGCAATGGTGACGACAGATGGGTAGCCACCTTCCGTATATGCGCTCAATGAGACCACGGTGAAGCTTAGGCATCCAACTACTCCTGAACGAGGATGCGAGCTTTGCGTGGAACGGTAAAGCATTGGTATCATGTAGACGGCGGCAAATACGGCCATCACGTACGGATTTCCGTTATCTGCTGCGTAGGCGAGCCCACCCCAGATCGCACCGATGGCAGCGCAAAAGGTCCGCACAGCAAGGTCCTGGAAGGTCCCGCCAACGCGTGGATGCATCATGGCCCAAACCGTGACTACAGTCCACCAGCTTTCATTATCATTCCACCATCCTCGACTCTGTGGAAGCCAAGCAGGGACAGAGAGAAGCGTAGTGACCAGGGTGACTTTGAAAGCAAACCGTGATTCGAAGCCTTGTAACCGGTGTAACATCTCCCACGCTCGATATCGAAAAGGTGCTTTGCCCGAACTCTTGCCATGGTCATACTCTTGTTCTTTTTGGTACTCTCCGATCACTGGTGGCTGTTCTGGCGCATCCTTCAAGCCCTGCCCTCCTGCTGCATGTCTTGCCGCCGGAATGTAGGCACTGCTCTGAAGTTCCGCCATTGTTCTATCCAGTTGTTTCTTGCTACGAAAGTAGAAGCCCGCTGTCAGCCCTCCACGGTCGTGTCTTACCTGGTAATTAGTCCGCATGATTGCCTTATGGAATGGGTAAGACGGTGCGCGAATTCTCCATTTTCTTTTTGCCTGGTCCATTTCTAAGACCTTGGCCACAAGCGCCTCCACTTTGTCTGCTGTCTGGCGTACAGGGTGGACGAACAGGAAAAGCTGTATCACATCAGGACTTTTGGCGTATTCAGACGGCAAATGGGGGTGCGCGACCAGTAGAGCGTCGGCTGAGTCGAACGCTTCCTTGGCGGTTCGCAGATTGTCCAGGGCTTGCGAAAGGATGTATGGTTCGTCTTTTGCGGCTTTTTGCCCACCAATAGATAAAATTGTTTGGTCTGCGCGCGTGATATTGGCTACCATGGCGTCAATCAATACTCTCGTGGGCTCCTTGAGGGTGTGGCAAATTGTCCGCTTGGCTCGATCATGGTGGAGTATGGGACCCTGCTGCACACCACCGGTACTCTGCTCGAAGGCTGGCTCAGTGGGCGAATCGGAATCGGCAAAGAGAGTTGGGTCAGGGGTGATTGCCAAGATAGATCGTATGACACCTTGGATCAGGTTGCGTATCAGTGCAACATCGTTGGGAAGGAAACGTGAAAACGTAAATTCGAGAGTAAAGTCTCGAACAGCCTGAGAGATATTGACGAACTGCCAGGCAAGCTTGCGTTTCAGAAACGGCATCTCCGGGGATGGTAACACAAGTCCCGCTTGTATTGTGTTCAATGAATCATGAAGAGCAAGTCTAAAGAAGGGTGAGATACCGTAATGCTGACCAAGTATAAAGGAATAGTGCCTTACGCAAGCGACCTTGAACCAGCATCTGGGAAAACGAGGACTGCGATGATAAGGCAAACAGCCTGGCCTAGTACCCACGGTATGCCATAATCGAAGACCTTTTTCCAGCCCACACTCTGGGACGTGTCTGCTAGACATGTGTAAACGATGGCAATTCCAGCACAGAGTACGGCTTGATAGAGCCTGATGAAGACGCATCGTAGCCAGCCGATGAGTACAGCGAAGATAATAAGGAAAGTAGCCAATATACCGCCGTATCCGGACTGGGCTGTAGCCGTAGATGTGGAGACGTAAAGAGCTAGAGACCCCCAGCCCAAGCCAGCGACGGTACCGAGGATAGTGAGAATAGTACCGTCAAGCTGGCTACCGACCGCTCTTCCTGGGTGATTGATGATTGCAGAAATAACCATAATGTAATTATATTCGCCAAGCCAGTCCCTTGAAGCTGGTATTAGACAGATGATATAAGTAATTATAAACCCAAGAAATGTCTTCAAAAGGCGGATACCTGCCCTAGACGTACTAATCCTCTGGAAAAAAGCCTTTGCTTCGCGAAATTGCTGAGGCAGGAATCGCCGTAACGAGAGTGGATGATTCTTCTTCCGGAATGCATCTGGCAAAGTCTCGGCTGCTTTCATCATCAGATCCTCATGATTGCGTTTTAACGGCCGATTAAAGGCAGCGTCGAAGAATCCGTCCCGCGATTCCTCAAGACCGTACCCGTCGAGATCTGCATCTACAGCTTGGAGGAGATGCTCGAGCTGCAGATGACTGGTACTTGCCCCAGGAGATGGTACTGGAGATGTTTTCAGCGCCCTGGAGTCTAAAGCGCCTCGAGGGGCTGTAGAGGTGTGAGCAAAGGATCCAAGGATGACATCGTGTGCACCAGCCAAGCGGCGTTGGGGGCTTGGTTCTTCTGTAAGGTGTAGACTGTTGGGGTTCCGTTTCCTCAAGAGCAAGTGTGGTCCGGATGATGCATTTTTCTCGCCATGGTGGGCCGGCTTACGTCCCTCAGCGGCCTCGACATCTCTGATCTCTGACTTGATTGTTGGTGTCTTCAAATGGATCTTCGGGCCTGTTCCTGCGGCCATTTGTTAATCAGATGGCAACAAGGTTTACCGTCTTAGCTATGTCTGCCTTGACATGGTTCAGGGTTCCCAACTTATCCCGGGCCATAGCCAGGACACTAGCAGAGATGTATTAGATGTATTTGTTGTCGTTATTACCTTTCTTGGCAGAATATGATAGTCACAAGCGCGCTAACGCCTCGTAGGGCTGAATGCGCCTAATGCGTACCTGAAGGTACCTTACTTTCTCTCTTTGTGTCACGTACTTTTCTTCTATAAAGTCGATTTAGCAATGTACTTAAGTTTGTGGCACGATCAGATTTGCTTTCGCCTTCCTGTTGGCTCTTTGTTTTCTCTTTTCATTGATTTGTTCTATCTTATTATCTACAATTCTTACGTATCTTCGTTCCATCTGTGAACTGTGTTTAGAATAAATTTGTAAGATGTTAAGATACAGTATACCAATTTTGGAGTATTGTACGGTATATGGCAAACGAGCCCGTGATCTGATGGTATCCTGTCAGCACTGTTAACCACTAGGCCGTAGGCTCAAAAATGCGAGGGTATCGCGCTTCATGCACGATTCGCCCTATTGAACCCTATAATAGGTGCTTAGGTGTCAGGTCAGGCCTGACATATCCTGAGTTCAAAGCGGAATACCTTCATTCAATTTCACCTATCAGGCTATCACTGAATGTCACACGGAGCGCTGACGCTAATCCGGAAAAGGCAGCTATTGCAGCCTTTCAAATGGCCCCGCATCGTCAGCCTCGTCGCTCCGTCTCTGCTCTTTCATCTCTTCCTCTAGTATTATCTCTGAATGCGTGAAATTTTGGCGTCACAATGTCGACATCGAAGCATGGCAAGCGCCAAGAAGAATACCTTCGCACTTTGTATGTGCCTGACGTGCAGGGAGAGCTGGCCCAGCATCTTATTGAGTACTTGCGCATACGGGACTGATTTTTCATCATGCTAACTCAACAAGCATCGTATTCGTACACGGGCTGAACCCCCACAGCAATGCCGATTTTGCCAATGCTACCTGGACCCACGAGAACGGGAATTTCTGGCCTACCAAACAGCTCCCGAAGCGTGTCCCATCAGCTCGCATCCTTGTCTTCTCCTACAACTCACAGGTAGCCTGGGACACCAGTAAGAACGGGATTCAAAAACACGCCAATAACCTGCTTGATCGGCTCTCCGGAGCTAGAGAGTCCAGACTTGCTGATGTGTGCGCCCACATATGTGGTTCGACAGAAGACATGCTAATGAGATAGCCACAGAAAAACTACAGTGTACCCATCATCTTCGTCGCACACAGTCTCGGAGGCCTAGTGGTCAAACAGGCACTCGTCACTGCTAAGATTGATGACACATACATTAATCTCAGAAAAGCAACCTATGGCCTTGTCTTCTTCGCTGTACCCCATCAAGGCGGCCATGGAGCTGGTCTCGGCGCGATCGCAAAGAATATCGTGTTGTCGCTGACGGGTGATGCGAACAACGACCTCATAGAGTCACTGAAGTCGAATTCTCTCTTTCAGGAAAGCCAGACGGCATTCTTTAAGCATCAGCTGGAAGACTACCAGATAGTCTCGGTCTGCGAGGACAAGCCAACGAAGCTTACCAGATTTCTTGGCAAGGCAACGGCTTTGGTGATTTTACAGTCTGCCGAACTATCATTAGCACACTGAGCTGACAATTAGTACAGCTCGTTGTCGACGAGAGGTCTGCGACTTTGGGATTGCCAGGCACTCGGGAAAGGCTTCTGACTGTCGACTCAAATCATTCAGAGGTCTGTAAGTTCGAGGATGACGATAACAAGTTTGAGCCTATCAAACGTGCTATTGGAACGCTGGCAGATCGTGCTATCGCCAAGCAGAAGAAGACTGCTACCGATAAATCTTGCGACGGTTTACACGCACAAGAATGTACGTAGTCGGTAGCTAAGCTTGTCTGTGAAATGGCTTCATGGTGGTCAGTATTTGACACAGCGTGTATTCATATAGATATCCAAAAGTTTCTCCATAGCCTCCACTTCCCCGCAATACAGTCTCGTCAAGAAGAGATTGCCGATGCCCACAAGGAGACGTTCCAGTGGATTTTCGATGACTCCGGCGATGCAGTGCGCCCTTGGGCCAATTTTGTGGAGTGGCTCGAGACAGGCCGGGGTATATACTGGCAAGTGTTCCTCCTTTCGCGCGTCAAATATCAGCTAAACGAACTAGGATCTCCGGCAAAGTTGGGTCTGGGAAGTCGACTTTGATGAGCTATATCTGCGAGCATCCACGGACCATGAGGTCGCTAAAGACCTGGGCAGGACCAAAGGTTTCAATGGTGGCTACGCCAAAATTCTTCTTCTGGAGTCCCGGCAGCCCGATGCAAAAGACTTCCGTGGGATTGCTTCGGTCTCTTCTCTATCAGATATTTCAGGAGTATCCTGAGAGTGTTCCACCGCCGACAAGAAACGAACCCCTCTCAGATTGGACGGAGAAACGGCTTCGAAAGATTTTTCAGAACTTAACTCGTGATATATCGAGCTCATATCGCATTTGCTTCTTTATTGATGGACTGGATGAGTTCAGCGGTGATCACGACGCACTGATTGAGATGTTTCAGGAGCTGGTGCAGGATGAGAAAATCAAAGTGGTACTGTCTAGTCGGCCGTACCCAACATTCGATCGAGCATTTGGCTCCAGAGCTATGCTTAAACTGCAAGACTTGACGAGAGCCGATATTAAGAAGTTTGTGTTAGATAAGTTCTTCGCTCATCCGAGAATTCAGTCAATGGCAGCCCAAGAGCCTCAGAATGCCTTCGAGCACGACGTTTATGGTTTGATCAATGATGTTGTCTGGAAATCTGACGGTGTCTTTCTTTGGGTCGACTTGGCTGTCAAGGACCTGATACGAGGGATCAACGATGAAGACAGCCTAGAACAACTGAAAGAAAGGCTTGACTTCTTACCAACAAGACTTGAAGATCTCTACGCACAGATGCTCAGTAAAATCGACAAAGTCCATCGGGAAGAAGCGGCTTGGTTCCTGCAAATTGCACTTCATCAGCAGTCGGACGAGTGTTCGCACCGGTCGAGCGATCTTCTCGACTTCACCCTTGCAGTCTATAAATGCCTGGACCGTGATCTTGAGTCTTCAGCGGATTTTCCTTCGCAAAATGTGATGGATCATTGCCAGTGGACGAGAAGAAGGATCGCAACGACCTGCGCTGGCCTTCTTGAAGTCCACCAACGAACATTCGGCAGAAGCACCGCGCAAAGTTTCCCAGAAAACACCAATTCAGAAGACACCGATCCAGAAGGCGCCAATCCAGAAGACACCGATCCAGAAGACACCGATCCAGAAGACACCGATTTAGAAGACACCGATTCAGAAGACACCGATTCAGAAGACACCAATCCAGAAGACACGATCCCAGAAGTCCAGTTTGTGGTCTCATTCCTGCATCGCACCGTCGCAGATTTTCTAAACGAATCCGAGCAAGGAAGAAAGTTTCTAGGTGCAAACACGTCACCAAATCGAAACATTTATGTAGTATGGGCCAAAGTGCTAGTGGCTAAAGTACGAATGCTTGGGTTTGCTCAGGACACAGATTTGATTGAAGCTTTAACCATTGAAGACATCATGACAGCCGCCTCTGATGCCGAATACAAAACTGGTGTGGCTCAGACGGCAATCTGTGCCTATATAGAGCTCGCCGTGACAATCCTAGATCAGAAAAGAGGAGTCCCTGTACCAGGGTCGCACTGGTGTACACGCATAAATAAGTGGGCTTCGCGTGGGAGTTATGGAGTACGGTATAGTTACTTGGAGCGTAGCCTAAGCTATCAATTTCGCTATACCAGCAATCAAGCTAAAGAAGACGGCTCGTCGAGGCCAGCGTCAGATCGGCCAGTCGACCACTTTGGCTTTGCAATGTCAGATCGGCCAATCGACTACCTTGGCTTTGCAGTGTCCAATGGTTTGAAGTTGTACATGCAGCAGCAAATAACGTTACTCCCAGCCGGCTTTCAATCATCTACAGCAACTTACTTGTTACGATGTACAATAATTTCTTCTCCGTTCGACGACATCGGCCCTTCGCAGACTTCGAGATTCCTTGACCTCGTTTGTGCGCTTTTGAGACACGGTGCAAACCCAAACGTGCCGGTATGTGAAAGCACTGTCTGGGGTCATTTTCTGGCACGGATGGTCTTTGCGAAGGACGACCGAAGATGGATTGACCATGAGCTTGCACATGCTATGGAAAGGCCCTGGAGAACAGCCTTCAACTGTTTCATCGAGCATGGGGCTGACACGAATGGCATGCTTTCCATGCAGAGGTGGAATTACCTAAAGTTTGAAATCGAAGAGCGTCACCTTCACGTACTTCCGATTGGTTCTTCGAGTTCAAAAATCAAGCTAGGGCGTTACTGCAACGCTCATTTCCGCATCAGTGTGTCTGTTCCAACACTGATTCGGTACTACTTGGGCGACTCGCCCGACTCTGCAGATATTGTTTCAGTCTGTATGCTCAATGGTGCTTTTTATCACTCCAAATGCACGGAAATATCCATCGATTTGAAGATGGTGAGGACCTACCCCCACTAAAACAATGGGCGCTGTCCGATCAGCAGTCGGATCGACTTCTTGAAGCATTCGAAAGATATGTCATACCCACCGTGCCACCTCGATCTTCGAAAGTCGAATTAGAGCGTCTGGTTCTACGTCTATACGATGAGCTTTTGACAAGAGAACCAGATCAGTCTCATCACGTACTTTAGTCTATCCTCACCACCGTGTTTCTCAAGCTGCTCATGTTTTGCGCATCCTTTATGAACTTCTGCCAATTCAGTTTCTGAGCAACACAAAGGTCAGTATCTGTAGTAGAATGAGTTCGACTGTTACACAGTGCGCTCATCAACCACGCGAGCCAAAATGCAAGTCATCTGCAAATTCCAGCTTGTCGGTGAATGGCCGAGGCTGGCTGAGGAGCGTCTCATCGCGCCATGCACTTACCTCGCCCCCAGAGCACATGTGAGATACGATTAGGTACTGAAATCCAATCACGCCGGGAAAGATGTCCCACGTTGGCGCAACAGTTCCCGCAAACCACGGCTTTTTCACTTATGAGCCCCCCCTTAAGCTTATCCATTCCATCCCGTATCATCTACCCCAAGCTTTCCTCGACCCTTGAGATGTCTAGTAGACCAAACAGACGGCCACGGTGAGTCTCACGTCTCCTACACGGCACGATCTATATGCCGAATATCACGGCTGAATCACTTGATGCATAAGACGTGACTATCGTCAACCCCAACGGCACCAGTCGGCCCAAGAGACGTCCCATCGAGGACCTATAGTCTGCTGCACCTGGTTCCTGTCTATCACATTCTGACAAGCCTACCACTCAATGTACACCAGTGAACTTCACGTACGTGAAACAGGAGACACCCCCGGATGTCAAGCCAAGTGCAGCCACACGAAGTTCAGAAAGCAGGAGAGTCTCGCTTCAGGGGCGGGATATATCCAGAGCAAGCGCGGCAACGTGAACGTTGATGTCGGACAGCTACATGCATCGTCCAGCTGCAAGCCTACGGCTCGAAAGGGGCTGACGATAGGGATGGCGAATACAGATACGATCTGATGGTGTGAGAGCTGTGAGGCTGGAGAAGAGGTACGTACTCATGGTGATGAAACTCGGCAGATTGAGACAGCTGAGCGATCTGTGATAGTTAGCAAGTACGACTCTCTTTCTGCATGGGGATTTGCGTCGGCCAAGCCTTTGGTAGTCTTTGATGGAATTGGAGGTCTGAGCCGCTATTACGAACCATCATCCCAACGGGTCAAGGGTCCTAACAAAGTTCGCGCGCACGTTGTGCCTTCACGGTAGAGATTCATATGACCAGAGTCTCATTCGAACTCATATACACACAGAAACGACACCCTTCCCCGAATCCTCGCTCAACCAACGCCTCAGTCCATCATTACAACAGATGCACATACTCCCTCCCCCTCAAAACACCTTATCCTTATACTCCAACCAATCACTACTCGTAACGACGACCTCATCCTTGACCCTGATGCCCCCAGCCGGCACATTCATCTCCTCGAGACTGATCTCATCCTCCCTCCCCCTCCCCACCACCTTCCCCCCGCGCACGTTGGCCTCGTGGCGGAAAAACCCCGGCCGCGCGCCCCCCGGACTGACCGCCTCCGACGGGTCCTCCAGCCGCTCGAAATAGCCCTCGCGGCAGTCCTCGGGGCCGACGCGCGGACTGCGCCAGGCGATCCGCGACGCCACGCTGCTGGTGGTGTCCTGGGCGCTGGGTTTGCTCCTGGGCGTCTTGCTGACGCCGACGCCGCGGGTCGTGCCGCGGGCGAGGAGCGAGATGAGGGGCCGGAGGCTGGGGATGCAGGCGCTGATGACGCCCATGGAGGGTTCGGCGGCGGACCAGATGGCCGAGTCGACGTAGTTCCCTGGTTGGGCTGCTTGTTAGAGGGGCTCCCGGGTGGGCGGGTTGGAAGGGGTTGGGTACGTACATGTGACGTCGACGGCGGCGAGTCGGGATAGCACGACGAGGCGGATGATACTGATGATGCAGACGCTGCGATGACGGTTAGCAAGTGTGTGACTTTTGTGAGGCGTGCGGTTAGAGGGAGTGGCAGTCGCGGACGTCGGCGACACTGAAATTTCGAGGACAGGAACCGTGAAAAGACACGTTGCACGCGTCTTTCCGGCTACCAGCCAGTGTTGTCCGAAAGATCAAGGTACACCGACGCCGGAGACAGCTTCCTTTCTCGGCCGCGGGCTTAACGTGGGCTTGACTTACAATCCTGCGCAAACGAATATCCCAGTCAACACTCCTTTTTGCGAAGCCGTTGTCCGCAGCCGCCAAAGCAAAGGTATCGGCTGTATTGCTGTTAGCACTGCGCACGTGAGTGAACCGGGTGACTTACGAGCATTATGATAAAGAAGTCTATAACGCAATTGATGGCTCCAGGAACGATTTGTACCAGGTCGCCATTGGCACACTTGCCCGGTCCTGCCCTTTCCCAAAAGTGATGTATCGGTTGACTTCATGCATGATAAGCTTTGTGCCCCTTCCTGCCTGTCAAATTAGAGCTCACCATTGGAAGATCGCCGTCAATAGAGATCCCAGGAAATAGCACAGTACGATGCCGACTGCGATGAACAGGAGTAGCTTCAGCTGTTGGACGGGAAAAATGCGTCTATAGAATGCAAGACTGAAAGACGCCATGGTTCAGCTAATTGACATTCTGAACTTCTCTTGCGGGGAGATTGGCTTACATAGCGAGTTTTACAACGGAAGTGGCAGAAAAGTATCCAATGAGATAGATGTACAGGATCTTGAGGAACTCCACAGTATTGTCCGCGGGGTCCTTGAGGCCATATATGTGCTTGCCAAAGTCATTGCGCCGCTCCGCTAGGAGAATGTCAGCCCAATGCACCAGATCTTGTCGGGCCCGAGCACTGACAGATGAGGACGCATATGCATTGGATATAACACAGAGCCTAGATCATTTCCTTCAGCGACGCACACCCAATATTGTCCAACTTTGGGCGTCACCAACACAAGCAAGGACCACGAAGAAGTCATCCCACCAGTAGCCGGCGCGAGCGACCTTTCTCGATACCAGGCGCGCGATGACGAACAATGTTGGCAGTACTATGAGAGTGATCATAGATCCAACCAGTCTTGGCCCTTGGTCCGCGTTCAAGTCGATGCCAGGAGGAGGTGTGTCCGCCATGGCACCTGTGTGAATGCTATTGATGCCAATGCGCGATGTCGACACCTCGTGCCCTGTCCATAAGATACTAAGTCGACACCATGATGCTGAAAGGTATGCGAATAGGTAGCAGAGATGAACGTCAAGAAAGGTGGCGGAATATCTTCATTTGAGCTACAGTAGTCTAAGAACTAGATGCCTCGTTCTCGCCGTGTGTCTGGACTCTGGAACATATTAACAGTCACCTTAATCAATGATATAATTGCTGTTGGTTGCATGTATGTGCCACGAAATTCGACGTATTGCGAGCTTGGTTAGGTCTGGCAAAGGTCATATCCTAGTCGAAACTCACGCCACAAGCTGCAATTGCCAAAGCTAGAGCCGAAGTTGCCTAGAGCTATCCTGTCTTTTTGAGTCTGAAATGACGCTTACGATTCCAAGTTGGATGCAAGGAAACGCGCTTGGGCTGGTGTATGAGGTTCCTGGGTCAAGCTCAAGGATGGAGTGCAAGATCACGCGATGCCAGGCTTGATATGGTTAGGATATGGTGAACTCAATAAAAAGAAGGTTGGGGTCAGGGTTCTTGAAGCCAGCTGTGCCACGCTTCCCCTCTACACCTCCGCACCATCGCGATTTGAGCCGGCCCGCCCCCCGGAAGCATGAGAAGCTCAGACGAAGCTTGAGAAATCTGATTGGTAGATTCGGAGAGTTCAACAGACCCAGTGTCCGGCCTCGTGGCCAGTGCACGCTATCCCGAGAACTGCCCATTCTTTCGTATTCATGCAGTAGAAGACGTGTCATGTAAAATGAGAAACACTTCTCCCAATCGTTGGTAACATTGCTCCCAACGCGCCTACATGTAGGCTAGCAGCTCTCTGGGTTAGAATAGGGGACGCCGTATGCAGTAGAATTTGCCGTTGCACCCAAGGTCTCGCATGCGATGACGCGTTAGATAATAGGAATTGCTAGCGAGAAAAAAAGCTCTGCTTTGCCCTATTGTTAGGGTTTCATAAATCCCTGCAGCCGTGAAGTTGTGGACTACGTGAGAGTCGTTTTCCGGAGACGAGGAACGCCGCAGAGCTTGTATTTGAACTAGTGGTCGAAGGAAGTTGCTGATGACGATAATCAACACACCACTATGTGATCTTGGTCGATCTGTGTCCGCTATCGCCTCCTTGAGCTCAAGGGAAAACCCAAAAAAAAAAAAAATTAGTGATCACCTGTGGCTTTCCAATCGGAGACCCAGACAAATAGCGGAACACTAGGCCAGAAGCTGTCCGCCGGAAGCTCAGACATAACAACCAGGCACCGTGTACTCATTATCACGTTTCTGCATAGGAAGAACAGGATGATCTGGAGTCTTGATCGATTTTGAACAGCACCTGCCCAACCCGGACGTTCAATTCCTCAAACACTTGGATGTACCCCTCTAGTAACTCTTGGGACCTTTCTGTACTCTGGTGCCAGTGCATTTGGTCGTGACTTGGTGGCACACTATCCGCAAAAATCAATGTTTTCAGACTTGGGGCCACTACCCCCGGGTTTGCCCAGAGTATGGCGCTGAGGTAGTTTTTTAGTCGTCGCTTGCAGTGTTTCTCATGCTCCGCGGCTTTTGCGCTGTTGCTCGAGGATATCCAGAAAAATGTGTTCGCTTCCAGGTGCAGCATTTTGACCAGATTGAAGTGCCGAGGAAGGAAGCGCCAGCCCGACATGGCGAACGGTTTCCGAAGCGGAAGGGAGAACGTGTTTCTGCCATAATAGTACTCCAAGGTTTCTTGGTAGAGCTGATGGCAGGAGAAGAAAAGAGCGGTCTTGGTGTAGTGAGACTTTGGGTGGAGGAATTCCACGATACGGTCCTCAAGATAGATGAATGAGTAGATGTGGCATCGTATCTCCATTGGGAGTGTCAGTAGATGGGGTTTGTCGGACATGGCTGGGGGTTGCTGTGAAAGGATTGGAAATGGTTGTGAAAGTGACGATGCTGAGATTTGTGACTGAACGACTGCACCAACGAATAATTGGGCTAGCAAAGTGCTAATGAATAGGCTCAATTCGGACTAGTGCTGAGATACTGGTCCAGGCCTAATTTGTAGTAGCGTGCTTTTGACTGAGCTTTTCTAAGGTATGCTGTTCTCCATAAATTCTTAGATATATCGAGTACAGTACATTTGCCTCTGCGTTAGCGCTTACTACTTGAGTCCATATTGTGCCATATCACACATGAAGAAGGCAGTACAGGCGTCGGAGTCCATTTCCCTTCTTCTCATCCGAATCAATAGTCTTGTCGAGACGTCTCTATCTTTCGAAGAATGTCTGTCGACAGCAAAAGAGATCGGGACACAGCGCCTTGAACTACGAGTTTCTTCGAAAGACATCATTCACGTCTGCTCTTCGCCTTGAGGCTGCATTATCGCAACACGTCTATCAGTCTGACACCCCAGCCCTGGGGCTCAAGGCATTAAATATATATCACGCCGCTGAAAAAGAGACCAAGATGATCTCACTCATCTGATGTGCTATGACATGTTAGATAGCAAAGAAAGAAGAAGCTTGACATTGCCGGGATGACGCGGGCCACAGTCTTGTTGGAAAGTATGGCTTCTGCACTGCGGTATGATTGTCAAGCCTACGACCGCGGGATCGAAAAACCTGACAGTCTGCGGCAGCTACTGCAACGTGGAAGCTCAGATGTCACGGAAAGCTGCTCCTGTGCCATACCTTCGCCTGCAGACTCCAGGACTCTTGGCTTGGACATTGTCGATCCGGTTGCTGTTTGTCTGATTTTGGCTATGACGCCTATTAGCAGCCCGCTAAATGGAAGAAGTGTTTCAGGGTATGTGAATGAGAGGGAAATGGCATATCAGTGTCGTTGTGACTCGACGTACATGTCGAACGAATGCTGTGGATCAAGAGATGGGAGGGTGCCTCGGCCTTTACAGTTGAGGTAAAACCTTCGGATTTCGCTTTCCGGAAACAAAGACGGATTGGTGGTGTATTATCACTTGGCGAGGTGTCGAATCTATACGTGTAAATATAGACCGAGTGACTTGCTGCACCAGTAGTGTTTGTGAGAGTGATTATTGCAAGTTGACATCGTAGTCACTGATGATTGATAATTCATTATGGTATAACTGGCCAACCGTAATGACATCGGCAGTCGGGAATTACTTCGTACTGCCGACATTGTACTCGAACATCAACTTCGGGCCTCCTGACCGCAACAGGATCTTCAGCGATGGCCGCCCACGACAAAGTCCGATGGCATCCACCGCTCAAGGCACCGGCCATCGAAGTCGTTGACCTGCTCTCCGACTCGGAATCCGCTTGCACTCCGCCGAGAACCAGCGAGCACACAGGAAAGCACGACGCGTACAGCACAGTCTTGAGAGCGAAGGGCACGGCGGATGACGATATACAATGGCGTGCACCTCTCAAGGCTCCTGTGATTGAGCTCGACGATCCGCTCCCGCTAGATGTATCGACGGGAATGGGCGAGGTCCTCGTGAGCGGTGAAGATGTCAAGGCGCGCGACGCGTCAGTGGAAGGAAGCGATAGCGATGAGGATAGTCAATGGTCTCTCTACGAAGATGCGCTGGGTGGAGACGAAGATGAGATGGTGGTACGTTCTGGTACGAATATTCTCACCCTGGTCTGTTGCTTGCAGTGCTAACATATGCAGGTGACGGCTCGTGCACTCTCGAAGAATCCTTGGCATTCCGCAAACGACTAAGACTCATTGGAGGTGACAGGTTTATTGCAGAGACGGTGGAAGCAGGCAACATAACGGCCAAGAAGCTGTGTACGGCGTTCGGCATCCGGCCACCATTCTTCTTGGACGGGGAACCAGATGAGGCGTACTACTCTCTACTGGACCTTGCAATGTGTCGTGAGCTATCGAAAAGGGCCAAACTGCCACAACATAACACCATTGAGGATGCGGTATCGTTGTTGAAGAAGTCACGGAATATCATTGTCCTCACTGGAGCTGGTGTAAGGATATCATGGCAGATTGTTGGATTACGGCTGATCGGCATAGATATCAACAAGTCTCGGTATCCCAGACTTTCGATCCAAAGAAACCGGTCTGTACTCCCAGCTACAGCATCTCGGTCTCGGTGACCCGCAGGAGGTCTTTGATATCAGCCTCTTCCGTGAAGATCCCAGCATTTTCTACAGCGTTGCCAAAGACATTCTGCCGTCGAGCAAGAAATTTTCGCCGACTCACGCATTCATACGACTGCTGCAGGATAAGAACAGGCTCTTAACAAACTTCACGCAAAATATCGACAATCTGGAGGGCCATGCGGGGATTCTGCCAGAGAAGCTAATTCAGTGTCATGGATCCTTCGCCACTGCAACGTGCATTGAGTGTACATATAGGGTCAAATGCGAAGCGATATACAAGGAATTGAAAGCCGGAAGGGTAGCGCGTTGCGATCGATGTATTCAATCTATAAGACAAGCGAAACCGGGTCTCAAGCGGAAACGAAGCTCCAATGGGTCGTCTGGTCCGAGGAAAAAACGGCAAAGCTATGAGGATAGTACGGATGATGAGGATGACGATATTGCAACTGCAGGAGTCATGAAGCCGGATATCACCTTCTTCGGCGAGGATCTCCCAGCGACCTTTCACAATCGATTGATGGATCATGATAGGGACCTCGTAGATCTTGTACTCGTTATTGGGACTTCGCTGAAAGTGGCGCCTGTGTCGGAGGTTGTTGGGGTGTTGCCGCATCATGTGCCTCAGCTGTATATTTCCAGAGAGGTAAGTACCTGTCATTTTCGCCTCGTACTAGCGATACTCATCTACTTTCAGCCATGCAATCACGCCAACTTTGACATCGACCTTCTGGGTGATTGTGATGCCGTCGTCACCGAGCTCTGTCGACGTGCTGGATGGGATCTGCAGCATGAGATGATCCCCCATGATGAGAAAGTTGACGTGCAGCTGAAAGAGGGCTACGACTCTCGATTTTCTTTCAAGGTTGTTAAGGCATAGCGTGGAGTTGTTTGCCTGCATTATACCCATTAATTGCATCTGTGGGAGCGATGAAGGCGTTGTCGGTACAGAGGCTGGGAGCATGATTGATCGGATTGGTCATTTTGTACTCTATCATTTCTATATATCTTAACTGTAAAAGACGAAAGAAGTATGTCCTCAGCTCAGACGGACAATGCTCCTCCGAATACTGCCGCTTTCAGTTTTAGCATCCCATCAATTCTATCAATACGACTGTCGCTATCCAAAGCAATCGCTTCCCTCACTGCCGCATCCGCGCCTCTCGTAAACCTACCGTCAATACACAGCGTATCCTGTAAACTTCCACACGAGGCACAACAAATCCCTCCTGTTCTACAACCTCGAAACCTCAAAACGTTCGGTACACCGCGAGCCGACTTCGAGACTACACAGTCGCCTATGCTGGCCTCCAGCAGCATTGTCAGAAGCCCATGCGATTTCCATAACAATCGAGATGGTGCCAAAACGACGTTTAGGTCTCAGCCACAGCAAAGGGCCGGTTCAATGTAGTGGGGTATCTTCTTGAACCGAATCTGCAATTGACGTTTGCTGATCGACTAGCGCTCACGGTCATTCGCCTACTTGTTGACTTCTACCTGTAAAGACTCATCGGTACGATATGTCTACTAATAGCGAGTTCGTATTACATGAAACATCAAGTCTATACAGAAGGAAAGATCATCAGGCCCGAGCAAATCGAATCGCAGAACAGAAGCTGCTGGCAGCATGGCCTGAGCCCGCACAAAATTCAACTTCAAAAAATCAATGGCCGAACTGCCAAAGTGACAAACACGAATCCGAATGGCGTCAACAGTGTAGCAAAAGAGTCATCAAGAACGCTCAATCCGGCGCAGAGAGCTATGACAAAAGTCATGACGAGCCAGAGAAAACACCACTTCCGGCCCCGCCGATTGCGCAAAACACTATTCTCGACGGCTTTCAGCAGGCCGAAGCACGCAAAGATACCGTCAACGATGACTGTTTCGTGCGGCGAGATACGACGAAAGAGCTCTTGGAACTGATGGTGTTGGGAACGCCTCCAGTGGACAATGTGCGCGGTCGCGATGCTGAGGCAAAAAAACGTCAAACAAAGATCGACGATCATGGGCCATTGGCGCAACGAGAACGCGCCAGCGGAGAGGCTCAAGGCGCGAGTGACACGGGCGATGATGCTCAGACTGAGCGGGAGCATGATGGTCAAGACCATGAGGGGAATGGCGATCTGCCAGAAGAGCGAATTGTGTAGGTTCCCGGTCAGAATCTCGACAGTGTTCATGCCAAAGTATGAGGACACGAAGGCGACTGGCACGTAAATGGCGACAAGGAAACCGATGATTCCAGCGATTTGATTGTGCTTTAGTTCTTCCAGTGATTTTGCCTGGTGAGATGTGTTAATTTGATGACCCAGCGGTCTTGCAACCCTTACCTGTTGTTGACATTCGCCCAGATGCACCATCGTCAAGTTTAAAGATTCGATGAGATAGTCTGTGTCTTTCAAAACATTGTCCTTTCGAGTCGTTAATGCCTCCCCTGCTGTACTTGGAAGCTGTCGGCAAAGTTGTTCTTTGGCAGCTTGAATATGGTGAAGTGTCAAGGTAATAGAATCTTGCAACATTAGTAGGTAGAGATACTCGGCCCTGCCAGGGTGATCACGGCTGTGTATAACCTGATGGGTCGTAAGTAAAAGCTCAATTTGGTGGTAGCAGACAGTGTATACTATCTCAGTCGCTCGGTCGAAAACCTTCCCTATGAACTCAAGCGATTCCTCGTTTATTTGTTCATGGATAATCAAAATGATCTCATACAAACATTTCAAAGGAACCACGTCTACTAAATTTTCAGGCTGGGTTACTCCGCCATCCTGAGGTACAGGGTGCGTGAGGAGTATCCTGAACCTCGCCAAAGCTCTAGTGGAGTCAAATGATAACGTCGTGTTACAGGAGCCATCGTCTTTGAAATGATTGAACAGCTGAATGATCTCCATGGTTGGCTTTGCTTTGTAAGGCCGCCTTGTATGGATATCAAATACGCTAAAATCGGGCACATTAGATGACCAAACGTATTCAAAACCCCGGCTGGACGAGGCTGGCACGACTGTTGCATACTAGTGAGTTCCTAGATAATGAATCGGAAAATGCAAAAGAAACATACCTTGAGAAGGAAGGCGAAAGACGCGATTCCTATCGGCGTTGCTCTTGCTATCTGAGCTCTGCAATATGATATCGACGAACTCCTGGCTTGCGTAACCACTCCAACAGAGAAGAAATGCAAGGAGAGTTCGGGCCCAGAATTGCGGCTCAGAGTAAGCTGAGAGAGTGAACAGACGGAAGTACGAAAAGAGCCGCTTGATTACGGGTGCAGTCTTCGTTAAGCAACTGTGACATGTTATATGGCACCGACCAAACCGGGCGGGCTTAGAAACATACCATAATCGAAGTGTACCTGGGGAAGCTTGCTCATAGTCCGCTCGGAATTGATGGAATGCTTCATATACTGACAGGCTGCTGACATTCTCGTTTGGAAAGAACGAGGTGAACGTTACATTCGAAGAATCTTCATTCCCATCAGTTGTTTGCGGCCAGGCAACAACAAGGCGAACAAACCTTGACTCGATACCGCGAACCAGATTAGGCCTTCGAAAGATGCAGCAGGCTTCTCGTTCAGTGTGTGGTAGATATCGGCTAACGTGACCTCTTTCAGGTCCCTCAAAAAGGTCTCGAAGCCGTCTGGGGCCACAGGTCGTCTTCGATAGAGCAACTTGCTCCATATGCTATCGAGTACGCTGTTACTTATTTCTTGGTCTCGAGGTACGCGAGGCGGCACGACGGGTAAAGGAAGGGCATAATTGCGAGTGTGAGCCTTCCCTTGGGGTAGTCGGATAGCGAACTCTGTAATGTCTACCATGCCTGGTTAAGAGACCGCATCTGTAGGATATCAACGAAGGCCATGGTGCATGATTATGGCGTCTGCAGCTAGCGAGATCCTAGTTCGAGAGGCTGAAATGTTGGAATTAGCCGAGAATCTCGACTTAGACTAGTGGCCTTACGTCTGTGATAAACGTATTGTCTGCGCCCGAAGGCCCTTGATATTACCTTATCATTCGACACAAGTCAAGGAACCATGCGCAGTTTTCGGTTGGTATGTTTGCTGGGTCAACGCGTGTCGCACCACTTTTTGTTCTTCTGATTGTTCGCAAAGGGTATCGTGATATGAGGATTCTGCTTACTCCTATGGCTCCCATCTCCAGCTTTGTACACCATGGCGCGTTGCATCTACACCATCCTATTTTGCTAGTGAAGGGTCTTACGGAGTCAAAGGGCTACAAAACCGGTGGCAAGAGCAGACTTGTACGTTATTGGACGCTGAGAATGAGGTCGGTGGTGAGTGGTTGGAGCAGAGAGCCGAGCCTGCCTACGTCAATGCTCAATAACACAAGCAACATAAACGGTCCAAATGGCATTGATGTTCGAATGTTGTGAATCGGCGTTGTATCAATAACGTCAAATATGACACGGCAGTTTTTCAGCACAGGAGATCATACCGTTCAAGCACTAAGTTGCAACACAGGATAGAATGCTAATGACTCAGCCAGAAATTAGAAGTCTCTCACAAAAAATCTGATGTTGCACCGGTTTCCTGTTCGCGCATTTCGAACAGTCTTCAAGTTCACGGATTCAGCAATCATATCTCTCTACGAGACACATGCTTCTCGAACCGCCAGGAACAACGTAACGGGCAAATGGTCCATGAGCGGTGACTATGCAGTTCTGGTGGACAAATTCTCAGCTAGGGGTGGTCGCTTGTGGGAGGAAAACCATCTATTTCTGCAACCTATCGGGTGCAACCATTCCGATATGGTCAAACACTCGGAGTATGATGATGATGGTGGCATCGTACGCAGTTTTCTCATACGATTTGCAAAAGCAGCTCCCGCTGTTGTTAGGGACAGAATAAACAGTCTGGAGTTGCCGACGACGTCGTTTCCTTTAAACGCACAGCCATTAGCTTTAAGATCACAACCCCTGGGGAATCGAGACGAGACGGAGCAGCTGGAAAAAATCGCTCGAAACTGAGCACAGAGCCGAGGAGCTCGGAAGAAGTATAGGAAAGCGACCGAGGGAAAGGGAAGGCAATAATTTGAAGGCAGTCGATCTCCTTCTTAGAGGAGGCGCCGATCCACTTGCTCTGAATGTTCTTGGGCAATTGCCACGGAGTTTGGCTGGGAGAGAACGCCATCGAGAGGCTGTGATGAGACTCAAGGAAGACATGCCTCGAAAACACAAAAAGCGATGGTGGCGATGACAGGAAGCGTTATAGAATAAAAAACAAAAATGCCTTCGAGCGGGACCACCAACCGGTACCGTCGATGGCGGATGGATATTGACATGGAATGCAATTGTATGAGCTGTCCTGTCCTTTGTAGATGAGTACATACCGCTACCTGCCATGGACCACCCCATAGCACACCGCATAGGCGATCTACGATAGAAAATATAGAAGAACATCTTGACCGTATAGTTCACCATTCCATCTCAAGACTGAACAAAAAGAGGGTCAAAACTCAACTATCCAAAGCATTATTCAGTCAACAACCATCCTATTCCATCACCCCTGCCATCCCCGCCATGTCCACCCCACTCTACACCTCCCGCCTCTCCCTCCCCTACTCCACCAAATCCTCCCTCAACACCCTCGACATCCACTCACCCACCCACTCACCCCACTGCCCATCCTACTGGCTCGTGTAATACGCCCCCTCTCACCTCTCCCAAACCCAATACAACATCGCACTGACTCCCCCTTCCCACCAGCTACATCCACGGCGGCGCCTTCCGCGACCCCCTCGTGAGCTCCCTATCCCTCACCCCCTCCCTGTACCCCCTCTTCCAAAACCCCCACATCGCCGGTATCGCCTCCCTCAACTACCGCCTCTCGCCCCACCCGACCCATCCCACGGATCCCAGCGACCCGTCCGACGGGGCCCGGAACGCGGAATGGCCGGACGCGATTGAGGACGTGAGGGATGCGATACGCTGGTTGAAAGAAGAAGAGGTGTTGGGGAGGGGGGAGTGGATTGTGTGCGGGCACAGTGTGGGGGGCACGATGGCTGTGATGGTTGGGATGGATGGGACGGGAGGGCGGGGAGATGATGGGCGGGGAGGAAAGGAGGGGAAGGAGTGGGAAAGGGGTGTTTGGGGGAAAGAAGGCGGTATGGATGGGTTGAAGGCTGTTGTGTCTCTAGAAGGTATTTACGACTTCACCGCGTGCCGGGACGCACATCCGCGGTTGCGGGATATGTATGATGCTTTCACTACGGGGGCTTTTGGGCCTGAGGAGGAGGGGGGATGGGAGAGGGGGGACGTGTTGAGGTGTAAGAGGAGGGTTAGAGATGGGGTGGAGGCTGTGGTTGTGGGGCATAGTAGGGATGATGAGTTGGTGGAGTGGGAGCAGGGGCAGAGGTTGATTGGGGTGCTTGAGAGGGAGAGGCAGGGGGAGGGGGAGGTGGTGAGATTGGTGGAGGTTGAGGGGAAGCATTCGCAGGTTGTGAGGGACGGGGTAGCGGTGGGGAAGTGTGTAAATGTTGCAATTAGGGTGTTGGTTGAGAAGGCAAGGGCGAAGGAGGGAGGTTGATGGGATTAAGATCGGTCCCTCTGTTAGGGACTCTTGGCTTTCTCTTTAAACACTGACGAATGAAGCATTTCCAACCTCTGAGCACCAGTCTTGTCAGCGCTCAACCATGCACCTGATGCCAGACCGCTGCTTTTCGTGACTCCACCAACTCCTCCAATAGCGGTGGGATTTCAGGCTGTGGTTGTATGCTTTCGTAGTCATTTCGTCTGACTACTCCGGACTTGGGAGGCTTTGCCTGTTTCTCCGAGCCCAGTCGCTTGTTCGTGGAATCCTTGGCTTTATTGAGCTTCTGCTCCCAGAAAGAAGCGTTTTCTTGTTTACGGTTCAGTTTTTCAGCCTTCTTTTCGGATTCTTCTTCTTTTCTTCTGGCCCTTGCCTCTTTAATCTTGGCTATTTCTGCATCCGTCTTTGGCCGGAGGCTAGCTTCCTTGATCCGCCTCAACTCATCTGATGTTTTGTACTTGCCACCTCTTAGGCGCCATTCTTGTTTCATCTTTGGCTGTCGAGCTTCTTCCTGTCCTTGCTTCGCCACTTCCTTGTCTTCGATTTGTGGGTACAGTCTCTCTTGAACCTCTGATTCTGTCAATCCTCTCCTAGCTAGCCGTCTTGCCTTCGTTGCTTTATGCTTCTCGTCTCTGATCCTCAGCTTTTCCTCTTCTGCCAGCGCCTTCTCTTGTTCCTGGATGGTGTACATATTGGCAGAAATGTCTGCTCGCTTTTGTATAGCTTCAACTTGCAATTTGTGATTTGAGTCCAGGGCTCGCTGGACTTCATGTTGCCAAGGATGTACCTCTGGGCCCCGGCAATCCGATTCAAATTGCTCGTCAAGGATTTCATCCCACTCGTCTTCATCTGCAGCAGTTGGAAGCTCGCTGGTCAGCCTCGCGGCTCTCAAGATTCGGTGTTCGCGCGTCTTGACGGTATCGCGAATGACGCGGCTGAGGAAGGGAGGCTGGGGCTTCTTTAGCCGGAGGAAAGGCACCCTATTGGCGTTGATGAGCTTTGGAACGTGGCGGCGGCCGGACAGGTGAAAGAATGGACGATCGAGGGTACGCCTGGCGCCAGGGTAGCGTGCTGCATGTCTTCTCGGAGTCTTTTGCGCTGGAGCAATCTTAGTTTGAGGTGACGAGGGAAGATCTTCGGGCTGCGCGCTCGTGCTTGCAGGAGAAGCGAGCTCCAAGATGCGATTCAAAAGACGTTGTTGCCTTACGCCATCGTTAAGACCGTCAAGCGTCTACGTTCACGTTAGAGCAACCAGGACCGGTCTCCGTAATTCTCGAGATTCACCTCATAGCCCAATTGAAGAGCTGTAGAGATCTGAGGTGGGCTCTGGAGCTTCGAATTTCGCTTGAAAACCGCCCGTATTGGCTTGCGAAAGAGGTGCTGGTGGTGTTCATTCAATTGTAGTTTGTGCTTCTGCCGGAGGATCGCACGGTAAAGCGCGAAGCCTGGGCATGGTTAGGGGATAGCAAGCAGTCCAATGTACTATTACTTACATGCAGCGCGATGCACTCCTGATCTTCTGAGAACCAGGTACCTCGGCATTCAAGGTTCCATAGACGTGAAGTATTGCGACATGAAGAAGGGCAGGGAAATGGAAATCGAGGCGATCGCTAGTTCTGAACCGCGGTCACGTGCCAACGCAGCCTTACCCCTGTTTTCTTAATCATTGGGAAATTAAAAAAAAAAAAATCTGCGATTTTGGCACCCCCCGATAATCAAATATCAAAAATTTGAATTTCCTATATAACCTCACCACCACTCATTTTTACAGGCTAAAAAACTTTACAAAATCTACTTACTATATTAAGGAATCTACTCTTAAATTTAGAAAGATTTTAATCCTAATCTTATAAGTGAAATGTAAAAAGCGAGAATATATCGCGAACTTCAAAAATTTACCTCGGCTATTTTTTTACCGCCAAGATTATCTCGAGAAAATCTAAGAATTTATTAAATTTTTATTCTATAATAGAAAGAATAATTAAGATCTTCTATAATTTGATAATCATAATCTCTCGTATAATTATTAAAATCTATAAAGTTTTTAGAGCGTTGTAAGTTATCGTTGTGAGGCTATTCAAGAAAAGCACTTTTTTGGTTTTTAGATGGGGGTGCCAAAATCGCGATTCTAGTTTCCCAATGATTAAGAAAATAGGGGTATCGTGGGACGAGCGAATGCGTGGCAGGATTACGATGCAAAATTTTGGCAGAGGTCACATATACGAGTAAGATGTCTTTGTTTGCTACGCCCATCTATCTCGAGAAGGACCGTCTGGAAAATGCTGTCGTACTCCAGCCATGCAAATGTGGAACCAACAGTGCCCGCTTGTCGTAACTTCGTGACCTGTTGTTTCCCTCTTTCCCATCACTCCTCTCTTCCGGTAATCAAAATGTGGAGCCTTCGGGAGGCTGAGGAAGCTTCTTGTGCTGTGGTAATGCCATGAATCTAGGGGCACACGGTCAGCCATGTGGGCATGAAGTCGTCAGGGTAGGCATCTCACCTCCTCAACTCGATCAAGATGGTTTCCATTGTGTTCTCCCTCTTCCACTGATACAGACATGGCAATCGTTGCGGGTCCACCTAGGATCTGTTAAACACAGCTCACACTTTTGAGAATGTAGCCCACCTTTCCAGTCCTCTGATCAACGCAGGGTAGATTGATTTTGGAGACGAATTGGACCGTTGGTGGTGTATCAGGGTAGGTTTCTCCACAGTGAATGTTCAGGCTGTAGATCCGATTCTCATGAGCACTCTGTTATTTCATGTAACATCAGCCTCCGTGTCTCATAGCAGCATGTCAGACGTCCAGCGTACGTGAGGGGGTCCAAGTATCGTGCCATTCCAATTCGACATCAACAGGTCATCTCCATCCGACAGCCCGTAGGAACAAGCCTCTACACAGCAGCATCAGTCCCGTTCCAGTTGGTGTGACGCCTCAATCCCAAAGCGTACCTGCTCCAAGCCCCTTCTCGCCCTTCTCCAACTCTTCCAGGAGACGAAAGTTCCTGGGTACCTTCGCTCCCATGTCCGCTGAATCTTTGTATGTTCGCCTGACGGTTTGGAGATAATGATTCTGCAAATGTGAGTCGAGGAAATGTTGATGTTGCACGAGGAGTGGAGTGGGTTGCCAAAAGCCCACTTTAGATTACGATACCCGCAGGTTTCTAGCGGTAATTTTTCGGATTTAGGCAATCGAGTTCCACTTGCTGGCCTCTTCTCCATCATTGAATGCTTTTCATTTCCTCCTCTTGTTAGTCGTGGAACTTTTCATTCACGTAAAATATATGGATTCTAACAGATGTAGGTTGTAGCCGCTTGTTGCTCTTCAATGGGTGTGGACTGGCCATGACCGCCCAATTGCTCACCTCCGAACTGTCAACCCTTATACAGGAGTCCAAGAGGAAGAACCCAGAATTAAGAGCGGCACGTTCGTAATCTCACTGGTGGCGGTGCCATGTTTCTAACAAGGTGTGCAGGCTGCTGAAAAGTCACTGAACGATCTCAAGGCTCTCCCAAGGACGTCCGAAGCTCAAATAGCAGCAGGTCTGTCTGGATCCTGGAGCTGCCGAAAAAAGACTGACTTTGAAAGAGATTTGAAATGCCGACCGGTGTTCGTGAAGCCGTTCTTGCTCGCCTGCAGTACTCGCAATCCAAAGTTTGCAGGTACCGCTGCTGTCTGCCTACAGCGGATAGTCGTTGCCAATGCATTGCCCAAGGAAACCCTACCTGAGGTCCTAGGAGCTTTTCGAGAATGCTCGACTTTAGGTAAGCTCTCCGGCTTTGACTCCACGTCCATTAGTCATTGACCTTCCACAGCTCTCGATATTCAGCTCAAGGTGTTGCAGGCGCTTCCATCCTTGCTACAGAACTATGCAAGCAGCTTGAGTGGACAGCTTCTGGTGGCAGCTTTCCAAGTTTGCTTTCTTCTCTACAGTAGCAGGACTGCTGTTGTGTCGAATACCGCAGCGGCTGCTATACAACAGCTTGTGAGCTCTACCTTGGAGAAAGCTGCGATAGAGAATGGTATTTTAATATTCTGGTACTCATATGCCATACACGCTCATGCAACACAGATGGACAGTTCGAGCATGAGCCCTCTGTCGAGGTTGCGATTGGAGACGGCACGACATCAATATACGGCACATCACTGGATGCGTATCGTGTACGTTTTCATAGCATGCTTTGAGCAATTTCTTCTGACGCCGTTCTCCAGCTCCTGGACGACATTTGTCTCTTGACTGATGGACAAAAGCCAAAGTTTCTGCCTGCGGTAAATCTTGTTCAAAATTACGGCCTGGAGTTGCTGGAGTCCATGCTTGCAAATCACGCGGATACTGTCATGGCTCATCCGGAGCAGATCCATGTATTACGTCTCCGGCTGATGCCGTTGATCGTCAAGATCTTGTCGGAAAAATCAAGCTTTTCGAGCACAGTCCGCACGATGAGACTACTCAGATTGATCGTTAGTCGCCTGCTGTTTGCACTTGCACCTGAATGCGAGATGGTCTTGAGTCTACTGAATCACATGCTTGACCCGGACGCTGCCGCTCTTTGGAAGCGTGCTCTTTGCCTTGAGGTACTTCGTGGAATTCATTCCGAGCCTACACTGGTCAGGAGCATATATGCTCACTTTGACGAAGCAGAGGAACAAAGGAACATCATTCGTGACCACTTGGGAAGCCTTGTACGACTGGCCTCGGAAAAGCCTGCAATCATTGGACTAGGGCAGCAGTCATCAGTCCCTGTCTCGACTACGCAAGATGACACTTCAGACGAGCAAGCCGCTATCCAGGCTGGTGGTCTGATAGGCATTGGCGCCATTCCCATGGAAAATAATACCAACAAGTCTGGTATAAGTTCTCAATGGAGTGCTATCAGAATACCGTGCATTGATCAACTCGATAAGTCAGAGCCCCCAACATTGCCTGCGACGTACATTTACAGTCTTGCCTTGACTTGTATCACCACGTTTTCCGAGGGTCTCGCAAGATTTTTGTTGCCGTTTACCGTGCCTACAGACAACAAGGCGAAACGAAAACAACCTACTTTGAAGGATGTTGCTGTAGAAAGCCGGGCAGAAAAGAAGGCCGAAAGGACTCAGTCTTTCGGGGGCCGCAGAATGCCTGTAAATCCACTCACACTCAAGGATCATGTTCTGTACACACAGATCTCGACCTCTGGCCACATGGTAGAGCACTGTTGGCCAGCGCTACTTGCGGCCTCCTCTACGTATCTCAACGCGACCTTGGACTCGGACAACTATCATGCACTGATCCGATCTTTCCAAAAATTCACTCAAATCGCTGGCCTTCTCGATCTGGCGACTCCTCGAGATGCGTTTCTGACAACCCTTGGTAAAAGTGCTGTGCCCTTGATGAATACCACGGTAGCATCTCCGCAGACCAACGGACAAGAGTTCGGATCTCTAGCAGGCGAGCTTACGGACAGTGACCGTGATTCAAGCCCAGCGCGGAATAGTAAACCTCGCCACAGTCGAAAGTCTATGGATTTATCGTTGCCCACACTGAATACCCGGCATCTTCTCTGCTTAAGAGCTCTCCTGAATCTGGGCATCGCTCTGGGTCCGGTGTTGCAGCAGTCATGGACGATCATCCTCGAGACTCTCCAGCAGGCAGATCTAATAATTTCTCTTGCTGCCCCAGGTCGCCGAAAACAGAGCAGACGATCAACAGGTGGATTGGAAAAGGATTCCGCCGCGGAACTTGGAGATGGTGCCGATGACTTGAGACTAGAGATCACGGCTGCCGAGACTGCTGCATCTAGATTGTTTGAGAGTACGGCCGACCTACCGAACGAAGCTTTTATGGATTTTCTGACATGTATCTGCTCTCTACTTCCGGTCGGTGAGGGTTCGTCTGGAGGAACACCGATCGATGGGATGCTCAACGCGAAACCTGCGGCACGGAAGCACCAGAGAGTGCGCAGCGTATCTGGCATTGCCATGGACGCAGATGTGGCAGGCCACAGCAGTGGATTCGTGCTGGACAAGATCGATGACGCCATCCAAAGTAATGTTGGGCGACTACTTCAACCAGAGACGACGGAGACGGGTTGGGACTTCCTCTTAGAGAAGCTTACCAGCGTTTTAAGGAGTGGTCCCTTACCCTCGGACGTTCGCATCAAAGCAGCGAGAGCTTTGGACGACTTGGTTGTGATTGTGGCAGTCTCTGAAGAGGAGATGTCTTCGGAAGAGCGTGACGCTGTCAGAGGCAGAAGCCTAGAAGCCTTGGCGAACGAAGTCTCATGCCTCAGCGTTTCTGGACCGCAGAGCACGAGGAACTCCCAAAGCTGTGAGATTGAGATACATCGACTTTCATTGGAAGCTTTACGATCAATCCTGGAGCATTGTGGTGATTCACTCGAGATTGGATGGACCAGCGTTCTCACAATCATCAACAGCATTTTCGCTACACCAGTAAGCGACCATACGACTGATGCAACCTCGCCTCGTAGTCGATCGCAAAAGCTCGTCTCGCCTGCGTTTGGATCGTTACAGCTCATTTGTTCCGATTTTCTAAGCTCTGTACCTCCTTCGCATATTCTGTCCTTATTAGACACCCTTCATTCTTTTAGCGCTCAAGACCAGGACTTGAACATCTCCCTTACTGTGAGTGCTTGGGGAGCAAGTCTAAGTCTGGCCTACCACTGACGACATCAACAGACAGCCACGTTCTTTCGTAATGTTTCAGACTTTCTACAGCGCGACGGCGGAAGGATTGAACTGAACTTCTTGAATACCCATCATCCGACGGAAGCTGATCTGAAGCAGTGGGCAAAAGCTCAATATGACGAGAAATCGACCCAAGCTTTGTGGCTATACCTATTGCTGCGTTTGACGCTGTTGTCCACTGATAGCAGGCTTGAAGTTCGCCACAGTAAGTATACCAACGATGATGCCTTGGTTTACCAGTCTATAACAAATACCCAGGTGCCTTGCATACACTTTTCAGAATCTTCGACGCGTGTAGTGATCAATTGCCAGCCGCAGCAGTACGGATCTGTTTCAACGTTATTTTAGTAAAATTGCTTGAATCAAATGAGCTGCGACGACTAGCTTTGAAGATATCTCTGCAATCTGTTTCCAATGAGGGATTGACAGACAGCTGGAATGAGTCAGCAATTGTTGAGATTGAAGGCTTATCGGGCTTGTTTACCCAATGGCTAGATACTTACAAGAGCAACGAATCACTCGCCCCGATGTTCCAAGAATTCTTTGGGCAACTGATCGGCTGCCTGAAACGGCAGTCATTGACTGTTAGCAACGCTGTCTTTACTGGAATGAGCAAAATCCTTGCGGAGATCGAGAGCCTCGAAAGCTTAGGGAAACCTCTATTGGTCAAAGCGTGGCAATTGTGGAAGGACGGTAATCCCGCTTCTCACGTCGATGATTCCAAAAGGAAGAATGGTAATCAAGACGCCCTGATGGCCTACATGCTCTGCTTGGGGCAGCTCTTGCGCCTGATATCGCAGGACCTTCAACTTGACCAGGCGCACATAATTATGTTGCAACTAAGAGCCTGCGTAGTGGAATCGAATGCCGCGGCCTACAGTACAGATGTTGATCGCGTGACGCCTGTGCAGGGCTTGGTATTGGAGATTCTGAACTCTATACCCACCAATACTCCAGAGTTGGTGCCAGAGCTCGTCGGATCCATTGATGGCTTTGTGACCCTAGCTTATGAACAGAAAGGCCAACCTTCAGGAAAAGCTCAAACTTATATTGCTCTCTCCAAAGCTGCGATGGATCTACTTGACTCATGCATTACAAATCAAACCAGACGTTCGGATGTCAATGCCACAGATCTGGTCTCTAAGGCCTGTTCTGCCCTTGCTATACCATTACACCTCAAGTACAGGTGGCAGACCGAAGGCAAGGGGCCATCACCCTGGCGAAAGGCTACGTCGACGGCACTCGCGATACTGGAAGCGTTCATGCCTACCAATTATGCCTCTCAAGATGGCAAGCAATCCGACTCGCCGTTTTGGGAAGTGGTCGTCAGAATTAGCGATGGCATTCTAGCGGCTGATTGCGACGCATGCGCCCGCTGGCAAGAGATGTCTAAAGATCAAGTCTTTGATGTTGATGCTTTCACAAGGCTGCAGAAGCTCATCGTACCTGCTCTTGGGTCGTCATCGATAACCGATGCCATACGACGAAAGTACGCGGAGTCCATCTTCACGCATTCGATGATACATGAGCCCCATCCAGATGACCTTGCCAGGCCGGATCAGGAGCTCCTTGAGGGCCTACGAAGCACACACATTGGCCGGGTCCAAGAGCTCCCGCCTTCGCCTCGGTCTAAGCTTAGCTACATACTCCTCGATGAGCTCTTCGGTCTCGTCGCTGTTCATGATGGCTCGCTTGAGCGCGTACGGCTAGCACAGGCAGCTGCTCCCTACCTGATCTTGCGTGCAGGCCTTACACTGAAAGCATATATCATGGATCATCCGCTGCGAGGGCGTATGCCCCAACCATGGTCGCAAAAGAAAGAAATGCTGCACGTTCTGCGCAAATTAGTTGACTTGGACTCGGAACCGAAGGCCATACCTGCTGCGCCTGGGATTACTTCGGAGCGCAAGAAGCACTTGCATAGACTGTATCCATTAGTGACAAAGGCATTAAAGGCTGCTTGGAGGGACGAGGAAATGACAAACGCGTTAAGGGAGGTATTAGACGCTGTGGGAGATGACTTTGGACTTTGAATAGACTTGATCATGTTGCAACGAATTCTAATCACCTTTGCTTTGCATACCACTAGACGTTTTACTACAGCATTATAATCATCGACACACAGGAAGTGAAAGTGGCAATTGGACGCAAACCCACTCCTGACCCCGTGCTTGGAGACAATCACTTAAAGTCAACCTGCCTGACCGTACCATCCTCTGCCAAATGCACATTCAACCTATTCTCGTCGTCAGCTCCCTTCCATTCAGAGTAATGGCCAGAGGGAAGTGACCTATCCGGTTTGAAGTCCTGCGTAACCATACTCCCATGCTCAATGACTCGATGCTCCTTTGGCAGATCCTGCTTTGCGAAGCTCTATGTACGTTCACGTCAGCTCACTCAGCCACCACATAATCCCTCAGCGTGGAGCGAACCGTCGTATCAGAAGTGCTGTCGCTGAGCTTCTTCCCCACGAGCTTATTCATCCAGTCTTCTTGCTGATTGTTGGAGCCGCCTGAGCTCATGAGGCCGGGGACGACGAGTGGCATGGTGGGTGGCTCGAGGAGTTACGTGTGGTGAGAGTGATGTGTGCTTTTCTATTTTGAAATGGAAGATAGTGAAGCTGCTGCTTGCTGGTTCGTAAGTTGGAATGTTGTTTACATTACGCAGGCAGCCTTGAGGCTGAGTCACAAGCCACACTCCGCCCCGCCAAATGACGTTGCCAAGCTCAGGGTCCGAGGGGTCCATTCTTTGTACTTATCTCCGGTCCGTCCACCTCCTCGATACCCTCGCCATCCACAATCACATTGACCGCCCAACATGTCCTCTCACGACTACATCGACCAAGACGCTCGCTATGCGCAACAGCTACAGGCTGAAGAAGACGCTCGCGGTGCCGCTGACGGACGTCCTGCTACAGACTATCCGCAGCAGGGACATGCGCCCTCCCCACAAGCAAACCAGCAGGGTGGCTATCAGATTGGCGCGGGTTTGCCGGTGAATCAGCAGTATATGGGTGCGGATCAGACACCGGGGGTGCAGCAGGGACAGCATAGTTCTGCTGGAGGGGCTCAGGGTTACGGTTACGCTCCACCACCTCAGCAGCAACAGCATTCTTCGGCAGAAGGGGCTCAGGATTACACACCGCCGCCTCAGCAAATGTATGCTTCTGGCATGTCTGGACAGGGGTCTCAAGGGTATTACCCACCGCCGCCTCCTCCGGGTCAGCACATGCCAACTTCGGGGGCTCCTGGGCAAGACCCAGCGCCTTCCCACCAGATGCCAGCTTCTGGAATACCCGGACAACAATCTCAGGAATACTATCCACCGCCACCTCCTCAGGGGCAGCAGATGCCATCTTCTGGCGGTCCTGGGCAAGCATCTCAAGAATACTACCCACCACCGCCTCAGCAATCTCACGCTCCAGCTGGAGTAGGACTCTCCGGTCAAAGCCTCAACACTGGATTCCAACCGCCGCTACCTCCTCGAAGACCAAGCGCGCAAAGCATGAATTTCGGCGATGATGACCCTTCTAGTCCTATTCATTACACCCGCGATCCTCATAAGCTGGTCGCCTACCTAGTACCCTTCCCGAAGCCTGTAATTAAGGGTGTCGAGCCTTCATCGATTCCAGACCGCTTTCTCATCTACACGCCTCCACCACCTCCCCTTTCTGCACCTGCTGAGGGTGAGAAGGAGGACAAGTTTCACAAGGTGCAACGCAAATGGCAAAATGAGGTTCGGGCGGCCAAGACCAGTGATGCGAAGACTGCAAGTTGGAAAGGCGTCAAGAGCAAGGCTACCAAGGGTATTAGCTGGGCCATTGGGAAAACGACGAGCTCAAATCTGGATTTCGTGAACCGCATCCCCGGAGCGAAATCAGACTCACATGACAAGCACACTGAAGACGGCGTAAATGAAGGCGATACCACACACAAGACCGTTGGTCTGGAAGAGATGGTCCTGATTTACCCATCGTCTTATGCGGCTTCTCCGGAACAGGTCAAGGCGGAGTTCATCAACACTATGATGCGTACCAAGTCCAAAGCCCAGCGCGACTCCATCATAGCCACCGGTCTCCTACCTGTCTCCGGCGCCATTGATCTTTTGGCAACAGTGGTGTGGCCATTTGGTGGGCTATTGGAAGTCGACGGTGTCTGGGCTTACTCTTCTATTCGAGGCGCTAAAACCGCGAGATCCGTGACGAAGCGCTTGACATCTTCAACTCAATCTGGAAACACACACGCTCAAACCGAAGAGCAAGAAATGGCAGGAGATAAGCTCCGCCTCACCTTCACCCAATCGCCACGTCTCGAAGTGCTCAACCACTACCTCATGGCTAGATGTCGAGACTACGACCACAGACATTTCCCGAGCGTGGAGGTGGCACCTACTGAGTCGGAGGTGTTGGCAGCGATCGGATGGGCGCCGAGTCAGACTGGCGGTAATGAGAAGAACTGGGAAGATGAGCAATGGGAGACTGAGGAGGTAAAGGAGGATATGAAGAATACTCTGGGAAAGGCGTCGAAGGAATGGGATAAGTGGTGTAAGGCTTTTGCGAAGAATCCGGAAAAGGCGATAAAGAAGTAGGGGATAGGAAGCATGGAGCCAGGAAATCATGGCCATAATAAACAGCGTGCTGGATTTTCTATGGGTTATATAAACAGAAAACATTCCCTATACCGGTTCTGATTTCAAACTCAATGGAGCAGCTTATTAGCCCGTCCAAACGACTTCTATGATTGAGAGGTTTGATCCTCTAGGTGTTGTGATACTCTTCAGTTGGAACTTTGGGTGGGCATGGTTGAACAAATCTGCCCAGTCATCGCCATCCCTCTCTCGCGCGTTCAGAAGCGACAGCATATGCATATCCATCGCCCTACACACCAAAGACTCCCAGTCAGCTCTGTAACCTACCAAAATCTGGTGCGGAAAGAGTGCAGACCTCAATCTTCGTTCCTCCATGATGGGAATCGTGTGTATGTCCGGTAGACACCACTCGTTGACGATAATCCTGGCCCCAGGTTTCAACGCCGGCACGAGCGCTCTGAGGATCCGGAAGCAATCTTCGTCGGACCAATTATGCAACACCAAGCGGAAGAAGTACACATCGGCGTCCTTGACAGGTTGCTCGTTGAAGAAGTCGTGGGCCATGAACCGAATTCGTCCCTGTATCGCAGTCGGAGGCACGAGATGCCTAGCGATAGGATTCGGCAAGTCTTGCACCACGGCGGCGAGTCGAGGGAATTTGCTCGTGAGCGCAATCATCGCCTCCCCCGTCGAACCACCGAGATCCACAACGACGGCTTCTCCAAGGTCGGTCCAGAGCGGATCGTCGACGATGTGGTCCAATTTATACCCAGGCCCTGTGCTGAAGGCCGACATGCCGCTGGCGAACTTTGTCGCTCGCTCCGGATGCTTGCCCAAGTAATCAAAGAGCGTGTCGTCCGTACCCGTGGAGCAGGAAAAGCCCTAGCTCACACATTCAGCCTTCCGCACCACCATAACATCGCTCGGGGCAAACTACACTCTGAGCTGCTCTTTGCGACCCAGGCCACTTCCGCATCGCATTGACCGTCTATTCCGTCCCGTCAGCAGGAAAAGCCGCCCACCGTTCATGAAAACCACAGTCCACGCTCACCTGAGCTGCCGCCGGCCAGGCCTCCCCGAGATTGACATTTGCCCAATCGGCGAACGCCTCATCCTGCGCCAACAGCCTCGACGCGGCGGTATGCTCCACGACGCCCTTCCTCGACTCCCGAAACACACGCTTCGTCATGGCATGGCGGAGCACCCGACGGACCTCTCGCTCCCCGAGCCCGCACGCCCCGCCGATGTCCGCAAACGTCGCTTCCTGCCCGACGGGGAAGGATCGGGCGATGCCGTAGTCCACGACGACGTGCAAGCTGACGAGATCGTGCTGCTGGAGCGCGGCAAAGCGGTGGGCGAAAAGTCAGCCTCGAGTACAACATCTCGATGCACTCCGTGCCACCATCGCGGAAAAAGGGAAGCGAACCCCCTCGGATTGCAGTGCCTCCTTCGGCCCTTGCACGAGCAGCTTGAGCTCGTCGGCAGCCTCCACGACGGCAGCGCGTGCGCTGCCCAGCACTTCCGGTAAGCCCGGGGGCGCGTCGGCTGCGAAAGATAACGGCGGCAGGTCGTGTCCGTTCAAGTAGGTACTGATGCGCTCCGTGTTCTGGGAGATGATGGCGGCGAGCTCGGTGATCCTGTCCGTACCGCTCTCCATTTCTGGGATCGAAAGTTGCGTGTAAGTAAACAGTGGATCCCAATGATGGATCGTGGGGGAGAAGCTTCGTCAAATCAGACTCGGATGGCGTCCTGCACCGCGCTCACGTGAACAATCCCAACGGTGGTGCGGGCCGCACTTCACGTGCACGCCCCAGCTTCGGGTGCACCTGGACAGCATCAGCGGGTTTGTTCTACCGGGGGGGGCAGCTGCTGTGCTGCACACGGGGGGAGGATGGACGAGATGATCACTGAGCGGTGGGGTACATGAGGCACCCGGTCAGATCCTGAGATGTTTTCGGGTTTCCCCGTCGCCGTGGTGGCGGTACGATGCTGGCGCTCGCACTATTTCGGAGGAAAACACTATAAAAGGTGCGAAGCTGCAGGTCGAATCCTTCGATTTCTGTCTGCACTAGTCACCACCGGACGCGGCTTATCTACATGATTCCTTATGCAACTAATTGGACGAACGTTCTTATCTGAAGTTGGACCACGCAAATGGTCAGATATGCTCCCATGATCCTTGTGCAACGCCTTTTAAAACTCAATACATTCACGTAAGGGGAAAGAATTGATTGAACCGTCCTCGCGGATCATGTTCTCGCTTGATCTTCTGCAATCTTGCAACGTTCCCTCCATAGACGGTTTCCAAAGGCTCATCACCATTGGCATAGTTGATGTAGCTATAAAAGGGGTAAGTGAATGCTGCTTTCGCATGATGCCGGTAACATCACGAAGAAGAAAACGAGTCACTCACGTCTCATTTGAAGGCAAATTATCAGTGGACCGCCATAGATCTCGGACCGCAGAGCCGAATGCCTCCGCTCTGGAATCCAAAGCCGGATCCGCATACCAGGTATTGACTACGGCATTGTACTTGATTGATGAACGGAATGCGTACGAGGACGATGCGTTGCCGAACGACGTGGCTTTATATAACGAGTAGCACTCCACCAAGACACTTGTGTTCTGCGTACCTGGATTCTGTAGGAAGGTATTGTATTCATTCCAAATTGAGCGCCAAGTCGCAGGATCCATTTGCGCAAAGCCAGCACCGTATGAAGGTTTTCGGCCACCCTTCGCGCAGAAAGTGTCGCTTCCTGCATTGATAAGGTTGTAAGGTATCCAGGCAGTCTCATCCGCAACTGGACCAACGGCGGAAATGGAAGCAAAGGCAGCTTTACCCTGGGTCTCATTGCCAAGGTAGAATGGAATTGCGATGACGGTAGCCGTATTGTTCGGTGGCAAGGTTGCAAAGTACAGAAAAATGGCCATGGGAGGTAAAAGGTCCAGATCGTTGATGGCTTGGACAAGCGCTTCGATCTTGTCTTCCGTGAAGATGAGTGGGCCAAGCCAGGCACCGTTCTGCGCAGTTGGGACAGGATAGGACTTCATCGTTGCGGAGGTGACAATGCCGAAATTGGGACCGGCGCCTCGAAGAGCCCACCAGAGGTCTGTATCCTTGGGCCCCACCTCGATAGCGGTACCGGACGGTGTCACAAGATTCATGGAGAGGATATTGTCAACCCCGAATCCATACAAACCCATCAGACGGCTATATCCGCCGCCAAGAGCTGCGCCAAGTGTCCCAATGCAGTTGCAATTGCCTGTCAATACTTGCGTTCCGTTTCCGTAGGCGGCATCCACGACCTCTGATACAATAGCTCCTCCTTGGAACGTGACCTGAGTCTTATTGGCATTGAATCGGATTTTTCGAATGCCTCTCAGGTTGATGAGCACGTCATTCTGTCCTATGGTGAAGGTGGTACCCCAGGCATTTCCGCCATTCTGGGCCAGAAAGCGCAGATTGTGTGCAATACAATATTTGACCTGCCTTCTCATGAACATGAAAGTCGGGTCAACGACGAAGAAGGAAAAGAGAAACGCACTGTCAATAACACATCATGTTCCGATGCCACATTCACAACCGTACCGGGATTTGGCGCGTCAAAATCGCTCCATCTTGGAATCGCGGAGGTAGTATGCACGATCGACGCGTGTCTCGACAACTCCGGGCCAAGATTCTTGTCGATTTGGCACTGCTGGTTGCAAGTGGAGTTGGCGGGACTTGTGGGTAGAACGACGGCAGACACAAGAGACAGAAGGAAGGGTAGGATGTACAATGATAACGGTGATAACGGCCACATGTCTGCTCGCAATGCCGGAACTTGGAAGCTGATAAGAAGTAGGAAAAGGATGTGATGAGGTTTAAAAGGCGAAAGATGATGGAGGTCGTTGTCTCAAGCCAGCCTGGTCGCGTGGTGAATGTAACTCCAACTCCCGCTTGGTGCGCCATTCTCACCCTTTAGGAAGGAGCGTCTTACAACTCTTGCCGATGCGATGCCGATCCCAGGGCACAGCCATTCTTGGAATTAGCCTCACCAGTGTGAGGTAGGAAAGCTTCATGTGTGATGGTAGCATGAGCTCCACCGTCTACTGGTATTAAACACGGCCGAATATCTGCGCGGGTCTTTCTTTATTATTGTAGGTACGCCAGTGGAAGGAAGCTTTGACCTTTTTCGTCGGCAGCATGTTTGGTGCTTTGTACCCGACCTGACGTATTATTTACGCTACTCTCGGGAGAATGGAATGGGGGTGGTGTTCCCCGGCTGCACCAGACACAGACGCCCGGGACGCCGAAAGCAGGGCCCAGGAGCGGGAAAGCTGTGAGACTAAGGTAGGTGGGCTCCCATTCACAGACCAAATCATTCTCGTATAATTATAATTTTACAATCTCAATATCTAGCAAGGGAAATCCAATCCCATCTGCGGATTACTAACGTGGTCAAAACATCTTCGCTTTTTGTTGCTTCTTCTGTCTAAAGTACATGTACGTTGTGGCGGTGGGGTTTGGGGTCAGTAATCAGTGGCGCGGCACTACTTACTCCGTTGAGAATAACGGATCGAACGAGGCAAAAACAAGGCAAATGGATCGTGAATCATCATCTTACGGCCCTATGAAGTCGTCCTTCCGAGCCTCAGCTGATACATGCTTACGCTCTCGCTCTCAGCCCCACTCTCCCGACTGCCGTCACCGCAACTTTCCATTCCTTCCCACAATTGCCCCTCGTTTCTAACCCTTGACTTTCGATTTCTCGTCCGGCAGAGACCAGGTGTAGACCACTCGATCATCGCCGTCCGCCGATTCGGCACGCTTGCTCTTCTCGTCCGGCAGAGACCACGTGTAGACGACTCGATCATCGCCGTCTACTGACTCTGCTCGTGGGAGCAGGCCTGTCGGTGGTCAGCGTACGGTTGGATCCGCGTGGCCAGATGTTTACCATACCTTCGCGGCGGCTAACAGGAAGAGCGTTGCAGGCAAGGCTGAGGGCGAGACATCCCCACATGTAGATAGTCGCTTTCATCGTCTCGAAATTCGCAAAGATGAATCTTTTCGACCCCCTTATTGGTGTTGGGAAGTTGAACGAGTTTGGAGACGGGTTCGAATGGCTAGAATTGTGGAAAGGCACCTGTTATAACTGAGTTTGTGAGCGGGTCACCTTCTAGATTTAGGTGCATCGTTGCATGCAGCCTGTGTTGTCTTTCTCTTGCTTTCTTAGTCCCTTCTCCATCGATTGCTCATAGGTACTTGCATTGCTTGTCTTTCTCTTGCTTCCTTAGTCCCTTCCCATCGATTTCTCATCCTTGCATTGCCCAACGCGCGTTGGTCGTTGACCATCCGGGCCATTTCGCAAGTTCAGGACTAGTTGCCCCTTCTGAAGCTCGTCATCTGACATCGTTCCAAAGACGTCGAATCAGAGTAACTCTAACCCCCACCTTTTCCCTCGCACATCTCATCCATACGACCGTAGACCTATACCATTCCTGTCTCTCCGAACCCTCGTCCACAGCATACAGGACTCTGCGAATTGTCTGTGGATTGGCAGCGGGGCTTTCTCGGAGCGTTTCTTTCAAAGTCCGGAGGGAAGGACTATGTACCTCTACGCACATCTGAGAAAGATAAAGAAGAGGTAGGAGCCGACTTGAGGCCTGGGAAGAAGTCTAAATGGTATATCATATGTGTTACCCTTCTCGTTACAACCTCTATGATTGGTTCCGGGGGCATTGGTTTCGCCTTGGGAAACCGCAGATGGAGCGCCTCAAAGGGCAACGTTGATGGTTTTACGATCCGTGGCGACAAAGTCAGCGTGAAGGATACTGACCGGGGCAGACTTTTTGATACCGCCGGGAAACGTCAGATATCCAATGGTGTACAACCCGACCTACACGGAGGAACCCTCCCCCGAGACGGACGCAGCCTGGGACTCCATGTTCCCGAGTAAGCGGAGACGGATCCCAGGCCGTGAGCCATACTGACTTCGAAGCAGAGGGCGTCGGTTTTGTAAAACACCCAGAGGTGTCGCCGAACCTCTCCGGTCTCGCAGTCTTCCACGAACTCCACTGCGTGGTAAGCGATCCCGAACCCCGCCTTTCAACCAACAACGATACAACCCCTACCCCAATCGCAACTCGCCGCGGCCAAAGACTGACCGTGCTATCCCCCCCCTTAGAATATGTTGCGGGTGGGCTATTACGCAGCCCTGAACGGCAACCTCGCGGACATGCAACACGTCCACGACCACAACAAACGGCCGGACCCGCACCACCTGCGGCACTGTTTTGATTATCTCCGCCAATCCCTGATGTGTAGTAGATAGTCGTCTTTGTATTTCATCGCCCGATCGATTTCTAACCCGCCATCATCAGCACCGTATTGCTATTCGAATCATCCTTGAGTGGGACTCACCATGCGGTGCAACCCATGGTGCGCGCCCAGCTCTGTCGCGTGGCCCGAACACATCTGCCACAGGTACAGAGGTAAGGTTGTAGTATTCGAGACCTTCGCGCGGGACTCGGATTCCCGGTGTCTGTGGTTCTAGATCAGCAAGTCGAGCGTGATTGTCCGGCGCACTTTCGAAAAGCGTGTGCCCGGCGGCCTCGAGCTGTGGGTCGCGTGGGGCCGGTGTGCACTTTGACTGCTGGGTTGCGGCGCTCGTATTGGATAGCGTTACTTTGGGCGAGGGCTTTTGTGGTGAGCGAGCAGGTACGGTCCGATGTGGAAGAGCTAGGATGCGAGGGTGGCAAGCTACTTACGGGGGAAGATGGTTGTCAAGTCGGCTGTTCACACACTGGCTACGCACTGGTGCTTTGAGATACAGGAGAAGGTAGAGGATAAGGAGGGGAACGTAGGCGAATGTGAGGATATGGTAAAGCCATTGGTAAAGGTTGTGGCTCTTTTCTTTTGGCCCACGCTTTCCTGCAAGATGGCATTTGAATCGCAGCTGGAGCTTGTATCCTTTTCCTCCTGCTTTCCGAGAAGAGGCTGAACGTCTGGGTAATTTTCTTCGTCTACAAAAACCGCGCGGTTAGAAAACATTGGAGACATGGCAGAAGCTAGCTGGGGTGCTCTTTTGGAATGAAACACTGACAAGGCGGTGAAAAGGTCTGCCACGCGTGTGGAAAATATCAATTGGAGCGTCAGTTGGGGTCCCCCTTTCGCACAACAAGTCGTACATATTTGCATTAAATTAAGACACGCTTGACAGCCGCTGTGTAAAAGCAGCGAGAACAATCTAATGACAGTGGGCATTCAGGCTTACTGCGTAAGCCGACAGTGTGCCGCATCAATACTGTTTTTGCAACGCGCAATGCATTGGAAGTGAAAAGATTAATAAAGGATGCGAAGTGTAGGACCCCGAAGGCTGTCAGAGCGGGATGCCACATGGCAACTGCAAGCGAAGAAATGGAAAATGCCGGAACTAAAGTATGTAGCACCATTTGCGCTGCAAGGTCCTGTCAGCGGGTGTCCCATTACTACCTACTGTACGTTTATTATAGCTCGATGGCGAATCAGAGAAGAGAGCAGCGTAGCTTTGCGTCAGAACGGCCAAAACAAGTCCTACGCAATCAATTCAATTCGGTTCGCCGCAGAGTATGATCGGGCGTATCGTTGGAATTAAATTAGAATACTGCTGACAGCAGGACCACTCGGAGACTTCCCTGCGCCAGTAGCCATAACTTCATATGCAGGCGTGTGCGTTATCAGGTAAGGATTTGCGAATCCGCTCCCCTCTCCACTTTTTCATATGCATATCATTTTGCGATTGGTGGAGCAAAAGCAATTCAGCCGCAAGGCTTGGCCAAACCATCCGCACACCCTCCACCTCTACACCAGTCGGCTCTGCTTCACTTCGCAAATTGGAAGTTGGGGCCGTGTAGCTGCAGAAGTATATGGGCGGTGTGGGGACCACGAGGCTCGCCTTCTGAGAGGTTACCTAGAACACTGCCACCCACTGCCCATGTGCCGGCGGTCCGGTGCTTCCCGGACGTGAAAGCAGCATTCTGACCAATCTATCTTGTCCATCTGTTTTTGCGCATTCCGGAGCGGATAAAGTGGTTTGGAGGTGTGGAGGTGTGTGTGGGGTAGATGGGTAGATGGGTAGATGGGTAGATGCCGAGGATCATTCTCGGCACGTTGTCTCTACCTACTACCTTCCTAAATCCTTCCACGGTCATTTCAGATTAAGGTATAGTCCTGCGTCAATGGCTTTGCCTCACGCAGAGTAACATGGGTTGAGACTCTCTTTCAGTTACCTTGATGTTATAATTCCTTCATTGTTGAATCTACCTCCATTTGATACGTGAACAGTCCCTGTTTCTACATAATTCGCTACCTTAAACTACAAATAATCCAGAGGTCTTCTCTCACCCCTGCACACACAAATCATCTTTGTCAGCCCTAATCTTAATCCTCCTCCCAAAGGCGTACAAAGAGAAGCCGTGAAGAAGAGAGCGACGAGAGGTATTTGCGACTCGACATGGGCTACTCCCGTGGGCAGACCATCGCCATCGCCGTCATATTTATGGTATTACCTACGTCTGTTGTGGGTCTGCGTATATGGGCAAAGACCATGAGCCGTCGAGGCTTTGGATGGGATGATTACCTGATCATATTGGCTCTGGTAAGGCTTCGACTCTACGTTTGCGATCAAGTTGCTAAGACTCCCTAGGCGACTACGATAGGTTCTTGTGTAGTTCAACTCATAGGTGTGTACACTCTATGCCTAAACGTCGACTCTGTTTCCTAACACGTGGTGAATAGCTGCGATTGATGGACAGCTCGGGCAGCATCAGACGGACGCGCCAAATGGCATGCCAATCCTGAACGACCCTCGCTTTTTGCGCTATGAGACGGTAAGGAGGACACTGCCCTGCTCAGGCTCATGTAGTAACATGATCCATCACCAGTGCAAATTTGCGTTACAGATGCTCACGTACTCCGGCTATGGTCTCGCCAAAGCTTCGATTCTCGTCCTCTATATGCGCATCTTTGACGTTCGAGCATTTCGTATACGAGCGAAAATTCTCTTGGTGGTTGTCACCGCATGGACCATCTCCTTCTTTTTTGCAAGTTTGTTTCAATGTTATCCAATAACACCCTTGATCGAGCCGTTCTACGGTAAGAAATGTGTGAACGCGATTCCGCTGTGGTATGTTGGCAGCTCAACGGACATCCTTTTGGATTGCCTGATTCTCGCCTTGCCCATACCGATGGTCCTGAAATTACAACTTCCCCAAAAGCAGAAGATAGGTGTCATATGTATGCTTCTTTTGGGTGCATTGTAAGTATATTGTAGTCATTCGTCGTGCACAGAGGATGGCCTTACTGATCATCATCAGAGCCACTGCTTCGAGCGTTGCGCGCTTGGTGGTGTACGTCCAAGTGGGCAATATTCTAGCTGTCCATTTCAACGATGAAACGTGTAAGTCTCTTTGTCGTTCGAAATCAGCGCTCACTAAGTCTTTCAGATTACACCTCTCCGGTCTTCATCTGGAGCGTAATTGAACTTGCTCTTGGCGTCATCAGTGCGTGTCTACCAACTCTTCGCCCTATCTTTCTGCGATACAAGACCAAACCCAATTCGCAAGAAAGTGGAGTGTCGGCATACAAGTCCTTTGGCTCCTTCCGCTACGGTAGACATCCTTACGGACGCTCGGCTTCGAGAAGTGACGACTACGAGATTCCAGTGCTCAAAGCTTTGGAGCCTGCTGTGCACACCCACATCAAGGGACCTGATGCCGAAAATCCGGAATTGCCAGAAGTGGGAGTCATAATGGTTCATCAGAACATTGAGCATGTCTAATATATTGATGATGGCCTTTTGAAAGATGTTTTCTCCATTCGACACGTTATACAGGTACCTTTCAATGGGACCCGCGCCATGCTGCCGCCTTCAAATCATGGCTTGCGGACGCGAAGGGAACGGAGTGTTCAACGTTGCAGGGCAAGATGCAGAACGAGGTTTGGTACGAAACACAACCTTTCAGGATTCAGTCGGACACCGGTCCATGACGGGGTCTCCGAAGCTGCAATCGGATCAAAGATCGAGTTCTGGACAAAGCGTTTGGTGGATACTTGCTCATAGCGCGGGTGTAACGGCGTTAAGTCTTTGTACGAATCCGCACGCTGTGTCTCTCTTGTAGCCACCTGTATAATAGATGTGTCATGATGTATCTGCGTGACTGGCACAAAACAACGTGACTGGCGATAGCTCCAGGGTGGCCACTAGGATTCTGCGAGCTGCATACGGCTATGCAAACTTGGTAGTGAAGTAAGGTACATTCGGCAGTGAAAAGCTCCGAGTTCCGATCCGAGTGATGGTGGGGGAATGTGCGAAAGAGCTGCCTTAGCTTCGACTGTTTGTATATTTACCATCCCCCCTTTTCACTCCGCCCTCTCACCACACTCCTTCCTGGTACTATATAAAAAAGTTCATGCAAAACATGGCGCCAACAGAGGCCGATTACATCATCGTCGGTGGCGGCCTGACTGGATGCGCACTTGCATCTCGTCTCAAACAGGGCGATGCATCGCTCAACATACTCCTCATCGAAGCTGGTGTTGATGCCACTGGCGATCCTCGCACCACGGCTCCCATGGGTTGCTTCGCGCTCTCTCACTCCGAACTTGACTGGGCCTATCAAACTATCCCTCAGTCAAATACCAAGAACCGTGCTCACTACAACGCTGCCGGCAAGACCCTCGGAGGAGGTAGCACCCTGAACTACGGCGGCTGGACTCGCGGTGATGCTAGTGATTATGACGAATGGGCTAACGTTGTGAAAGACCCTCGCTGGAGCTACAAAGGCTTGCTTCCTTATTTCAAGAAGTCAGAGCATCACTTTGATGCCAACTCAGATCCGCAACAGCATGGCTTCGAAGGGCCTATACATTACGTCTCGGTATCCGGCAGCGATCCAGAGCGACAGTACCTTCTCCGTAAGCCAGTACATGCTGCATGGACGGAGTTGGGAGTAAAGCATAACCCTGACGCCAACAGCGGCCGCTTGGCCGGTATCTCAGAAATCGAAGAAAGTTGGCGCAGTGGGCTTCGGCAGCCGTCTCATCAGGCGTACGGGCTCAAAGGGGTGCAGGTCCTCACAGATACAATGGTCCATCGCGTTCTATTTTCCACCAACAGCGAAGGCAAGCACGTAATATCGGGAGTTGAGCTTGCGGATGGTAGTCGGATATCTGCACGCAAGGAAGTCATTCTATCGGCTGGTGCACACCGAACACCACAGCTGCTAATGCTATCCGGCATTGGGCCCGCAGACGAGCTGTTGAAACACAATATTCCTCTCCTGACAGACGCATCACAAGTCGGCCGAAATATGTTCGACCACTTCGCCCTTTTTCAGTTCTGGAAATTACTTGATCCCTCAAGAGGCCTCGCAATGGGTACTCCACATTGGACCTCTCCTGCCTACTACAAAGGCATGCCCTGCGACTGGGCGGTGAAAGAAGCCGTACCCACAGACCTCCTCTCGACTGCTTTACGCGCTGACTCCGTCTCCGATGTCGACGCTGCGGCCCTCTTGCACCCCACACGCTGCCATCTCGAGACCCAGATCATCTACGCTCCTGCTGGCGCTGATCATGTTGGATTAAGCCTACCGATGGATGGCACTCACGTCGCAAGCTCCGTGATGCTCCTCCTACCTACTTCACGCGGGACGATCTCTCTCGCCTCCACCTCCGCTCTCGACCCGCCTGTCATCAACCCAAACTATTACGCCACCTCTGCTGATCACGCGGCGCTTATATACGGCGCCCGACGAGTCATGAAGGCAATGCTGGACACAGCAGGGGGCAAAGAGTTCATCGCGTGCGAAGTGACGCCACCAGGGATGCCAGAATTAAATCTGCAGTCCGGGGATAAGGAAATTGACGAACGTATCAGGGCTGCTGGCGTGACGCATGCTCATGCCTCGGGTACAGCGGCGATGGGAAAGGTCGTGGGACCTGATCTAAAAGTCTATGGAGTCGAGGGGTTAAGGGTTGCGGACGCGAGCGTGTTTCCAGTAGCAATTGGCGGGCATCCACAGGCGACACTATATGCAGTAGCGGAACAGGCAGCAGAGATAATCTTGAAGGGATGAGAGTGTAGAGACGTAATTTTCGAGTGAAGGTGGGAGGCAAACAAAAGGGGGACTCGGTTGGCTGAGACTCACATGTGCATTGCATTGCACTGCCTTGCATGTCGCATGTCGCAGATTTCAGGTTGCAGCGAAATTGGGCTTACAGAAAGTAGTACAATAGACTTGGACTGTTGCCATTGCAGTGCTTCAAATATGTATGTCAGCATTTAGTATCAGGAAATAGAAATGGAGCACGGAGGACTGGTTCAGCCTGATCAGTCTCCCTTTTAGAGTAGGCATCAACCACTTGACCTCCATCATTCTTACCCCACCCAACCGCGGCGCCTTCTCTCTACCAGTCACAACAACACCTGACCCCAACTCCACACCAAACCATCTTACATAGAGTTCATCGTAGCCAAGTTGATTTCGAGCCTATTCTCTTGTTGACCAAAGTTCAATCAGCCCCAATGGCCTCACCCAACAGCCACACCTACCTGGTGACGGGCGCCAATCGAGGCAAGAGATCCTTCCTGTCGTATCTCATCCATGCTTAATTCGATTAATTCGAGTCTCAGGCATCGGTCTAAGTCTAACCACCACCTATCTCTCACGACCCAATACCACCGTCATCGCAGGAGTCCGCGACCCTTCAACCCCTTCGTCAAAAGCTCTCTCCGGCGTCCACAGAGACCCTAGCAGCACCCTCATCATTGTCAAGATCGACAACACCTCCGCCACCGACGCCAAAACCGCGGTCGCTTTCCTGCAGTCCGAGCACAAAATCTCGAAACTCGACACGGTCATCGCCAACGCCGCGGTGCAGAATCTAGTCTTTGCCACATTGGCCGATGTCGACCCGGCGCAGGTGCAGGAGCACCTCTCCATCAACGCCATCGGGTCGCTACTGCTTTTCCAAGCCGTTTTACCGCTGCTCCAGAAAGCATCGCAGCCGAAGTTTGTCGTGTTGGGGTCGCCTATTGGGAGCATCGGTGGCATGGAGAAGCGACCTGTGCCGATGGGTGCGTATGGCGTCTCCAAGACCGCGGCTCACTATCTCGTGAGGAAGATCCATTTCGAGAATGAGGGACTGATTGCTTTCGCTGTTGATCCCGGGTGAGATCCCTGACAGTCCGTGTTGTAAAGATGATGGGGGGGGGAGATCTAACGTTGTCTGGCTTTAGGTTCGTACAGACCGCCTCAGGCAACGAAGCGGCTCGTGCTTTCGGCATGGGAGAGGCGCCCGTACCAGTGAAGAAGAGTGTTGAATTCCTGGTCGCTACGGTCAGGATCTCGTCTGATATCTCAGCCTTGGGAACCGCATTGCTAATGGATGTGAATTGCAGATTGACGGTGCCACTAGAGACAAGACTTCTGGCCATTTCCCATCTATTGAAGGCGAGGACTGGGCCTGGTAAGTTTTTACTAAATATAAGCACGAGGTCTCTGCCTGAGCTCGAGCCGAATCTTGGTCTACGCACTCCAAAGTCGAGGTCCGGTGCGGAAATAACTTCCACGAGCTTCTGTAATCATTGCAACTTCTTCCAATCCTAAGCGTATAATCTAAGATGTTGCGTTGGAAACTATCATGACCGGGGCTTCACGTCTGATTACAGATAGTAAAAAACAGTCCACCACAATGGAACGCAGCTAACGGTCAATCCTAAAGAAATCCCCCTTTATCTTTCTCTCGTGGCGGAAAAATTGGTGTCTTTGAATGAACATTGCCCGACTGTTTTTGTACCCCTCGCACAAGCCTTAGTCGAGCTACGGCGCAAAGCCAAGACCTTCCACAACTGGCTACAGCTAGGCCTCAACATCAATTGAATCCTGCACACAGAGTAACTTTCTTCAGTGGGTCTTGTCTCTAGAGGCTTGATAGAAAACGGCAGAGACGATGAGCGTGCTACACTGGAGAAGTTCTTCTCTATGCTGCAGTTGGACAGGACGTCAAGGTCTTGTCAAACCCTCTCCAACACGACAGAGCTAGATTCAATATTCCCCAACACTCCAAACCATGAACAAATTCTTTGATCATCCTCCCCTACCTCCGCCTGCAACCATGATGCATTTCACTCGGGACGCGACCACGTGTAAACAACTTGATCATCCCCATCCGTCACCTTCTCCGATCGCTTTGCCTTTTCCTCTGGGCGAGACCATGTGTACACGACTTGGTCATCCCCATCCGTCACCTTCTCTGATCGCTTTGCCTTTTCCTCTGGGCGGGACCATGTGTATACTACCGCATCATCTCCATCCATCTCGGTCATTGTACGGATTGATTTTGCTAAGAGAAATGATTAATTAGTCCCCATCATCCTCGGAATATACCATAAGTGTCTCACCTTTCTCCACGGGAAGAGCAGTGGCAGAGACGGCAGCCAGAACGAGGCCGCAAACAAGCGTGTTGAATCTCATGGCGAAATAAGTCGTCTTATGGTTGAGTCCGGAATCGGGAGTAGGTGTAGGAATTGGATCTGGAAGATGAGAATTATTGTGACCGTAAAGCTTTATGTTCAGACGACGGTCGGATGTCTTATTGATGCAAGGCAAGGCTGAGCCTGAGTGAGTTCATTAGAGGCCCACGACGTCTAACCAGACCTGACATGTGGAAGGGAGCCCCACCGCTCATTGCTTCCCCTCCGGCCTACTGCAGTAACCGCTAGTGTAGGATTCAGCGAAGTGCTGGCGCCAGGGCGATGGTCCTGTTGATCAGCTGCTCACCACCATTTTCAGGATGCCATCACTAGTGAGGGGCCCCGCCCCACGCCAAGAGAAAAGTATACATACGGCCCTCGGGTCTGTAAACGGAAACCAGTGCGAGTGGCTTGTCGATCAAAGCATGCTCGAAACATGTTTCGTGTATGGTCCGTGGGGAGTGACATCGTCGAGGCCAATAGCTAGCTCGATTAGTATGCATGGTAAGCTCATGTACGCTGGCGGGGTCCTCTTAACCCCCCCCAATGACGTGGCCTCCTGGTTCCTGTAGTCAGCCAGGCTGCAGAAACCCTCCTCGAAGTTTGTCGGTTGACATCTGTCGATAGCAAACGTCAACCCGCCGCCGCTTTTACAACCTTCCGAGTCTTCCTTGGCCATATGCGTTCCAAGGCTCGCTGGCTAGGGATAAATCCTCAATATCGAGTCTTGAGAACAGTACACGTCCTTCTTCGGGCTGTTCAAACAAACCATCAAACAGTCCTCACGCAGAGACCATGGCACCATTTTCGCACCATTTTCGAACAAGCCGGTATGCTCTCCTCAAGACCTCAGACGACGGCAGCAAAGAGGAACCCAACGGTCCTTCGCCAGAATCTCAACCCGCGACTCCCTGGTCCACCTTCCAAGTGCGCCTCCTCCTCCTCCTTTCGAGCGCGCTTTCCATAACCCTTGGACTTGCCGTGGGCTACCTCGCTCACCAGCCCCGATACTCCGGACCGCTCGGTACGTCTCCAGACCAGCTTGTCCGTCCGACCGCCGATAACCAGTCCTCGTAGTTCCATCCGGCCATACGGACTACCCCATGGTCTACAACCGGACCTTCTCGCAGGCACCCTCGGCAGAGAGCAACGCCGCCTGGGACTCCATGTTCCCCAGTACGCGCCCGTGCCCCCCCGCAGACATCTTTCGCCCCTGAAAGGCTCTCGGTACGAAAAGAATCGCTGATCGCCGTGGAGCAGGCGACGTCGGTTTCGTCAAACACCCCACGATCGCGCCCGCCCTCTCCGGCCTCGCCGTCTTCCACGAGCTCCATTGCGTGGTACGTTTAATCCCCCCCCACACTTTTAAAGAACGTCCCCTCTCCGCCCCGTCTCCGATGCCCGCCTGCCCGCTCGGCTGAATCCTCGGGGGCGTCAGAATATGCTACGCGTCGGGTATTACGCGGCGTTGGACGGGACCATTGCGGAGATGCAGCACGTGCAAGATCACAACAAGCGCCCGGATCCGCACCACCTGCGGCACTGCTTCGATTACCTGCGTCAGTCCCTCATGTGCGCCGCGGACACGAATCTCGAGCCCGTGGATATGGAGTTGGGGGGTGTGACGGGGTGGAGTTTTCGGCGCACGTGTAGGGACTTTGACGCGGTGAAGGAGTGGGCGGAAGAGTGGGGGAGTTGGGATGAGGGGTTGCGTTCTGAAGCTGATGCTTGAGAGTTTTATACCAAATGATCCCATGTTTTGGCGCGCTGGGTTGTCTTTGCAATGCGATAGGTTTCTAAAAACGAGATATACCGCACAAATCTTGCCTCTTAGTTTCTGGATACTTTGATAGATAACAAAAGTACCGTTTGAATGTTTCTTGTAATTTCATTCGCTATAGACTTATAACAAGTTGATGAACGGGGAATTTGAGGCCCTTCTTTGGGGACTAATGCCCTAAACCCCACCTAGGGTTCAGGGACTCGACCCCGGAACTCGGACTCCAGACGCGTGAACGGTCCCCGCAACTCCGATCCCCGAAACGCGAACCCTGCCAGGATAAAGAAATCGAAAGACATGACCACCTCGAGTCCTTGAACGAGCAGTCCGACCACTTCCTCACTCCGCCAGGACCCCGGGCTCGAATATAGGTACCGCGCGCGCCCGCACCCACTGCATCAAGCGGTCCCAGTCTACGCACTGGTGATGCCCGAGAGCGACGGCCGTCAGCCGCGGTGGCGTGGTCGGTAGGTGTTCGAACGTGGTGAGCGAGGTGTCGCCGCGGCACATGATGGACTCGCGGAGCATTTCCAGGCAGTGATCTAGGGTTGTAGGTCAGACGTGTGCTTCTGATGCGGCAGCTCCATCTTCCTTCCTCCGTCTATGGAGTCACGGAGCAAGACAGAGCATCGGATCTGGGTACGCACGTATGTGGGCCCTCCACTCCACCAGCTCTGACTCGGGCTCGTCGGCAAGGTAATAGTCTCTGTAGATCCAATGGCGGATTTTTTTCTGTTCACTTGGATCAATGTCGGGTCCACCTCTGGAAACGGGGCAGTGGAGAATGACGGACCAAGCAGTGAAGTTCATGATGCACGCCTAACTCTGCTGCAAACCCGGACCCGTTTGCTAATGGTATCGAGCTCAAATTGAAATACATAAGATCTGCAGCTGACACGCGGATCCTGATATCTGAATACAGTATTAGTTCATTTCAAGCAAGCCGTATTCCTGACCAAATGGGGAGCAAACAGCGACGGGGTTGGGGTGATATATACCTTCGAACAGCTCATGCCAAGCAGCATCGAGCTCAGGACGCGGCTCCCCTGCAAATGCGTTGCCGTGAATCCGAACAGGGAAGGGCCTGCGCTCATAGTGCACGGCGTCACTATCCGCAATCGCTGTTTCGCTCTACAATTAGCTTGCTCGGCGCCTGAGCTTGAAGCTGGATGTGATTCAACGCTTACATGGAAAGAGGTCGTGACTATTTGCGCAGGCATTATTTGCGTGGTGGCTCGACGGCATCCAGCCATAAAAGAGGCCAAGGTACAAGAAGCAGAGCACCGCATAGGCGAAAGCGAGAAACGTGCTGTGCGAGCAGACGTTGTGTCTCCAAGATTGCGCGGATGGCGACTGAGGCAGCGGTCCTAAACTACACTTCGGCGTGGACTCTACGTCGCCCAGTAGCGGGCTCGCACTTTCTCTCTTGTCTGCTTCTGACATGACTGGACACACAGGCGCATGAAAGAGCTTTTGCATTGAAGACCACAAACTTGCAACGATCACCGGAAGAAAGGATCTCATCAACGTCCCACCTTTCGCACCGATTCAAAAGTTCTGCTGGGACAAGCTCTACCGCAAACACGTCGTTAAGGCGGCAAGAGAAGGTCTATCTCACATCGGGACCCACGTATGGATAAACATTCTTGGACCAGGATTCGCATAGTATTAGGCAGATGTTTATTCAGGTTTACCTAATATGCCTCGATGCAGTCCGTCGTACTACCGGTAGGTGTGTAGGCACTTTTCGGAGATTACCGTGGGATCGAAAGTTTCCTTGATGCTCTGCAGGTGACTGCGCTCAAGCACGCTTTAGACTCGAGTTGTGAAATGTCAATGTCGTTGTAGACTATGATTATGCACACCGCCGACATGGAGGTTAAGACATTTGGATTGACCCCGTCATGAGATGCCTCAGGGTCACTCAATCGATTGGTGCATAAAGAAAGGATTACGTTTTTGCCTACAAAACACTGGTCCAATCGAATGACGGCGCATATATGAGGCGACTCAATCATTCAGATCGCTCACATGCGTTTTAGACTGACAAGCAGTTCTACCTAGTCCTTGAGTCCAGCTCATCATTCGCGCTCTCGGTAGAATACCCAGCCACCCTCAGTGAAGTCAAGCTTAGCCAAGAAAACCTACCTACTGTAAGTCTTGCCAGAGGTACCTCCAGAATTGTTCAAATTCAATTGGTGTGTGTTAAATCCCTCAACCGCAGGTGCAGAAGTGTGGGGATGGCAGCCTTTCGGCGCTGCCTCCGTAGGATTCCTGCATGGTAAGCGCCACTACTTCATTCGCTGCCAGGTCCTTGTCTTGGTCAGCAGCCCGTTACATTATGCACCCGCGTGACCCACGTTGGCACGCCATTTCGAAAAGGCAAGGCTGAAGAGCGTCAGAAGGGCAGCCAGGGATGCCGATTCGAGATGGCTCTACCGATGCCGGTCGGTGCCCAGGAAAAGGGTAAGGCTAGAGCACCAAGCTCATGCTAGATTGTTTCTATGGAATCTTGTTGTCAAAAGATCTAAGACGAGTTTAAGGGAGAATTCTGCAATAGGACGTAACTATTTAATTCGACTATAGTATTAGATGAGCCTCTGCAGCGTTGTTACATGGCTGAAGATCCCACCTGACCAAAGCGTCCAAGGGATTGGAGCTCATGGAAGCTTGACAGGAAAAACATGGGTCTTGAGAACTATTTCAAGCAGGTCAAATCATCAAAAATCGCTACCTACTCGCTTGGGAACGAATATTGTTTGGCTGAGCTGCAAAAGAGTGCTTTTGGTTGACTTATAGGTTGTAGCACAAGTAGTAATGATGGATATATCTCAGTGACTAACTCTAACTTCGTAATCCAGATGTAGAAATATCTCACATACTTATTTTCTATATCGGCTCATCAAGGCAAACTTTCGTATGGCTAGAGCCAAAGAGACAGAGATACACTTTGACCCGAAGCATAAAAAGCAGGGGATACGCCTTCCAAGGCCCACTCACTCCGGGAACATCCCCACTTGAACCCCATTCTTGCTGACGAGCGTCATCTTCAGCAGCTCCTCCCATGGTTCGGGATCCCTGTTCTCCAGAGTCTTGAACGTTTGCACAAGCCGGACGACGACGTAACCGATCTCCGTCAAGGCGAGCTGTTGAGCGGGACAGATTCTCGTTCCGCCACCGAACGGTATGTACTCCCACCTCGGACGGACATCTTCCCATCTCTCCGGCCGGAAGGATTCGACATCAGCACCCCAAAATGAGGAGTCGCGGTGCAAAGCGTACGTACTCCAAGCGATGGTCTGACCTCTGGTGACAAGGAGTGGGTCACCACCATCTGGGCCACCGCCGGCGGGAAGGACCGTGTCGCGCAAGCACATGCGGCTCATCAACGGTGCGACCGGGTTTAGACGGAGATCTGGGCGCGGTCAGCTGGTTGGCTTTCCGGCTATTGAGAAGGCTGTCTGTTTACTCTCCGATATCACGTAGCGTAGGTACTGCATACTCTTTAAGAGCTCGAATGTCAATGGTGCATTACCAACAGCCTTTACTTCAGATCGCAGCCTATCCCAGATCGCACGGTTGCGAGCTAAATGGAAAAAGATACTACCAAGAGCGACCGCAGTTGCTTCGTGGCCTGCGAGAAAGACGCTCAAGATTTGGTACCGCAGATCCGTTGTGTCCTTCGTGACCTTGGCCATCTCGTCTAGCAGGATATAACGCTTCCTTTGGGGGTTTGTGGGTTCCGAATTGTTTTCTTCCTCTTCAGATTTATTATTCACAGCCTTCACAACATAGTTGTCGATGAAACTGTGCACAGACTTGCAAGCTTCTGTGTACCTTTTGTCTCGGTACAGGAAACGTAGTTTGCCTAAACGGACCCTTTCGCCTACGCCGTATTGAGCAGTATTGAAAGAAGTGAGGAATTTTTCTGTTTCGATCGAATTTGTCTCGAGCAGCGAGTCTAGTGACTCGCCGAATAGGAATCCCGTGGAACTGTCGAGAGACTACCGTAGATTAGGCCATCCGCTTTAACCGTCCCGTTTGAAAGAGGAATTCAAAAACTCACAAGGCGGGAGAACAATGTCTGCAAGTCAAACGTTGATCCATCTTTGGGAATCAACTCGACCAGCCGGTCGACATGCACCTTCAACGAAACCAGATCAGCGACTTGAGCTCTAGCAAAGCAAGGCTTTATCAGTCCCCGTGAATGGGCCCAGTCAGCACCATCAGTCGTGAAGACGCCTCCAGCAACTAAAGGAGTCGCCGGAGGGGCTCTGATAGACCAAACGCCAAAATTCTCGCTCTTCGTTGCCAGCACCGTTGTCAAGATCTTGGGCTCGGTGGTGTTGATGATAGTCTCTCCAAAAGAGGTAGCTTGAAAAGTTCGTCCATATGTTTCGTGGAGCTGTACGAGAGATTTCAGAGAGTGCCCCTTCTTCGCGGATTGGACCATGAAGTAAAAGAGATCCAGGCCTAGTATGGGTTCCTTGTGTGGATACTTCTTGGGAGGCTTGCAGTTATTCTTTTGAGCTAGCGATGAGCGGGCTTTGTAAGCGCGCAACGTTTCATAGATACGTACGGTGGCGAAGATGAGTAAAGGTACAAGGATGATCACATGGAACTGTGCCATGGTTACGGCTTGAGAATGGCGTTTGGTCAACTTTGCTTGATCGATTACCGCTTGGATTCTCTGATTGTTGCATCAGCACATAAGTACCTGATGGAAAGCAACAGTAGTGGATCAAAAGGGGGGCATGAATGAAGAAAATGGGCTGCGGCTGATGGGGAGGGCAGCAGGGTCCCAGGGGGAATCTCACCCGAGGGTTGCCTGCACGAACTCACCTTATTGGTGGTGCATAGTCAATCCAACAATGATCATCTGCTTCCCTTTGGGGTATATATACTACGCTTCCCCAGCTATCCTGCCTTCGACTAGCGTGAGATCTGCTAGCGCTTGAACGGTCGTGTCGGCAGAAATCGCGCAATTCGCCTTGCCTTGACCTTCCAAAACGTTCTGCAAGTCTCAAGATCTTGCATGGCAAATTTATGCATGGCGTAGATAACCAAATATGTTCCACAAAACTAGATATGGACTTGCATCAGCACAATACATAACAAAGCCGTCAATGAGTACCCCATCGGCTTCGACATCCTGGTACCCAAAGACCTGAAGGCAGGAACGAAAAACCATTCCTTGGTAGTCCTCTTCCATGGCGGGTTTTTGGTCAGCAATCTCTGCAGCAAACTAACCATCTCATCATTCTCATTTCAAGTACAAAACCCTTAGTCGCTTCACCTACATTTCCAAAACAGGTAACCGGCGCCTCACTCCTCCTCCTTTTCTTCGCAAACTAGATCCTCGACCTCGCCCTCCTCAACGACGCTATCATCGTCTCCGCAGATTACCGTTTCATCCCCGAAGCTACTGGCATTGACGTCCTAAACGACATATTTGATTTGTGGAGATGGTTGCACAGCGATCTACAATCCGTCCTCTCCCATACGGCACCGACGGCACCGCAAATTGACCTCGCCCACGTTCTCGTCGTGGGCGATGGCTCCGGCGGCTGGCTAGCCATGTAATCCGCCCTCACGCAGCCCCCAGGCAGCATTAAAGCTGTCGTAGGACTCTACTAATAACTGGACATGCGCGATCGTTACTTCAACGCCAAGTTTGTGAAATTATCGCTCGGGATGCCAATGCTGCCGACTGAGATTGTGGATGCGCACGTTGCGGCTGTTGCTCCCGGGGCGGTAGAATAGTGACGAGTGCATATCTACCTTCAGGACTGGACATTGCGTGTTCCATGGTGCAGAACGGGCGGATGGTAGAGCTCCCCCGGGAGAGTAAGGAACTGTTTCCTGTAGAGATGGTGGCACTGGTGAAGACATTTCCGCCGGTAATGATAGTGCATGAGAGCGAGGATTCAGTGACGCCGGTTATCGGGAGTGTGCGATTTGTGGAAGCGCTGAAGAAGAAGCTTGCGGGGAGTGGAATTAGGTTGGATGTGAGACCTGGGTTATGGGTTCGATGGAGATGCAACGATGGAGGAGTAGTGGTTGAAGGAGGATGTGGATTTTATCACTGGGTATTGGCTGGATTGATGAAGCTGTTTTTCCTATGCGCGCAAAGACTGCACGCAGTCAGACCAATTCTTGTGGCGTAAGCTGATTAACCGAATTCCAGGGTAAACCGTAGGTGGGGTTTAGGGCACAAGTCCCCAAAGATTTGGCAAGTTTGAGTGGAAGTGTACCCAATAGACGGCAGCCTTGGGCAGCCCCCAGTCCCGCGCCAAGACTAAATAAAAGCTTGTTCAATCTCTCTGACCCACAGAATATTGCAATAGTTCCCTTCAAAACATTGCCTGAACCCAGGCATCACCAAGGCACTAAATCCTTACTCCTTCTTCCCTTCATTCCCCCTTCACCTTCCACCTATAATGTCCTCAGGTTTCGTTTCCAGCGGAACCACCGACGCCCCCATAGAGCGTGACGATGAATGGCTAAAAGCTCAACAAGAGATCGAAGCTAACCGTCGTCGCAAAGAGGAAGAAAGCAGGCACGAGGGTGGGAAGACTCTGTACGACGTGTTGCAGGGGAATAAGGGTGACTATCACTGATCCTAGCCCAAACCATACACATCCTTGTGGAACGATTAGACTGACATGTCAGGTGTTGTTTGTCCATTCTAGCCGCCAAAGAAGAAGCCTTCCAAGAGTCCATCAAGCTCAGAAACCAGTTCCGCAACTTGGATGAAGACGAAGTCGAGTTTCTGGATTCAGTGCTCGAGTCTACAAGGAAGAGAGAGGAGGAGGTCAAGAAGGAGACCAGCGAGCAGCTAGACCTATTCAGGAGACAGCAGGAGGAAAAAGATAGAGAACTACTAGAGGGCGGAGAGGAGGTTGATGGAAAGGCTGGCAGTCCTACGGCCGGGGAATCACAGTCAGCGTGGGCTGTGAATGCGAGGAAACGAAAGAGGACAAAGGAGAACGATAGGGCAGGGTTGAAGGGCTTGAAGCTACGGAAGAGCTCATCTACGGGCGAGACACCTGTTGGGCTGAGGAAAGCCTCATCCACAGGCGAAACTCTGGCCGTTTCGAGGACGGAAGCGGGCTATAGAGAACCTGTAGAGCCCCAGGGTACTGCTCCTGAGACCGCGTCGACGGAGAAAGCCAGTTTTGGAGTCTCCGCATCACCTCCACCTCCTCCTCCACCAGAAACCATCACTACAAAGGTTTCTCCTAAGCAAGAGAATAGCGTGAGTCCTAAGCCACCAGGTACTCTAGGTCTAGGTCTGGCAGGCTATAGCTCCGACGAAGACGATTGAGTATCGCGGCCTACACTTCCAAGAATCCTGTCAAAACCTCCACTTGAGAGCTATCGAAGTGTTGAACCCTTCTGGCAGCTTCTGAGTTTTGAACAGCCGAGGCCGTGCTATTTGACATGTGTTGAAGGATCTCATGTGTAGAGGCTGGTCGTTCTTGGTGTAAAATTGCCGCTCCTTCAGGATCACAGCGCCTTGCTACCTCAGTCACCATTGAGTGGTGAAGTGACGATTCTCGCCACCTGATACTACTTTCCTCATCTCAGCGAGATTTTACCTTTTCGGTTGTCGCATTATGTCCTGTGTCAAAGCGCGACAACACAAAAGCGACGACACAAAGGCTCTGACTCGAGCACAATACTTTGTTCCTTGGACAGAGGTCCTCAAAACATAAAGGATGGCGAGCCTTTGCATTTCTTGCAGTCCTGCAATCCCCACGCTTCACAACAACACTCTATCCTTCCCTCGTATTACCATTTTCGACCGTCTACGACCACGTGAGATTCGCCTCCCTCCAAAAAGAGGAACAGAAACGCGAATAGATATGAGCTTGAAGCTCCAGGTCGAAGCTGGCGCGTATCGATCTACAACATCGACAGCCTCCTCGGTGAGCGGGAAGTCCCAGACTTTGTTCTCCGAGTCTAGTGATTCTGAGGACGACATTCCCGCTACTCGAGGTTTTGCCCAAGAACACCGGAATCAGGCGTTGCACGAGACTGGAAATGGATTACCACAGTCTTCGTTCGTTACTCAACTTGATCCAGAGGTTGAAGCTTTGATGATGAGGATCAATGAAAGCGTCGTGATCAAAGATATGGCAACGAAAAGCCCACAATCAGTATTGGTGCCAAGAGGCTATCTTGTCGAGAATGAAATCAAGCCCTCGAGGTTCTATGAAACGCGAGGCGAAGTCAGGGACCATGTCAAGAAGCGGAAAAGAGAAGGTGTTTTGCCGAAACAATCCAGGAAGCAGTGGCGAAAAGAACGACACGGCTTCCGGGCTCAAGAAGTGAATCAGAACGGCGCTGTGCATCTTGAGGGATGCAAGCAGTCAACTCTCACCAATGACATTCATCCTATCTTTGACAGATCAAACTTCGATGATACCCCAGACGCTATATATGACCAGCTCATACCTGGCTTACAGTTGGCAACCATGTTTCTGACGCAAAAGATCTGCATGCAGTTCTGGGTGACTCTAGCAATGGGCAATCGAAGAGACGATCCTGAAATGACGTCCAGAAATGGCAAGCTCTCCCAACGGATTGATAACCATGTCGAACTGACTGAAGAAAGAGCCAGAACCGTCATCGAACATATCAACGCTATTGGAAAGTCGAATCTGATTCATTTTACATTCAAACATAAGGTGGAGGGATTCGCATACGAGGAGTTTGGTGCCTGGGGGACGTCAATTCCAATTTGCGACTATAAAGGGATTGAAAGAGACTATCACGGATTAAAAGGCGATCTCGTGCGCTCAGTCATCAGAATACATGCTGATTATTACATTATTGCGAAGAAGCTGAGCCAGTTAAAGTATCAAGAGGTTTCGCAGAAGCTGCGGTTTAACTTCCTGTTCGCGGTCTTGATAATCCATGAATTGGTAAGTCTTCATCCTGTCTCATATCTTGAGACCTCTCTTCTGAGAACATGCTAACATTGTGCAGGCTCACTCCATCGAAGGTATGTACATGAAGAATCGCGCAGAACAGTGGTTGGACTGGCACACCTCGCGTTACTACAAAGAAGTCTATTGGCTCGACTGGCAAGAATCTGAATGCGGCAGAGCTTGGGAAGAGACCATGTTTGGTTGTCACATTGCCCCTATAAACAACAGAGTTGACGGTTCGCATGGCATCGGTGTCTCTGACTGGCCTCTTCGAGGGACAGAAAATGATCCGGAAAGGAGGATATGGAATACGATATCCATGCGCTACATCGAGAAGCTTTTCCAAATGAGTACATGGCAACGTTCCTTCAACTTACAGGATTGGCGCATCTTTAAAGTCCCAAGAGACGGAGCTACCTCCATGTACATCAACTCGTTCACTACCATGTCGCAAAGCGAAGAGCAGAGGGTCGCCAGAGAAGAGCTGGCAGAGGCCGTTGCTCTAGCACACGCACAACCCGCAAAAAAGAAGCGGATAAAGGCGGCCGGTAGCATGGAAGAACAGCGGCCAAAGGACGAAAAAGTTATCGAGGAAGCTGTGATTGAACGGGAGCAGCTGCCAGAAAGCCCAAAGCGACAGGATCCCACATTCAATGGTAAACGCCGGGCCTCCTCGCCAGGTGCACTGCCTGCCCAACGATTGATCCTCGCTCCCCATACTCGCCGACCAACTCCAGGGCTTGCCATCGTCCCAGAACGTCCGCCGAAGGAGCCAAAGCTTCTTCAAAACACATCCCAGGCGCCGCTAACGTCAGACCAGCCAAAGACGGTCGACGAAAGCACGGAAATCTACCCTAAACACACAGAGTCTTTGACCGACAAGGTCCCGAAAGGACCGACGTCGGAAACAGTGAAGAGGCTCCGAAGCCAGCCGAGGGGTCTTATGGCGGCCTTCAGACAGAGGAGAAGAATCGGACTCGCCAAGAAAGAAGCCGAAGCGAAGAAGAAAGGAGACTTGGCTGATAAGAAGACTTTGGAGTCACAACAGAGCCTGATGCGAGAAACGGAGCCGGGGGAACAGCTGGCTGCAGCGAAGGATGAATCGAAGACTGTAAAAGAAATCGCTGATGCGGAGAGGCAGCAGGCTTTGGCTAACAAAGTGGAGGTTGAGGCTAGGGAGAGGCAGAGGAGAAAGAATAGGCTCATGTGAGGTTGGTCGGTCTGCTGGAGTTGTTGGGAATCGTCATGTTTGTTTGGTTTGCTGTACTTTTGTTATCTTGCTGTACTCGAGAGATGCTCTGATACCCGACTGTTTCAAAGAGATGCTCTGATACCCGCCTGTTTCGAAGATTAAGTAGAAGTTTTTGTCCCTATTCATACAAGACCGAGCAAGCCTCTCACTGTGAAACTGACTCCCTATCGCTTCCACCTCGTATCCTCAAACCCCTGCAGCACACTCTTCGCCACCTCATCCGTCTTCCCCATCGCTGCATCCACACTCGCATCCGCTGCACTTTTGGCTGTAGATTCTGGACTTTCAGGCGCCTGAATCATCCCCTTGGCCATACTCTTCGCCTGCCCTTCGCTAATCTTCCCATACACAGCCATCGCACTCGCTATCATGCCGCCCATGTCCCCTACATTGCCCGGCACCACGACCGCCGTGCCCTCTTTCGCTAGGCGCCCGAAAGCCTCGACGTATTTCTCCGCTACGCTCAGACTTACTGCTCCGCGAGCGGCTTCTTGGCCTTGATTCAAACTGCCGGCTACGGCGTCGATGCCTCTTGCTGTAGCGTTCGCTCTGACTAGTATGGCCTCTGCCTCTCCGGTCGCCATGTTGATCTGTTCGCTCTTCAATGCCTCGGAGGCAAGAATGACGCTCTGTTTCCTTCCTTCGGCGATGTTGATGGCGCTTTGTCTCTGTCCTTCACTCTCCAGAATCTCCGCCCTCTTGCTTCGTTCGGCAGTGACTTGTCTGTGCATGGCCTTCACGACTGGATCTGGGGCGTGGATGTCTCTAATTTCGTACCGCAGGCAGACGACGCCCCAATCCCTTGCCGCTTCATTGATTGCTTCCGTGATATTGGTGTTCAGGGCAGCTCGTTCGCGGAGGACATGGTCCAGGGTGAGGCGACCGATTTCGCTACGCATCGTAGTCTGCGCCAACTGGCTGATAGCATAATCAGCGTCCTCCACCCCGTAACTAGCCTTATATGCGTCAACTACCCTCGTGTACAGCACCCCGTCCAGTTCTAGCGTCACATTGTCCGCCGTAATTGCACTTTGTTGCGGTATTTCCATAGCAGACTCTTTTAGAGATTTCACGTAGGCGATGCGGTCGACTATAGGTAGGAGGAAGGCGACGCCGGGGTTAAGAATCCGTTTGAACTTCCCCATACGCTCGACTATGAACGCAGTTTGTTGGGGCACGAAGCGGATTATGGTGTTGGCAGGGAGGGAGGGCCGTTGGAAGTAGGAGGACGGGGCAGCCGAGGTGGAGGCGTAGGAGAAGGGAGATGTAGAGGCGCTCCTTCTTGAAAGCGGCTGTAGGATTTGCCTGCTTGGGAACACGGTACTATTGAGGCATGTTGATCCAGTGGTTGGTAGCCTAGAGTAGAAGTGTGGTCGAGATGGCTGCAGTAGAGCAGTTGCTGTTCTGGTCAAGCTGCTCGTAGATGCTTCCCTTAGTGCCATATTGCTTAGGTGGATGGGTTGCTAGGGCCCCCAGTCAAGGAGGATTCGGTAATCCGTACAGAAGATCGAAACCGTTTGTAGATTTTTTGAAGCTGAAGGCGAAAGTCATTGGCTCGACTCAGCCCTATGACGCTAGTGTGGAGATTCACTCAGGCCTCCACGCTTCGTACGTTCCTTTCTTCTGCCTTGAATATCTTCTACTCCTTTACGATCTGATCAACAAGGCAATATCAAGACTTTCTGCAGGGGACAGTTCAAGTAGAACCTGCTCTATTGTCCTAGTCCTGTGGAGTGTGGGCCGCCTGTAATCGCCCGCAATGTCGGAGTACTGGAAGTCAACGGTATGCACAAACGGACCCCGCCAAACAAGTGCCTTTACTGACAGTCTCTGTATAGCCAAAATACTGGTGTAAACATTGCAAAACCTTTGTCCGCGATACCAAGCTCGAAAAGACCAATCACGAAGCAACACCCAAGCACCAGGGAAATCTCAAACGATTCCTGCGGGACCTTCACAAAGGGCACGAGCGGGATGAGCGAGACAAGCAGAGAGCCAAAGATGAGGTCGACAGACTGAATGGCGTAGTCTCAGCATCTGGCTCCCAAAGTGGAGGCGCACCATGGGAGAGAAGATCAGCTATCCTGCCTCCATCCGTGGCCGGGAATCAGCAAGCAACACCGGCAGACAGAAAAAGGCAGCTAACACAGCTAGCAGAGATGGGTGTCGCTGTTCCGGAAGGTTTCAGGAGAGAGATGGCGATGGCGGGAGATTGGCAGATTACTTCTGAAAAGGTGGTCTACGACAATGACTTTTTGAAGAAAGAAGAGGAGAGTGAAGATGTGAAACTCGGTGGGCTGAATGTGGGGATACGGAAGAGGAAGTTTGAGGGGCAGGAAGAGGAGGAAGAGGCTGGTGAAACAGTGATTAGGAGAGGGTGGGGTTCAACAATACGAACGTATCCTGGAGCGGGAGCTGACGAGGATGACCTGGCTACGCTGTTGAAAAGTACGAAAAGGGTAATAAGCGAAGGTGAAGGCTTGCAACCCCTCGGATCTGGGCGATCGTCCCGGTCGCAGCAGGCAGACAGTCATGATGCAACAAAGGAAGATCAGGCTGATCTGGACTCACCAGCAATCAAGAAAGAGGAATCTGCAGGTCCCGGTAAGGTACTAGATACGATTCTGACCCAGACAGCTGTTGTTGATGCACCTCCGGAGTCCCTCAAGCAAGAAGAGAACTCTCCAGATTCTGGGGTAGTTTTCAAAAAGCGCAAGGCGAAACCAATACGGCAGAAATGACGAGACTCGAAGCACTACCACCATGTACCTCAGGAGCCATTTCTTTTTCCAAGAGCTTCGATTGGAGTAGCTGTCGTTCTTTAAATGCACCCCTTCTCCATCACCAACACTAACGCCGGACATTACGGCAATTAGCCGTCGATGATGCAACCCCGCGAAGAATGTTGACTTTACACTACGAATTCGATACTCTTTGCCAATGTCCTTGCTGCAAGCTTTCACACGCCGCTCCCTCTCTACAACGACAGCCAGACTCTTCTCACCAACTTATTCACACAAGATGAAAGAAGCAATTGTCTCTGCAGGCCCAAAGGTCGAGATCGTTGACTCTCCCATACCAATCCCGGAACCCGATCAGGTGGTGACGAAAGTCGTGGTTTCTGGCTCCAACCCCAAGGACTGGAAACGGCCGCAATGGACAGGGACAAGCTCGAACCAAGGGGACGACATTGCGGGAGTGGTTCACAGTGTTGGCTCGAACGTGGTTGAATTCAAGCGAGGAGATCGCGTGGCAGCTTTTCACCAGATGATGGCGCCTGGTGGTAGCTATGCCGAATATGCTGTTAGCTGGGATCACGCAACGTTTCATATTCCAAAGAAGACGGGCTTTGAGGGTCAGCTTGTCTCCGTCACGATCGTTACGTTGCTTTGCTGACTCGTACATTCAGAGGCCGCCACAATCCCATTAGCTGCAATGACGGCAGCATTTGGTCTCTACCAGCGCCTCGGCCTTCCTCCACCGTGGCGCCCTACCACCACTCCAATCCCTGTGATCATCTACGGTGCAGCGGCAGCGGTCGGTTCCTTCGCCATCCAGCTTGCCCGACAGTCCAACGTCCACCCACTGATCTGCGTTGCCGGAAGGGGCATACCACACGTGGAGGGATTGATTGACCCAAGCAAAGGAGATGTCGTTCTTGACTACCGAGATGGCGATGAACAGCTTGTTCAGAACCTCAAGGCGGCCGTGAAGAATGCTGGCGGTCAAGTTGAATACGCTTTCGACGCCGTGAGTGACCACGGTAGCTATGAGAATATCTGCAAGGTGTTGGACCACAAGAGTGGCAAGATCACTTTAGTGCTACCCGGCAAAGATTACAAGGAGATTCCTGAGACGGTTGAGAAGTCAACAACAACCGTGGGTGCCGCACAGATCGGGACGGACTCGGATCCCTGGCAAAAGAAGACGGGGATGCAGACGGGCAATGAGGAGTTTGCCATGGCCTTTTTCCGGTACTTCGCAAGGGGCTTGCAGAAGGGCTTCTTCAAGGGACATCCGTATGAAGTGGTGCCGGGAGGATTGGCAGGTATTCAGGGGGCTCTGCAGAACCTGAAGGATGGAAAAGCGAGTGCTGTAAAGTATGTCTTCAGGCTTGCAGATACTGAGGGCGTGTCTCCGTATAATATCAATTAGATTACCGACAAAAATAATTCGATCCCTTGCGAGGTTCTTCTTCAAAGATTGTGCATTGACGAAGCCATGAATCAATAGTAAGAACTTCAGAAGCCAGAACGAAGGGCGGCGGGGTTGAGAGCTTCGAAACACGGCTACTGTGTGCAATTGAGGAAACGCCCAACGTGAGATGTTTTTGACTCAATGTAGTCTTCAACGATGTAAGAGTCTCTAGGTATTGCTGAGTAGACTGCAGCCGAAAATGTACAACTCTAGAAACTCCCGTCTGTTATATTTCAAGACAGTCGTGATTTCTTGGAAACACATACCGGGTGCTGATACGAGGGGTAACATTCTGACCAGCTGAGTGGCCTAAGTGGGCTTAGCTTGGCTAATCACTACTACCTTCCTACATTTCTGCACATTCTAAAACCAACAACATCTGAACACAGCACTTTCAAGTCTTTCACCACCAGAGTCCAAACACCCCCTAGCTCAAGCTCAAACAATTAGACTTGTGCTTCTTTCCAACAACTCCCCGCAATCCTCCAACATGGACAGCCTCACCAACCTCCTCAAGGCGATCTTTCCATGCCTCCCAATCGGCATCGTCGAGGGCGGCATCCAACTTCCCGCGGGAACAGCCAGATACCAGGACCTTTCCGAAAAGGCCGCTCTTCAAATTTCCCCACGTGACGGTCAAAAGTCGAGACTATGCAACGACGAGGCTGCCTCGTCCATCGTGTCGGCCATGTTGGACGCCGACAAAAGTGGTCCCTCTCTAGATGCCACCATTCAGTCCCTCGTTCACAAGGCTGGCGGAT